TTATTATTTTTTTTTAACGATAGCACACGAATCGTTTATTTCTCAGGTTTAGTATGAGCAATCAATCAAGGACTTGACAGTATAAAGTAGATATTGAAACAGTTCAACAACGGTAATAAAATGAGTAAGAATTAGTCAACCTGAGATGCAATGACTCCAAAAAAATAGCCGTATTTGACTAGAAACCAGCCAAATCTGACCAGCTATTCATGGTGAGCTGGGTGCAACTGAAAATCAGTCAATCTGACTAGATTTTTCCAGTCAGTATTATTGACTAGAAAAACAGTTATGCAAATACTAAAATTGGAGTCAAATCCAACTTCTTTTTCTAGTTATATTTTGAAACTTTGCATGTTTAACTAAAACTCCCAGTCAATTTTCATTAACTAAGGAAACCAGTCAATATTTTGACTAAGTTGTTTTTAGAGTCTACCCGTGCAATTTGTAGAGTAATACGCTCCGACTAGGAGACTTTTTAATCTTTTCTAGCATCGCAAAAAGGCATTCACTTTTGAATTAGACTTCTAAAGAATAGGACAAAAAAGCTTTTACTTTATTGAATGATTTACTTTACAAATTTGTATTATTGAGGATTGCACATCTCGTAAAAAGTAAATCATACAAGTTAAACATTCGGTAGTAGACATGTACATTGTGTCCTCAATTTATTACCAATTCAAATCCCATTTCAACATGTGGTCCATACTGATCACTAGGAGGACTCGGCGGGTATATGCTGATATGAGACGACGGGGCGAATTGTAATGGCCTTCAAGTTGAAGGAAGAGTAGCCAGGCAATGATTTCAGGCAACCAGGATGCAATGAGGTAAAGTAGCTGTGCTGGTTATTGTATATTCCAAGAGCTTGGAACAGTAATAAAATTATTGAACACACAATGAACAGGTGCTTACATAATCGCAATGCTTAGCTCCACATTAATGAAAATGCATGATCTATTCAGATTAGCCGTGACATAATTCTGGTAAAATAAATTTTGGCCATCCTTATCTATTTCTGAGAAAAATTGACTTTGATAAAAAAAAAAAACGCGGTTTTTTTTAACTCATTCTGTACAGAGACAAATTTTAGGTGTATTTTGAGGTCTACTTCTCCCAATGAATTATGAACATGAAATCAACGCTTTCACTTACCCGGTGAAGGAAAAAAAAGATGTCCACGGTATGATGTTTAACAATTAAAGTTGAGAAAGTTATGTTGGTCCAGTGTTGTTATGGATGGGATATTATTGTTATTATTATCGATCACCAGGACGGAGGTTAACTGTTTCCGCCGGTTTTTATTTTCGTCGTTTTGCGGAGGAGCGATGCAAAGGACGGAAGTTCCGGAAAAGGTATACCCTATAATAAGACAAAGTAAAACACAAGTAAAAGCCCACCAACCCATCGACCTAGGAATCCTGGAAAAGCCCTTACGTGTGGTTCCAGGCATTCAGCATAGCAACTCTTCCGCCGAATCTAAAAATAGGAGTTGAACCCAAAATCGGAAGACTGGGCTCCAACCACTGTTACCTTGACCGCATATCCCGCTGCCAACAATGTATTTTAGCTCCCCAACAGCTTTTTAATAGCTTCCCCTACAAAATAGGCCTAGATTATCAGTTAACTCTATCAGCCATCCAGAAACATATCCCACCCACTAAACAAAGCGACAAAACCTTAACAAGGCAGGACAAACCTCGCAAAGCTGGTCACAAAGCGCACGAAATTCTATTCAATTGATTGGGAGTGGCTATTCACCTGATGATGGTGATTACTGGGTGTAATCCTATACAACAGCACTACCCGGTTCTCTTGTGGGGAGTGTGGCCTAGTGGAGGTCTGTGACTCATGATCAGAGGGTAGGGGTTCGAATCCAGCTGCTGGTCATATGTTGTGTCCTTGGGAAAGCCACTTTGCCCCACTTGCCTCTCTCCACCCAGGAGTATAAATGGGTAAAGGCATTAGCTGGGGAGTAACCTGCGATGGACTAACATCCCATCCATGAGGTGGAGTAGAAATATTCACATTCATGCTACTGAAACCGGAGACAAACGCCGGCCTGGTGGCTCATGACCTCTTTTCCCCTCCCCCTTTTTACGGGGGTGAGGGAGGGGCACATGCCCCCAGCGGAGGTCCGTGTCCCCCCACCCCGGTGCCCCCTCCCATTTGAAATCATGAATTGCACTCAAACAATGTATACGTTACCTTCAGTGCCCCCTTAACAAATTGTTGCACCCCGGGTGCCCCCGAGAAGTTTAACCCTAGTTACGCCCCTGAACTGAACCCGGCTCTCTTCAACAGTCACCAACCAGGCTTAGTCACAAGTGACATTAAGTCAGTGATTCATTCAGTATGGTCATGTACAAGATGACAAAGAGGACTATTAGGTTGTTTATCTCTCTTTAAACCATTGCTATGACGTCACACTATTGTTAAAAGTGTGGATTAGGATCTATGAATCTCTTACACTGGTCACGAAGTGTGGATTCGGATCGACGAATCTTTAGTAAAGTGTGGATTCATAATTATGAATCCACACTTTCTCGTGTATTCTCCTTAACGTAGGCCTAACCAGAGTAAAGGACACCCCGCGACGCGGATACAAGCAAAAACAAATCATTTTGGCTTCAATCACAAAGAGACTATTCGATTCACAGATCAAAAGATTCTGGCTATTATTTCTTGACGAATACAAGTCGTCAAGGGGGGCGGGGAGAAAGAGCGGCGTCAGGTCAGGGAACCAGACTAAACCACAATAACACGCCATAATACTTTGTCCAATGGGCTGAGCGATATCTTTGCAGGCCCAATTGGAATCAAGGCTCGAAGGAAGTGCCCGACAATATTGAAGGACGAGCATGTTGGAAGGAAGTGACACGTTCAAGTCAGTGATTCAATGAAATGATGCTATAATCGGGGTAATTAGGCCATCCAAAGATGAGAGGTGTTGTTTTTAAAACAGGAAATAGTTAATTAGTTCCAAAATAGTAAATTAGCTGCTAGGTGGGCTGGAACTTAATTTGTGTTTGAAGGATCTGACTGGAGTCAGTCTCAAGGTGATTTCTATAATGTGCGGGTTGGAGTGAAAAGTGGTGGGAGACCAGACCAAACAAACTTAAAAAAATAAATATTCATCAATAAGATCGGAAGGGGGGGGGGGCCAACGGGCCATATTGATTTTACAAGATTCTTCCAACTAAGAAAATATTCGCAACAATAAAAAGCTCATTCTTCCCCAAATTTTGAGCAGGGGAGTGGTGTAAGATAGGGGGGGGGGGGGGGGGGTGGGTGGGTAATGTGAGCATTGGGGGGGGGGGGGGGGGGGGTAATGTGAGCATTTGGGCCTGCGGGGGGGGGGGGGTGTCCCACCCCATGGTTACGCCATCTCATGACATGCTGACAGGCATGCAGTCATGGGCGTCGAGAGGGGGGACAAGCAAAAAAAAAAAGGGAGAAAAAAAGAGCCGCGAAACCATATTGTTGTTAATTTAATGGGTTGGGGGAAATGTCAGTGCCCACCCTCGAAAAAATTATCAATCGGGAAAATGCTGGAAAATATAGGGATTTTTTTGGGAAAAAAATTGGCTTTGCCATGCCCCCTTTAGAAAAAAATCCTGGCGACGCCCATGCATGCGGTATGGTTTGTCAAATTGTAGTAAAGTAAGTCGAAATTTTAAAGCCACTTTCGGAACCTGACGAACCACCTATGGTCGAAAACACGCAGTGAAACATAATAAACCACTGCAATGATTTTGAGTATCTCAGTATACATAGTCTGATTTTTTAAATTATAACTTCGAAAATACTATTTATAGGTCAGTTGTACATTACGGGAAAAAAATATAAGTCCACCGCGACACGAAAACCAAATCCTTGTTTATGTTTCGAATAAAATGAAAGAACGTTCACCATTCAGTTGCTTAAGTAAAAACAACAACTGAATGGTCAAAGACCACAAAATACCAAGTATTCGGCTAAAACAAGGGTCATTAAAGTGCTAGCGAGTTTCATTTGTTTCCTCGAGCCTTTTCTGTGAATTCAGATTTCACATGAGTAATATTTTCATTTCGAAGGGATGTTAAAAAAGGGAAGGATATTAGGGCCTATGCAAACCAAGAAGGAACAGTTAGTACGTAGGGAAATACAAACAATATTTATTTTGGCATAGGGCCTACAATACAATTTGTTCGAGAAATGAAAACAATGCACGGAATTTACCAACAAAAAGATTACAAACAAGTTACGAATATTCCAAAACTACGAGATTCAATCTATATAAGATGAATCCACACAAAATCAAAACAGGACTACGAATAAAGGAACACACTTTAAAAGGAAATGTTCCTTTTTGTTTCCTGCTAATGTACATAAAGATCGCGCGTTGTTGGTGTATTTAACAGTTTCCACCGCTTGAGGGCGTGATTTTCGTGCACTTAATTCCCAACTCGGGAAAAATGTGCAGTGCCCAGAAAGTGCTACAGATCACTGGATAGGACAAAAAGTATAAAATAAACACATTGCAATTTGACCCCACACCTACCTTGTGTCCAGGGCAAGGGTCTACTTCATTTCAGCCCAACACCAAATACAGGGGAAAAAATGTTGCACCCTTACGCCACTTCCGCGATTGTGTACAAAGTCTATAGAGAGTCAAGATTTTTTCCTAACAAAATTGGAAATATTTCTCAGTCCCAGATTGATGTCTTATCATTATTTTTTGCAATGAATGACCTTCACTGAGATGATATATGAAGGAAAAAAGTGGCGTCAGGTTGCAATATTCTTTCCAAATATAGAACCAATGTTACAGCCCTCACTGGCATGGGTCTGCAACTTAAATATTCCCGCCAACATTTGAACACACGTGAACAACACGATAGGCGATAGTAATGCTTCAGGGGCCTGTTTCCACCAGAAAAGAAATCCAATTTCACGTTACTGGATTTACAGCATTAAAATTGGTGATGTCGAAATGCATTTTTGAGGGGAAATAGACTTACCGGCATAACGAAGATGTTGATATCACGACGACGAATCGACTCGACGACGACGAGACACTATACACAACACGAAAATAAAGATGGCGATCATACCGAACTTCAACCCTGTTTGAAAGCATGTCGTTGATTGGCCTACAACAGAAACATTTCTTAACCCAATCTCTGATTGGTTGAGAGTGGCAGAGCGGGGGAGTAGAACTTAAATATGTAAATAAACTATTGTCATCCGATACAATAATTTCTATATAAGGGCACGCCACATGCCCGGTATGCAAATATTGTGTCTTGGCCAATCCCGGCCAACCCCAGACATTCCTGTCGACTTTCGACCAATCAGAACCACTCGTTCACTTGTCCATCAAACATCAACAGTTGTGTTAGTCCGCGGGCTAAGAAAAATAGGACCCTTTTTTCCTGATAAAAATGGTTTATGATAGTTTCATTTTTAGCATGAGGTGCTCTATCTTTGTCAAAAAATTATGTCACACACAAAAAGAAAAACAACTCATGAAGCTACGTAGATGTAAAAGATTGGGGGGGGGGCAAACTGTTTGTATGTGCGGAGGGATAAAAAAGTGATTGGGATTTCTGAACCGCAGTACGCTTCGTGACATGTCGTCTGACTTTCGCCCACTCTGCTGGCATTTCAAGATGGAAGCCGCACCTTTAGAACTTGTAAGTATTTTGTGTTAGTATTCCTTTCTTTTTCAGCGATAAATTATTTCCGAAGTTGACGCATATTGAGCATAGTGGCGCTATTAATAATCCTAGGTAACCCAGGAGAACTTTTAAGCTGTCGTCGTGATTTCGTTTTGCTCTGTTAAGTAATTTCATGGCAATATTGGAGACGAAATACAGGGCAACATGAGAAGCGCAATGACATTGACACACTTGGTGATTTTCAGCTTGACTTGTCGTGCTCTGTCGTATAGAATTCAACCGAGTATTAAGCTTTTTTTCTACGTCGACTAACCTTTGAACTTATTATAGGAGACCGAGTTTGGCGAGTCCACCATTATAGGGGCGCATAAGAATGCAGGCCTGGCCTATTCATAAACCTCCAAGAGCTAAGACGGGGACATTTACAGGTAGGCCTACAGGGAACAGGTAATTAAGTCACTGTTGCTTTATCACTTATTAGCGTAGAAAGAGAAAAAGGATAGTTTTACATGTAAGTCTATTGGATAAGAAAAACCTGAAATTTTATCAGCCATTGGGAAAATCAGAAGAGTGAGATGGCTGAGGAAATTAAATAAAAAAACACCATTCGTCAAGAATTTTCAAGAAAAAAGGTGAAATGCAGTAAGAACATTTTGGTAAAACTCGTAGGCCTAGATGAACTTCATGGAGACAGATGTACTTTTACACAAGACCCATGCCATGAGGCAGTTATTCTAGAAGAGAGGTATTTAATAATTAAAGACGATGACGACGACTGTTTAGAATCATGATTAAGATCAGGGATCAGAAATCTAAGGTCAAGGGTCAGAGATCTGAGTATCCTGAATGCGACCTAAGATGAGAATCCCACAAGATCAATATCATGAATTTGTAGCTTTAAAAAAGAACCCAGAAACTAAATCAGCCATGACGTATTCATGAAGTAGGAATACAATTGATGTAAGTTAGATAAGGTATGCACATGTTTATTAAAATAATAAGATATGCATATGTTTAATGTTGTAAGCATGTTTTTCTGCCACAGAAAGACCTAGGCATGTATTGATGGATAACCTTATGTTAATGACGTAAGCATGACGTAGGCGACAGCACTGACGTCGACTGATGTCATGATGAAGATCAAGGTCAAGATCATGATCCTCTGATCAGCGCACACGATGAGACAGTTACATGCTGCACACTGATGAATTTCGCGACTGAGGTCAACATCATGACAGACATTAGGGCACAACTTCAGAAATTACTACCAATGAATACAAAATAACTTAAGATAGGCCTACTTAAACTGGGAGATATTGTCGTCATAATATCAACAATTGCTGCCTAATATTCCATGTTTACTTTGCCAATGAGTTCACATATTCAAATTGTAATATAATGATTTTTTTTTACAAGGTATGACACAAAATCAATGTTTTTCTTTCTTTGCTTTTGATTCAGATGATACATTTGAAGAGCGCCATCTTGCAGTGTGATGTCGGAAGATAAATCCATGCATGGTCTACTAGCTTGACAAATTGTGCTCTCTCGTATTCTCAAATGGTGACCTGAGGATTTATGACTTTATTGCTTGATACCGACGGTTCCATCCTGGCGCAAGCAAATCGCAGGTCGGCCATGTTTGTTCGCGTTAAATGCCTCACTTTGATTTCCAAAATGGCGTCACATGAGGTCCATTGCCTGATAGAGAACATTACTTCTTTCTATGGTCAAAAATAAAAAATTAACAGCAAGCATAGTAACACAGAATGTGTTTAGTTTCACTTTCCATGCTTTTTAATGACAATGTTGTAAACACCGAGACGGGAAAATGACAAATTTATGGGCACCCTGAATCCTTTCAAACAAACCGTCTGTTTGGTGTAAATTGACAGTAATTACTTTCGAGGAAAAGTAAACTGATAGAGAGAATTGAAACGACAACCTAATTATGGCAATAATCATGAGTGGGACTTGTCCCAAGAAACCGTTGCCGCAAGGAAATAAAGGAGAAATGGAGATATGTCTCAGATAATTCAAAGACTTTTCTGAAGAGTACGGCATCTTAGAGGTGTATGCTTTTGATCCACAGGGATATTCACAAGTAGATCACGTGTGCATTCATTGTTCCTGAATAAAATAACAAACATCCTTAAAACATGGCCGCTAATTGAAAATAGTCTGTAACAGCGAAAAATGACCCTTTCACGTACTTCTTGTCACCGTGACGTCAATTGCTTTGACTTGGTAAATAAAATAAAAACTAGGAAGCAATAGACGGTAAGAGAGGCCAATTTGAAAAAAAAGTTTTAATTTTATTGGCGACGTATTTACAATATAGCTGAATTAAAATTACACAGAACTTACATCCTCTGTCCAAACCTCCGTTTTTATTATATTTTGGTGACAACATATACCCTGTCTGTAACGTTTACAATGACATTCCTCAAAGTTGCTTTGCTGCATCGTTTATCCCGCAAACATGATTCGGAGTCGTTTACTTCACTTATTTTTGCAACACCGGTGAAAGTACACAATTTGCATTCATCTGGTCATATTTAAGTACATGTAGTGTTGACTGAAGTTTAATATGTGAATTAACTTACGGCCTTTACAAGGGTTCCACAAGTATTGTTCCGTTCGGTCCAAAGGATCAAAAGTTGATTATTGTCTCCATTTTATATAGCTCGATTCACTGTTCACCCACCGACTTGTGTGATAATTAGCTTTCCGTTACAGAAGTTGGATTGTTGCAGTATTTGTGAAATGTCTCTAGCACCCTCCAGACAAAATCTTTCTACACGCACTTGTACCTAGAAGTAAAGATTAATCAATATACATGAATTAAAACAAATGGCACATTCTTCTTCACTATTCATTGGTAAGAAAAATAGATTGAAAAATAAAATAAGCTCAAATCGTGATTACTTTGAATCACATAAACAAATCTCTAACTGGCAGGATTATAGCATTATTAACATGATTTTACACTTCTAAATTCCTTTACAAAAAAAAATTATATATTCTTAAACTTGCATTACTTTGATCACTCTGTGGTTTTAAAGAATTTAAAACATCAAACGTTCATACATTTTGCAGCGTTAACGAAGCAAAGCAAACTCATTTCTCGATGTAAGTGCATGCCGAGTTTCACTTTATATTGGTGGTTAAAGTACATCGCATACAAATGATATAGTATTTATATCCAATCATATCCATGATTTAAATTTTTAAAAATGTCTTGATTAACGACTGAATTTACTAAACCAACACAAAAATAATGTCTGCTTCATGATATGTTTAATTTTTTTTACATTAACTCTCCATTTTATTGATGGTGGTTCAAAACTGGTGTATTAGAGAAACGTTTGTTTCCCATTTTGTCCACATAAACAACAAAGGCAACTTTATCATTCAAACATTCATTACTGCATAGGATTAATTAAATTACTACGCACGAGGCACAACAAAATCACTTCACATTTGTCAGAGTCGGAATATGTCTAACTCATTACTCGTTTTCGCGTAAGCTTTAAGACACAGCTGTTGACCTCTTGCATATTATATAAAATGACTTGACGTGAGTTCCAAAAGAGAACTGTTCACAGTAATTTACCTTGTTACTAACCAACGGTGTTAGTGACTGTCTAGCTGCAGACTTACTTGCACAGCTAGCCAGACAAGTTCAGCATATATCACAAAATCTAATTTGCGTTGGGGTGATGTAAACTCAATATTAGGTTTTGCCATTAACCGACACTTTATTTTTTACAAACACTCTATACTAAATGTTGTCCTGAATGATTGTGAAAAATAATTCAAAAACTACTTGGGTGGGACTCGAACCCACGACCTCCCGCTACTAGATACTAGTGCAGATGTCTTACCACTAGACCAGAACAGTACCCACTGCTACATCAGATTCGAGCCAGCCACCCAACCCCGGCAAGATTGGTGGTCCAGTGGTAAGATGTCTGCACTTGTTAGCAAGAGGTCGTGGGTTCGAGTCCCACCTGAGCAGTTTGTGCTTTTTATCTCACAATTACCCAGGAGAACACTTAGTATACAGTTTTTATAAACATATGTTGCAGAAGGGCAAAGCCAATATTGAATTTTCAGTATAGTTGATAAACTTTGTCACTGTTAGATGACAAGGTTACCTTCTCAGATAACTGGTTACGTTTAGCTCACAATATAAACAGCCATGATGTACTTGTAGTGTGTCTGAGAGTCGTTCTCAATCAGCGATGAGATTGACAGCCCCCATGACTGCAACACCGCATAGGAGAAAGAAAACTTGTTTGACACTTTCCCTGGCAAAAAAAAAAATATACACAAAACCAAAAAACAAATTTATGAGAAATTTATATAAAAGAAATAATACCTTTGTCGCTTTTTCATCTTTGTTAAGCTACATTTAGAAGATGTACTTACAAGGAGACAATTTGTTAATGAATTATTCATTAACCCTCCAACTGTTTTAACAGTCACAGACAGTCAACAATCCCATCCACTTCCCCTGCCATGCCTATTACACAGGCTAGTCACAAAATGTTGGATCATATGCAATGCAAGTACTGTGAACAGTCAAATTCAGTCAACCGACAAAAGCAGGAAACTGCAGTCAATCACCTACAGTCAAATCACAGGTGTATCAAGTTGCATAAACAGTCACAGCCAGTCAATCCTGCTTTATGTCGGCTGGGAACTCTTAACTGTTGAAAACAGTCACTTGATTGATTTCGAATGAAAAGGACAACTTGGCAAAGAATGCATGTTTGCATAGGAGGCTTAATAAGCCAATACTGTTATTGATTGGCCAAATAATATTGGCCTCCTGCCAGAATCTATGTACAACAGCCAATCACTTTGTTTACATTTTATTAGCCCCGCCTCTTCATGCATATGTATGCTTTTTACCTTGGGTTGGTTTCCTCCAGCAGATCTGGTAGAACTGTCACCAGTGCGATATTTAGAAACCCCCCCGAGGTGAATGGTAGAATCCATGCTGCACTATCACCTAGGTTAAAAATTTAGGCGAATCCATTTTAGCTCGTTTTAGGGTACACTTAATACGCAAAAAGGTAGAATGTTTACAATTCACTAAAAATGGTAAACAAAACCAGAACGCATCTGAAAGTGGAAGTGCACACATGTTGTTACACTTTAAACAAAACAACGTGGCATTTCTTAAAAATAGAAATTGTCATCATGGATATCGAAAGTAAAAGCGAAAATGGAAAGATTCAGACATGGACACGTGTGCCTCCAGTGTTTTTTCCGCAATTAACTTTTATATGTTTGTTTACGTTTGGCAGCAAGCCACAACTATCACAAGTAATAAAATGCTGGATGACCAAGCAATGTAGTTTGAAAACATTCAGTACATCTAGTGCCTCAACCCTACAACCTGGGAAAAACAAATTGGTGGGTACATACCTTCCTTTTTAATTTTTTGAATTGTGCACTACCGGACCTTTTCGCTCAATGAATTATAATATGCAATTAATTTGACAATTGTGAACACCTCTTTTGATACCAGAAATGATATGTGCATTTTTCTGCCAAAATAATTGAAATAACTGAAATATGGATCAAAAGTTACTGTTACTATGGTAATATTTCTGCAGAATTTGAAATACATGTAGGGCTGTGCATCAGACCAGGGTGCCCAATTGCTGATGTCAAGAACCAGTTCAAGATTATAGATTTGGGTACCCGTAAACAACTTTACAAATTACTTATTAACTTCTCAGACGACGAAAAAGAAAGTTTTGACTGTCACTGATAGGGAAGCAGCAAAAATTGAAAAAGAAAGCCAGGCTATATAGAAAAACAAAACAGATGCACAAAAATGATTACGTGGCTTGCGAAAATGCAATTTATACCGTAAGGCTTAAGAGCTCACTGTACACACTTGTATTTTGCTGTATTGACGCACCGATGCGGTAGTATTATTGTGTAAACCTTTATGAACAATGTGACCAGAACATTCCGAGATTTAAATGTTAGGGTTGGATTTCTTTAAAAGGTACCCGTGATTTTTTCCAATTGGGTACCCGATTCCCAAACAACCCGTAGACGCACACCCCTAAGTTGAAAGCAGGTAACTAGACAATATTTCCCATAATTCCAATAATTCAATCCTGAAAACTGTATCAGAAGATTTTGAAGGATTTTGTAGGATTGAGGATGGTACAGTCCAGACACCTCTTGAAAGGTCAAAGAATGTGCCTTTAGTTTCTAGTGCATCAAAGGATTTTTGAAGGTTCAAGAAGTTTCCAAGCAAGAAAAGCGATGTGATTCAGGGTTTCTTTCTTTATACAACATATCCTTGTTGTGGTAGTGCACACATACTGCCCTCATATGTGCACACTACATTAAAACCTGGATATATCTAAACAACAGAGGGCGGCATTCATACTTTCAGGTGGTTAACCAAAACCATTCAGGGTGCAGACCAGTAAATCGGTCCGAAATTGCCTGCGCCGGCCAAATCACGATTTGCATGCCCTCAAAATCTTCGGTATTTGAGCATGCTGTGGGCCATGAACTTGAGGTTTTGTAAAAACTATGGGTGGAAGCCGTGCACAGGACTGGGAGCTTGCAGTTCTGTGTAATTTTGATGTAATTTGAACCCTAAAAGCGCTCTATTTTGCAATGGAGAGTAGGCATCGTTTTTCAAAATGGCGATGGGCTTCAGGACTATTTTCAGGGGTGATCATCTTCAGACGGAAATTTCTCCTAAAAGTCATCAGTTGACCCCCCAAAAATTGAAAAGAAAATGAAAGATGATGAAATCAGCTTTAATTTGATGATTCGAACACCTTGGAGAGTTGTGAGTATTTTTCCCGAATTTTTGAAGTGGGAGCTTTTACCATTGGGGTCTATGGAAGTTTATTTACTGGTCTGCTACCTTCAGTACTTCAATGTTTCAAGAAATTGTCAAGTGCATCATAAAGTGATGTATACGACAGTTTTGCCACACCACGAAGTGACAGATCGTCTGTGGACTTTTTTGCACACGGTACGTCACTTCATGGTGCGACCGACGAAATGATAAACAGATCTTCCCTGCCGTTGCAAAATCACTTCCAAGATTAGGTGTTCAGATAAAATTATATATTACTCAAAAGTTTATCCCCATACCTGCTTTTTCGGCGGACTCTGACATGAGGGCCAGCAAGGCCCCACACAGACCCCCCGTGGCTGTGAAGACCTGTGCTTTGGCAGCCTGCCATCTGTTGAAACCTGACCGTAACAGGATCGCAAAGTCACCGATCTGTTGAGGAACACCATGGAAAAATACGTTGAAAAACAAACTGTCAGAAAATTGAAAAACAAACTGTCAGAAAATTGTACGGTGGATAGCCAAGCTGGAAAACAGCTAGACTAACAGGGAGCCAACCAACAAACCGACAAACAGGGTAGTCAGGTCGGCGCAGTGATGCTACATGTATGTTACCAGAGCTGTAGTGTAGTGTACATACCTCATGTGGAATTTCATGTAGCAGTATGGCAGCAGTTGTCAGTATACCAACCTACACAGGAAACCAAATAATCATTAGTGAAAAAAGCATTATTTATCATCGAAGTCAGAATTCTGAATGCTCATGCTTTGTTAAAATCTGCAGAGGTTCAGAAGATAATGATTTTAATCCTCCAAGATCTTCTAAAACCTACCATGAGATTTTGGTGGATTTTGTAGGATAGGGGAAGGCAGAGCATTGCCACTTGAGCAGGGATTCGAAACCACGTACCTTCTAAAAACCCATCCTTCCCACTAACCACTATACTACGCAAGCCACTTTGAACAACCTTCAATTTCTTTGCTTGTTATGCCCACCAGATTAAACACTGCCGTGCTACTTACGTAATACATTTGGCGTATTATAGTATATTACCGGCACGCCTATAGTGTGGCATTCACACGTAAAAAGCCTCACTTAACCCTAACCCTCCTCAATCCTCCAAAATCCTCATTGTGATTTTGGAGGATTTTGGAGAATTGAGGCTGAATGGTATTTTTTTAAATAAGGATTTTGGAGGATTGAGGCTGAATGGTATTTTTTCTGAAAAGGATTTTGGGGGATTGAGGCTGAATGGTATTTTTTCAGAAAAGGATTTTGGAGGATTGAGGCTGAATGGTATTTTGAGGCAGGACTGTCTGACGATTTTGAAGGATTGAGGGGCTGGGTACCCTTCATTTGAACATTTTTGGATCAGGAGGATTTTGAAGGATTGAAGATGAATGCATTTTGAGGCAGGACTGTCTGAAAATTTTCTGAAAAGTTTGAAAAATAAATTTTTTTTTGGAGGATTTTGGAGGATTGAGGATGGTTCCCAGCAAAAAGGGCTAGGGGGGTTAGGGTTAACGACGGTGGGTAGTCGGATCGGGTGACTGGATGACTTGTGATTGACAAATGACGGACTTGTGATGGACTCAACTATGAACATGATGAATATCCCATTGGTTTCCTTTACAGTGGTGGACTGTGTAGGATCTAGTAAAGTTCCCATCAAAATATCCACCAAACAACCTACCTTATTGCTAATCAAGAAACTGCCAGCTACGGCCAGGCCGTGGGTGAAGTTGTCGATGAAATTGGCAAGAAGATTGAGGTACCCGATAACCTGACAATATGTTAAAAAAAAAAAAAAAAAAAAAAAAATTAGTGGTTTTGCTTTACCCCAACTATTCTACAATATTTATATTTGAAAATGCCAGAGAGGAGAGATTTTCAATTTATTATGTACATGTACACAGAGGGTAAAATACAGATATCAAACAAATAAAAAATAACAAATGCTGGGATATAATAAAACAGCAGAATCCTTTTTGAGCTTTCAACCTGCAATGTGTCAAATTCTTTCACTAAACAAAGAATGCTCTTAATCTTGATCATGGATATCAGTTTTGGTGTTAATTTTTGACAAACGAAGTCATACAGTCGGAAGCCGTACAAATCTAAATGTTCACATTTTTTTCAGTGAAATAAAATAAAACACAACAAAATTCAGACTTGTAAAAACAATATCAGGTACCATTTGGAAGGCACTTTGTAATAAAATAGCTCTGATGACACAAATGTTAAGTTAAAATGTAAATTTTTAGGAGTCTGAAATTGAGAGTCTATCCATTTTTTGTGCATACTACAGCAGGGAGAGAGCGACAGACCACACTGCTTGAAAAAAATATGGATTGCCAAAATCTCTCCCTGTTTGCTGTGAGGACAAGCCCGGCATACTTATGTCACGATTTATCAGATGTGACTGCACTACGCAAGAGGGGGGAAAGTGAGCTCAAATAATGCGATTGGAATCTCCGCAATGAACGTCACGCGTTAGTGATAACGGCGCGGTGAGATGGCACGTGGGGATGCATGCGGACGGCATTTGATTTCAATCTGATTAAAGCCGATTGTGGGGAAAAACTAAGAGGCCTTCTGTCGGTACTTACACTCGGGAATAAAAAAAAAGAGTTTTATCTGTGGGATTTTATCTTCTGTTTCTACCCACACACGAAGTATGTTTAAAAACAAAATAGAAGAATGCTGAGTCTCTGCAGAACTTGTGTTTTCTCTCTTTTTCAAGAGTCAAGGACTGCAAATGTGTTATTTTTGGAGCTTTTGTACACATTTCTTTGTACTGACATCTTTCTTGAAATGGAAAAAAAATAACAATGCTTTGTTTGTTTTTGTTTTGTTTGGATCAAACAAATATTTGATCCTGTACCAATTTAAAACATATACACAGGCGTCTGCACATAGATTTCCGCTATCAAAAAAAGAAGTATCCAAAGTTTTAAGGTAATGGTAATTTTTAGGACTCTGAACAATGAAAAAGCCCATTTTAATACATGTAAAGTCACAAAAGAATTCTGGAAACATTGTCCAAAAGATTAAAAAGGCAGTATGATACACCTGCTCCACTTCAAAAACTACAACAGAATTATCCAGAATATGGCTGCCATATTTCTACAGAAAGGTAAAAAAAAAAGACTTTTAAAAATTCGTCAAAAATATTTTTTTCCCCCCTCCTGTGCACATTTTAAAAAAAGATACAAATTCCCGGTACGCAATACCTATCTTGATATTTGAAGTGTTTTGCTGATATTTGAGAACCTCTAAGGCATGTACCCTATTTGGACAGCTTCGTTCAGGATAAACACATTAAGAGTCATTGAGGGGGGGGGGGGGGGACGGGGTGCTGCACTGTGCGAGTATTACGCATGGCTGGCAATCGATATCAGTGGTGAATCGTGAGAAACGCAAACCTGCATGAAAAATTGGCCGAACTAAATGGCCCAGAAAAAAAAAAAAGAATTGAATAATGGAAAGTTTGCTTTCCAGTTGAAAAATCAATACTATTATAAAGTCATATTTTTTGGGAACAATATTCACATCTGGTACATGTTTGAGTTCCGTTGTAGAAATTGTAAAACCTCAAAATGTGAAACATCCATGGCATATGAAATAAATATCATTCTGAAAATATGCATAATAGTTTTTACACGGAAGACAATTATGTAAAAAAAAAAAGATTGACAGCAACATATGGAAATGAGTTATGGCCATCTGTACACTTAGCTGGAAATGTACACTTTTGTTTACTGCGAAGGGGTAAGGTTTCGAGTGATCAACATTGGGCAGAAAAAATATACAAATGAATTAGGACAGAATGCACAACTATATATTTAGATAAAACATATGACTGGAGGATTTTGCCAAAGTGCACAAAAGGGTGGATGTACATTATTCAGGACACCTGTATTTTTGGAAACATGCGAGGTACAGAGCCAGAAGATCCTGTGTGCTCACTAGACCCAAGGATTTTTTTTTATCCACGGGATTGAGGGTACAAATATGGAGAGCAGACAGGGAGAAACATACATGTACATGGTGACAGGGATCTATTCATTTTGACCACAACAAACTTTTCTAATTTCTGTTTCAACCACTCCTCCCCACCCACAGCTAAAATGAACAGAAAAAAAACCTATACAAAATAATAGAAATAAAATAAACACCCAAACTACAAAAAAGAACCAAAAAAAAGAAGGTTTTTTTAAATTTTAGAACCCTGTTTGCACTGTAAACAAACAAGTGTAAGAAAAAGACACAGCGTTCTTATTAATTACCAATTGATAGTGTGATTCTCACAGGTGTGCCTGACAGATCCTTAAATAATTACACCAACAAACCATGCAGTGTCATCAACGACAGTGGAATTTTGAACTTAAGCACAGACCTCTTAAAAGAATTGCCAATTGACAAAATCTGATAGATGAGCAATTTAGCTGAGAAGATAAAAAAAAATGACTTACATTGTGAAGTCTGCTTTTCGGAAATAACATTCGCTGTTGACATAATTCATTATTTAAAAGAGTCCCAAGTGTGCACGTTTGTGCAACAACCAGATATTTACAATTCAAAACATTCAATGTTTCAGACTTGACTTTTACCTTAACTTTAGCTTCCTTGTCGTCTGCTTTGTGATTGGTCATTGTCGTGCTCTGTTCAGCACATCCGACGTGCCCATTGGCTACTGAGCCGTTAGCCACGCCCCCGCCCTTGCCCCGCCCATTTTCCTGCGTCTTTCTTCTCTTCCTGGTCTTCGGTTTGGTCTGTGGCAAGATGGTGGCATGGCCATTCTTTGCCAATTCTGGCAAGGTGGTATCTGACAGCGTTGTGTACTTGTTGGCTTTGCCTTCTTCATGGGAGGTTTTCGCTTCTTTGCTCTTGGGGCCCGACTCCTGATAATAATGGAAATGTTTTTCCTCATTAAAAATTTGGTGAGATATTCTTTTCTGCATAGTTGTGGATTACAGTGCATGAAAACACTGAGTTTGAAGAAATTTGAATTTCGGAATACCGTCGAACCCTATGACATCATTGCGGCATGAATTTCAAAAGCTTAGTATTTTAATAATTTGTGTTCAAGTGTTATTAAAGAAAACACTGGAGAGATGCTATTTTAATTTTTTTTTCAAAAGACAGTACAATAACCATAGCACTCTTATTCATTCAAATCTACATGTACATACAATGTACATACACTGTATGTATATAAATTGAAAGCCAAGTTACATGTACCGGTATTTACAATGACATTCATGTACCAGTACACGTACATTGCTTAAAACAAATAAGGAACTAAAAGAAATGATACTTTAGGTTAAAGTTTATTTAAGGCTTTTGCAAGTTGTGCAATGTACATGGGCAAATGTGTTTTTCAACCGGTCACTTTCATATTCTTGACCAAACTTCACAAAGCAAATGAGTCATGAAGCCACTATATATTAACAGATGCCATGACCCGACCTGCATGACTTGATTTCACATCTTGTGTCTTTTCTTTCGGCTTTTTTGACTTTCGGAATCAGTCTGTCGTATAGTGTCGTGATGCATTTTTTAAAGTGCAATGTCAGTTTTTTTATTCATTATTACCACTTTTTGGTCACTCTCGCTCTCTCCAAACATTTTCTCTAGAACGAGAAAGGTGAAGATTCCAGTCAGCACCCAAACTCCAATCCTCATCTGACCGCTGTGATCCTCTGCAAATAAAGGGGGAAGGGAAGATCATATTTTTAGGCTATCATTCGGCAGGTGTTTTTTTCAAAGCCACATGTGAACAAAGCGAGATGTCATATTACGTCTCATTGGAATACCAAGCTATTGGCATAGTCAGCTTGCTTACATGTAGTGCGTTAAACCTAACCTTCCCAAATCCTCCAAAATCCTCCTTGCAAAATGGAAGATTTTGCAGGGTTGAGGCTATATGGCAAAATGTGTGGCTGATTTGAAGGATGCAGACATGCATAATTTTAGGTCTAGATTAAACTTGAAATCCTCCGCACTGCTGAAGATGTCACTTACTCTGCGGCCTCAACATATTAACAGTGACTGCTGGAGGATTTTGCGGGATTGAGGCAGTGGTCACCCCTCCAAGGACCATTCAAGAAATGTAAACATAGGATTTTGAAGGATTGAGGCTGTATGCTGTATTGAGGAAGTGGGAGGATTTTGCAGGAATGAGGTTGCATCCTAGCAAAAAATGCCCAGGGAGTTAGGGTTAAGGACATTTCTACCGTTGAAACTATATTCATAGCTGCCAACATTTCAAAATCCCAATTAGTAATCAACCCGCGCGGTCATTTTCAACTGCTCGTTTTATCAAAAGCTTTACCAACATCGAGTACAGGTACATGGTTTACATGTACACATTCATGTGCATACCCTTCTTCTTGTGAATAATAATGTAATGTAGGCCAAAAGATAATTTTAAAAAAAAAAAAATTAAATTGTTTTTTTTTTTTTTTTAATTAATTTTTTTTAATGTCTGTATTTGTTTGTTGGAGTCAAATAAATAATAGCAATAATAAAATATGCGCATATTTTTTTGGAGATGCATGCTATCGATGTGGAGTTTCGAGTTCGTATCAATGTTTTTACACACAATGATTTAGGGCCACCGTCATGACCGTATGCAATAGAAATATCCCGCCAACATACCTTGCAAACGCATGCTGATTTATCTTTTCTGGACGTTGTGACAAACTCAAACTGTAATACCAATTATTCCAACCATACTCTTATTAAATTCCATGATTAAATTGTCGCACTGATGGGTCTCAACCCGGCAAAAAGCGACCAAATGTGCTCACGATCGTCACTGAAAAGTACTCACATACAGTACACACAACCACACATCCACGAGATGCACACAAATGACACACCATTGAAAAATAGTTTTAGTCTGGTCCTCAAGTACTCCACTGCGCACACTGCATTGATGTCTATCAGGTGCTTGACTGCATTCTTATTAGACTTGTCACCAGTCCATCCATTATCGCGACATTTCGCCAGAAGTTTTCGGTCAAAAACGATACTTTACAAGTATTTTTTTTTTCTATTAGGTAGAAAATGGGAAATTCGTAATGTTTTAGTGGCAAATCGTATTTTCGTAATTTAACAAACAATTCGTAATAATTACGAAAAATTAGTAACAGTTGGCAGCTATGTATATTTACCTGGAGCGACGTGTGACCACGCCTCTGGCATCAGATGAAGGAAGACATCGCCAAGCAAACCGCCTACTGCAAAACTGAGGAGGCACTTAAACCTGGCTGCTCCATCTGAAAGAAAGTCAGGCATGACCCCATGAATCATGATGATTTAAACCACTGACGAGAATGCTGCAATATACACACATGAGGCTTTGCCTCGCTCACCTCGCTTTGTGCTTGGCCTGCTTTTAAAAAAAAAAATGGGGGGGGGGGGGGTTGGGAAGGAAAGGGGGTCATCTTCGCTGCCTCACACATGAACTTTTTTGTTATCTATAGTATTGCGATGATGTACATGTACATTGTAAAGCATGAGAATACATCAAATTGTGATATAAAAATCAAGATGTACACTGATTACACTCCCACTGGGAAGTTTTCTTGAAAAAAAATGTTAAATACATTAATGAGTTCTCAAAAGTGGTCAAAAAGCGCCATCTTGTTTGCGCAGAGAGCCCACTGAAGTTGAAATTATTTCAGAATCTGTTTGCACATATTTTGGATGGCCTCTCAAAATTACACTTAACACACACACTGAATACGGGCATGCACCACTGTTTAAATATGCTGTGTGCAATGTAAAAGAGACACCTTTTTTTTTTTAAAAAGTTGTCTCTGATTTTAAACATTTATAATCCTTGGTTCAACCATGGTTCAACTGAAGTCACGAAACCTCAGCCTTTGGACTGAGACCTGATTACTGCTATCAGAAGATAATACATAAAATCTCTGATAATGTTTTGGGCAAGATTTGCTGGCACCTGAACTACATGTACCCTGTTAGGATTATTTGTTATCATTGAAATAACACAGCAAAGGTTAAGAACAATGGGTGCTGAAGCTATTGTACTGTCAACGACTGAACAATGTCTGACGTATTGCATGTCTTGAATGAACTTTGAGGGGGTTGTATTTTGCAAAATGTTTGTTCCCATTTTGATTTTTGAGTTGGTTTTCAAAATTATGATTTTTGAATATTTTTCGTCATGACTGACAAAAACAGTTCATTAAAAAATATAGATCACTGACGGCTGATTAACAAAATGCCTTGATTGTAAGCAACCAATGTATTTTTTGTTTTTAAATCAAATAGTTTTTTTTGTGAAAAACAAATTTACTTTTTACTGCGACTGTGCAATTTCATATAGAATGGCTAGACCAAGTCAAAACATTTGAAGACAGACTCAGGATGTATGGTTGACTGAGTGTACTTCCTGGGAAGTGTCTAGCCGGAGTAGCAGACTGGTCAGAGCAGAACCGACAGTACACACAGCCCTTTTTAGTGATCAACTTTATATATGTAGATTATAGAATTTCTTTTGGCTTAAAATGAAATGTGGCTGACAAGGAGAATACATGTATAAATTTGCAGGTAATGATAACAGAAATTATCGTGGGATTTTTTTTTTTAAATGCGGAGTTTTTGCTTAAATTGAAGTTGACAGACTGTGTGCACTAATAAAACAGTTTCAAAAAAAAGTTGTGACAATTCTTTGAAAAAAATTAACAAATTGTATTGGATACTTTATTGTCCCTTGTCTAGTTAAACATTTCAACCTAATTTTAAGCTTGCTCATTGTTTTTTATTGTGCTGAATTCAAACAGCATCATTTGGTGTGTCATATCGCAGCAATCCGTCTAAGCAGTACCGGTGGCTCAAAATTTTGAATTACTACGGAGGTACATTAATTAAATATGACATACATACATGCATCTCATAAAATTGTGACATAGAAATGTAGATGTTCATGTGAGTATAATCGGTAAATAGAGAATGAACAATCACTTGATAATTTTGATCGTGTTATCAATGCCCAGGCAGCATGAGATGACACCTTGTCACAATGTATGCACATGTACAAATGTGCAAAATGTTGTGCAAACAGTACATGTGCGGTATGTGTAGGGAGCGTACATGTACGCTCCCTACACATACCGCACATGTACTTTTTGCACAACATTTTGCACATTTGTACATGTATGTACATGTACATTGTACACGTATATGTACTGTCACTACTGTACATTGTAAATCTCCCACTTAAAGAAGCATATTTACGGCCTGCAATGTGCCCAATTGGGCTACAAATCACACTTTGAACTAAAGTATAGTATGTAAACGTCCACACAACCATCCTTTAAAAACTGGGTGGTTTTTGTGTTACTCTAGCCAGAACCATGCGAGAATGAACTTTGGGGGTCACAGCTTTGCTCAGAAAAATTGAGCTGTTGAGTGCTAGTTGTGTATCCTGTTACACAGTGGTTCGCATTCTGCGGACGTGTCAGAAACAACATAAAGAAATGTGCTGTGTTTATAATGTGATGTAACACACAACGTGTACAGTTGATTGAATAGAGATGACTTGAACAAATGCCACAAAATGTACCCCCCCCCCCACCATCCGATGTAAACACAGGTTTTTCCCGTCTTTTCTCAGGAACGGCAAGACATTAGGTTTAGTTTCCTTCCAACCATTCCTTTAAAATAGGATAAGTAAACAATCCAAAACATGACATTTTCAGGCATGTCAGACCGTAATGTCTCTCTAACATGCACACACACATGGCATTGATATACTCAAATATAACGGCCTACGTGACAATTTAAGGTGTCATATTACATCCAGACAGCAAGAGGTACACAACTGCCAATGTCACCAAGTCACGAGGTCATCAAGCCTGCATGGCCCCAGCAACAGCTGCACTAGACATTCCAAGCACCAACTCAACCACAAGTTGAGTACGCAAGTGGTTTTCATTTGTATTGCCCTTGCAAAAGCCTTTTTTTGGAAAGCTCCCTGCTTGGAACTATGCAAATACATGTACATGTATGTACATGTATATAAAATTTAATGGTTGAAAAGAAACAATAACAAAGCAGGTGAGCTGGAACTATTTGCTCACCTGACAATAAAAACATTATCCTTTGTTAGAACTTCCTCTTTTGAATAACTGGACAAAAATTTACTAGGCATTCAGACATGTCAGAAGAGAACCTGCTGAAATTTAGATCGAAACAGATTATATCCGAGTTAGTTAGATAGTCCAGCACAGGTTCTATGGCCACTTTCATAAAATTACACTAAGAACAAAAAATATGCTCAGTGTAGAAACTGTTTACTTCGCAGAAAAAGGTTACCAGCCAAAAAGTCATGTAATGTATACTGCTGGAGAGTGATTACCACTTGATTTTGCTAAGCAGAAAATATTTCTTAAGCACTTTTATATTTACTTAGCAGCTGAACAAAATTGGGCCCTGGTTTTGCCATGATGACCAGGTCAAGGGGCTTTATTGCGTACAGCTATGACAAGAATGATAGCAACATCTGCAAATGACATTTTCTACATGTACATGTGGCTATTTCCGGAGCTATTTATTTGTGTGTAAAGATACTGTACATGTACATGTACATGTACATGTACATGTGCGTGCATGTGGACTTTTGCCACACAGATACACATGGAACAAAAAATGCTGACAATGCAGTGAAAATTGCAAAGGTCTCTGTGCATGTATTGTACATTATGAATTCAGGCACGCAACTGGGAATTCTGGAAAAAACAGGGAAACCCCAAACCACACAAGACTTTTATTTGTAGTATTTTTCAAATTGCATTGGCATTCATGAGTAAAAAAAACGAGGAATTCAGCGGATCTGAGAAACAGTTGCATACCTGTGGATTATGACAAAATGTACTGTAGACTTACGTTATCATGGTCAACAATGGCAATGTTTTGTGCTTGTATTATCATTGTGGCAGTCTTGATTGTATGTAAATGAAGGCAGTGAATCTGGATTCTTGAACACTGGTTTAGTATCTAGCAAAGTTATGGCAAGTGTTAAAACTCTTAAATCAAGGCCTCTGTACTTTTTTAAAACGTGTGTACTTGTTACAGGTATCTGTTTACATGTACCCTTCAAGTGCAAACTCCTAAGTTCGGTTATAAAAGGCCACTACATTAAAATGTAAACATAGTACCACTTGGTTTTTTTTGTGAAATTTGTGTTTGTTTGTTTTGCAACAAAATAGCTCAAACCTTGAGAAGGATGCATAGCTCTGTGGATACTGTAGGCAATTTTGGGGGTCCCGTTACTGGATTCTGTTGCTAATGCATATAAAAAAAAACCTGTGCTTGCGGGCACATTTTCTTAAACCACCTTCAATTATTGTTTTCTTTCAAATGATGCCATTTGCGGTGGATACATTCACAGATATCTTCATTTTGAGCAAGGATTTTCTTGTTAAATCGGTAGTACATTTCCGGGCAAATACAAATGTTTCTACATGATGTACGTGTCTTTAAACACCTTGTGTTGACACTTGACAATCATGGTGTGTTTGTGTGCTAAACAAAATGTCCAGCTACACAAAATGGGAACAACAGTGCTAGACAAATGATCTGCATTTTCAAATTTGTGTGTGCACTTTATGATGAGAGGATTGGCGAATGCATTCATAATGGTGTACTGTTTCACGCACTTGTTGCGTGAAGAACGCGCATGACTTATTTTACTGTAAGTGGATGTAAAGCTGTGGGGTCTTCGCGTCAACGTCAGGCACCAAAAATCATGAAGATAATACATTCTATACTTCCGTTCCAGTAGTCTCCGCCAATCCTCTCTTTTGTAACCGTTGAGGGGGGTACCTGTGCACGGAGCCCATTTAAGTAGCTTGAGGTTCACATGAACATAATCTACTCAGTACTGGCAGGGCTGCATACAAATTCCAACAAGAGCATGCGGGCCCGCTGTGAAAAACTGTATGAACAATCATTCACATGGATTTAAGTAAAATTAGAATGATGACCCCAATTCAAATTCAAAACAGGTTGCATAAACTTATAAAGTGAAAAGCACAGTCAAAAGACCACTCTACATAATTTTACTACTCTAGCTACCTCCCTAAGTTCATACACCCCCCCCCCCTCGCATGCCCCCCCCCCCCAAATTTGAAATGCAAATTTCATCTTGTTATTTTTTACCTCCATTCTGAACGTCAGGTCCAATGTCAATGGGCAGCAACAGCGGGAAAATTCCAGTCATTCCGACGAGAATGGTTGCGAGCAAGGCACACACCCACGCCTCCAGTCCTCCGGGTTTCGATTCAGTCTCAAACTCCGAGAAAGACCCGCTTGCGTCATCTGACACCACGACAGCCTCGCCGTCCACATTGCTCTTTTCACGGCCGGGGTAAGGGGAAACTTTTCCCGTGTGGGTTTTGGCACGGTGGATATCCGCACACGACGCCAACCGCGACAGCAGCAAAAGCACACCTAAAACGGCGAGAACAAACGACTTTCTTCCACGGAGAAGCCCATGTCTCGTTGGAGGAATCATTGCTGCAACTTCACATATCGTGTTAGGTCAAAACAATCGCAGGAAAGGGTGAAATTTGTCCCGAAAAGTGACATGAACATGTGAGCGAGCAGACACTGCAGCTGCACGCTCAACGTCTGATGACTTTTCAATGTTTATTTCCGGCTTTGCACTCTGCTTCCGGACCACATACAAGACGCGCCATAATAAAACGTGGCATACAATCTTGACGTTTAATTTCTATTTCCACGATTGGCTAGGTCGGACACGCTCGACCCTTATGGGTGGGCGGGGCCAGGGCTGGGAGATAGAAGGGGGCCGGGGGGGGGGGGGGTAGTTGGTTGGTTGGTTGGTTGTTCTGGATGGGCCCGAGGTTTGGGTCGGGGCTGGTGTTGTGATCAAACCTTAAAGATGTATTCCTGCTATTTCGAGTTCCACCCCGATTCAATTTGCTATTTTCTTGGCAATAGCAAAGTTTATATTCGAAGTTGAATGAAGTTTCGAACGGAAACATCCACCGAACTTTATATTGAATGATTTCTTTACTACATTGGAATTATTTGGGGCCCGTTCAGTTTGTTTTGCAAAATGATAACCTTCTCGAGAGGGTTGCAGACACCCCAAATCGGGGAAAGTGTTCGTGTTTTTTTCTTATCAAAAGGTTAAATAGAAAAGAAAAAAATTCATCAGAATAAGAAAACAAACACCTCTTCTTCTTTTTTTCTCCTTTTTTTTTTGGGGGGGGGGGGGGGGGGGAATGGGGGAGATGGGGGGGGGGGACGCGACTTTAAAGAACTAGGCCTAGGGGATTGGTAACATGCTCGTTAAAATATAGACTGCATTCTCCAGCCTATGTTTTGCTGTGAAGGATTTGGGATGATGGCAGAGAACTTGACCTCACACTTTTTGGGGGTGGGATGTGGGTGTCTGGGTGAGTATGACAAGTACATTGGCCACTTACATGGGCATCGCCAGGATTTTTTCCAGGGGGGGGGGACCCATTTTCTCCCCGAAATCCCTGTACTCAGTTTTCCAGCATATTCTTGATTTATCATTTTTTTCGAGGGTGGGCAGGGACATTTGCCGCCCACCCCCGAACCTATTAAATTAACAGCAGTATGACTTCAAGCCTTTTTTCCCTCCGATTTGTTTTCTTTCTTTTTTTCTGGGTTGTTGTTGTTGTTGTTTGCTTGTTGTTGTTTTTAGACAATATTAAAAAAGAACCTGACTTTTTCCCCGGGCATCTCCCACGCACGGCCACCGAAACTTTCCACGAGGTGTACATTTGTGCTTCAAAAGAGGGCGCTGTTAATGTTGTGCAGCGTGAAAAAAATCGCTCGTGCGATATCAAAACATCAGAAAAATGGCGGACATTGAACAGGTAAGGATTTTAGGGGAGTAGATTTTGGCGGCAAAAAAGGGATAAAAGGGCTACAGTACCCCTGATTGCTGGACAGCCAAACTACCTAATTACTGTTTACATGAATGTGGACTTCTAGAACATAAAACAGATGGTTTTGTCGCTGTTTGCAGTTGCGCATGTTGCACTATTTTAATCTTCAAAACACTATTCCCATGCCTTTTCAAATGTTTCATGAGCGTGTCTTGTGTACTCAGTGTAGCATGGCTTGTCATGCACTGATGCAGTTAATTTTAATCAGATTCAGGATGGCTGCCACTCCGAGTGCCAACTTTTTTTTTTAAATGGCCGTCACTTGCATACAGGAAATGATATGTGATTTGTATGGGGTAGATGCAACAGATAAAGAGGTCAAAATAATGTCGCTTTTTTTTAAATTGATAATTTTTCAAAAAAAGGAAAAGGGAGGCGGCCTCCAAAAAGGAAGCGGGCGGGGACACTTAACATGTTTTTTTTGCAGTTGCCCTTACCAGTCTAGTCGGAAAAAATGTTGCGACCTGATGCCACTTCCGCGATCGATTGTATGGAGAGTCAAGAACATTTTCTAAGTATTTTCTAACAAAGTTGGAAATATTTTTCAGTCCCAGATTCATGTCTTATCATCATTTTTTTGCAATGAATGACCTTCATTGAGATGATATATGAAGAAAAAATGGCGTCAGGTTGCAACATTTTTTCCGTCTAGGCTTTTACAGCCTCATTTTGATATCACTTGACTTCCCTCACATGTACACAATGTTGAAGAAAATTCTCTTTTAAAAATCGAATTCATTCATCAAACTTGTTTTTCTGTACTAATTGTCCCAGTCTGATGACCACACTGTGTGGCTCACAATACGGACGAAGTCCAGTATTTGAGTCACATTTATGGGGCTAATCCAACCAGTTCACTTTGGTAGCTCGAGTGCCGTAATGATAGCAGCACTTACCCCTAGAACTATGGGTATTACATGTAATACCCATAGGTAGGCATATCAACGCGAACATGCTGTATACTCTACGAATAATATACAATCAACCTGGAAAAATAGTGGAAGTGAGTTTTGGAGTGACCGCAGTATATTTGTACCCCAAGACTATTCCCAGTACTTCTTGACATACTCGCGTTCATTTCGCTATCAAGTATAAGGGTTGAATCGATTGTGATGGTTGCGAAAAAATGTTGAAAAACAGTCCCATTTCCGTACCGAAGCTACAGTTTGAGTTTTGACGTTTTAATGTGCACGCAAAGCATTGTTGGCGTGATATCACATGAATGTTGCCGTCGGCATGTTTTTGTTTTTTTTTACTGCACAGTGTTTTGATTTTGTTCGACGTGGCATGCTTCAAAGCTTAAGTGCACATGGTAAAAATGAGTCCCTTGTTTTGTTTTTCCTCCCCGTCTTTTAACAGATATCACAGCTTGAAGTGCTGTGCAAGCAGCTGTACGAGACCACAGACGCCGAGCAGCGGGCTCAGGCGGAGAAAGCCTTGGTCAGCTTCACCAACTCACCGGACTGTCTGAGCAAGTGTCAACTTCTGCTAGAGAGAAGCAGCGTAAGCAGAAACTGTCATTGTTCTGTATCGGGGGTTGGCTAAGAACAGAAATATGCTAAGCACAAATGCTTGCTTAGCAGAAACCAGTCTGGTTCCCTGACCAGACAATTCCCTGACGCCCTGACGTCTACGTCTACATATAGGTCAGGTAGCCGCCACGGCTAAAAATAAAAGTGATGGCCTCTTTTTCAAAGCTCGGCTTGGTTTCCAGTTTGAGTTTATCATTAAAAGCTTTTAATGTTCCAATTAAGATTAAAAAAATCACTTGCGTCATAGGCTTATATCATACAGTTTGATATTTCTTTAAGAAAATATTGATTGACGTTGAGCTGAAATCTTCAAAATTCTTCAAAACTTACACATTTTGAGATTGAGCCAAACTTGAAATTAACCCCAATGTGGTGTTGATCCCAACTTGAGATTGAATCTTAACTTGACATCGAACCGAACAAGATCAGAACAAACTTTGAGAGCACCAACGTCGAATTTAACCCAACTGAGAATTACACCCAACTTCGAATCAAACCCAACTTCGAATCAAACCCAACTTCGAATCAAACCCCACATAAGAGTTAGCAAAACTTGGAATTCAACCCAATTTCAGCTTTGTCAGACCGACCTTTGTATTTCCTGTTCCTTTTATGATAAAATAAACTTGTTGGTTGACTTGGTTTGTAAATTTATATGTAACAAAAAGTAAACAAATCTTTTATTTTAATTTCTAGTCAGCTTATGCCCAACTCCTCGCTGCCACAACACTCACCAAACTCATTTGCCGGCCGTCGACAGTCCTTCCGCTTGAACAAAGAATAGACATCAGTAAGTGATTCATTTATTTTTGATCAGAAATGTGGTAGACTGTTCTTCGTTTCTGTCTGCTTCAAGTGGGTCACATGCAACGGGGGATGAACAATTACAAAGTTCTAACTAATGTCACAGATCATTTGATGAGCTTGTGTCTTGTCATGGACTGTGTGACTTGACTTGAACTGGAGGACTTGTGAAGACTTGTGAGGACTTGAGAGACTTGGGAGGACTTGTAGTGACTTGGGGGGACTTTTGAGGACTTGGGGGATTTGTGAGGATTTGGGGGACTTGTGAGGACTGGGGGGGGGACTTGTGAGGACTTGGAGGGGGGACTTGTGAGGACTTCTGGGACTTGTAAGGACTTGTGGGGACTTGTGTGGACTTGTGAGGACTTTGGGGACTTGTGAGGACTTGTGGGGACTTGTGTGGACTTGTGAGGACTTTGGGGACTTGTGAGGACTTGTGGGGACTTGTGAGGATTTGAGGGGGACTTGTGAGGACGTGTGGGGACTTGGGGAACCTGTGGGGACTTGTGGGGACTTGTGGGGACTTGTGAGGACTTTGGGGACTTTGGGGACTTGTGAGGACCTGTTAGGACTTGTGATGACTTGTGTAAGGACTTGTGATGAATTCCACTACTTCATTGACTCAAGTGTCCACCCCTTCTAGTCAGCAGTCAGGTGGTTTATGGGGACTTATATTTTCTGTGGGGCTATAAGAATCTATCTGCCAAGTTTGGTGTTTTGGACCAGTCGGTCACGATCTTGTCAAAAATTGGATCTCTTTCTCTCTTGAATGTTTTTCGTGTGCATGGGTTCTGCAAACGTGATGCATGTACATGTGTGTTTTCCTCAAAACCCGTTTTATTCATGTTTAAAATCTGCCCAATTATTTTTTACCTGATTTTTGAATGCGTAAACCTGCACTTTGGATGCCCGTCAATGTACTTTATCAACATGGAATATTTAGCTAGTTCGTAATTTATTAAAGTGTGAAGAAATATGCTTTTTAAATTTCTTAGCATTACCAAAACTACATGTATGGTTTTCAAATGGGATGTCACATACAAAACTAGCTTACAGTATGTTACAGATTAATTAATTCAATTTATCATGTGCACATGAACGTGACTTACTTACCCAGAAACATCATAACCGGGCCGAGTTGACCTAATAAAGCCACACTGAATAAGCTGGTACACATGTTTTTTTTGTGGATAATTTTGAGCAACCTACAGTGCACACGTCAATGTACCTAGTGTTTTTGTCCCGTTATTTGTTTTGCATGGCATATGCACTCCACATGTACAAAATGAAAACCAGTAAAATAAACATTAACAATCTGGTGATGAAGATTGGGCATAATTAGTTAGTGATCAATTTTATATGGGCTTTCATGCTTTCAGTACAAATTTATATTTAGCAATTATGATTAATCGAATGAAATTAGACAGCCTAACGTTTCGATCATAGTAAAATCTTTGTCAAAGACAAAACGGCAGATCTTTTGGAACACGAAATCGTAATTTTAGTAATTTTGACGGAAAGATTTCCATATACGAAGTTCACTCAACACCCTGTGTACAAACCCTATGAGATTGGACTGAAAAATTCTAAGTGTTTTCTAAGAAAATGCTTGTATTTTCTCACTGCTCAAATTGACTTTGATGACATGAAATTGCTATCTGGGGGCTTGTTAGTCAATACAGAGGAAAATTAGTGAACTTCGTATATGGAAATTTTTCCATTTTGACTAAGTTCACAAAAATTCTGTAGTGTTAGGATCGATACTTTCAATTTTGTTTGATTTGGTATATATTAGGTCATTGCTGAAAGTTTTATGCCTTAAAAATGCATGTACATAAACTCGACTCTAATATCGAGGCAGTTTGTGTAAATGTGTTAATAGAAATTGCATTGAATAATTATGAACTAGCCTGGAATATTGCAGGTGAAATTTCAAAGTAGCTATAACTGAGAGCTTGTTTCCCTTTAAAAATTGCATCGCACTTCCGCCATTTTGATCCGACGACTCTTTGTTGAATATCAGACGACTATTTACTGTATGCTGAATAAATCCATAAAACAGTCACTGAGTTGTGCTATAAATACACGTACAACTCGTCGCATGTACGACCTGTTTTGTGAAATGAATCGCAGGACCCGTGGCAGCTGCGACGCATCGTAGGGATATGCGTCGCAGCACTGTGATGCATCGTAAGTTACGATGAGTTTCATGAAATCGGGTGCAGGTACAATGTATGACTTTTGCGTGGTTAGGATATTTAATTCTAAATTATCCCTGCTAGTTGTTAAAAAAAAAATTTCCCCTGCTTTCAAATGAATATGTAAATGGTTTGTTTAACATTTGTACCATTATATTCATCACCTGTCGGAAGCATTTATTATATTAATCACCAGCAACATTTTATCGGCGAGATGTCAAGTGCTCTTGGCACGATGCCAGAAATGCAGGCGCGAATTGCCAAAAATACCAGTATATTTTATACTACGACAACTTCTTTTATCAAAACAAATGGGATTCTACATGTGTATTGTTCAGTATTTCCAGGTGAGGTCACGTAATACACACACGCACACGTGTGTATCATACATGCAGTACCTTTGTTGACATTACATACATAGTCCACATGTACTGTAGATTGTTATACCTCTGTCTTGAATACTGTATTTTCATTGTCCTTGAACGATCACGTCTTTAGTTTATAAAAAGTCGTAGCACACTCCCTGTGTACGTGATATCCCACAGGGAGTGTGCTATGACTTTTTGTGTACGGTACGTACGCGTTTCACACGTAAAACACAGCGAACTTGCAGACTATCAGTCGAGCACGCGACATGCATGTGAGTTGCCGTTAGATTGTCATAATTGTTGTGTTTAGTGTTTACTGCTAAAATCCAAGACACAGGTATAACAAAACAATTGTGAATGGTACTAATGAACAGTTTTCCCTGTCCTTATCCAACTTCTGGACTTAGAGTACACTTTGTTTGGCAAGGTTTTGTTTTTGTGTACTTGTACTCATTCATCTGGGATTCAAAAGAGCAAAATGATGTTTGAAAAACCTTGAAACATCAGTTATCCCATGAGTGTGAGTGGAACACGGAATAATGCAGTGCATTGATGTCTTGTCGAGTGGCACATGGGACACAGCGCGCTACATTTTTCGTGTTCCACGAGCGCAAGCGGAATAACACCCTTTTTGCTGGGATGCATCCTCAATCCTCCAAATCTTCCAACATTTGCACTTATGTTCAAATAAAGAATAACCACTGCCTCTATCCTTCAAAATCCTCCAACACCCCTGCCTGTCAATCAAAACGCATGCAGCCTCAATCCTCCAAAATTTCTTACGTTGCACATTGGGTTGCTTAAGCTCAGGCATGTGTAAATTTAGGCCTAGATAATACTTTAATCATACGGACTGCTTCTGAAAATCACCCGCACTGCCTCAACTATTAACAGTGATTGCCGGAGGATTTTGCAGGATTGAGGTAGTGGTCACCCCTCCAAGGACCACATGTATATCATGTACATTCAAGAAATAACAGAGGATTTTGTGGGATTGAGGCTATATGCAATTTTTAGGCAGTTTTGAGGCAGTTGGAGGATTTTGCAGGATTGAGGTTGCATCTTTGCAAAAAGGTTTAGGGGGTTAGGGTAAAGTAAAATAAACCTTGGCACCTCAGGATTGCTTGTAAGTGCAGTGTTACATTGTTGTTGTATTTTCTTGTTTTTGTATTTCATTTTTTGCTGTCAGAATTGTAAGATTTATCATCAGATTATTTATTTGTTTAAGAATGAAACCCATATAAATGCACCTTTGCAGACTTCTGGTAACTTATCATAATGAAATTTTGCGATTTGATGACTTTTATTCATCTTGGCAGAAAACTACGTGTTGAACTACCTAGCTAGTCGGCCCAAGCTGCCAACGTTTGTCACGCAAGCGCTCATCCATGTAAGTTGATGCCAATTCAATCCCATGCAAGGCTTTTAAACACAGAATTCGAATTTCAGAATAGGCCAAAAGAAAATCTGGCAAAATACACATAGTAGGTCATCAGAGGCTATTTATGTACCGGTGTGTAGTAGTCATGGTAGTGAACGTAAAGGAAACAAAAGTAATGACGCGTGAAAGAAAATCCACTAAAATTTTTATTAATTCTCTTTCAAAGTAAAGTCTGGTTGTATCTGTCACCACAGTGGTTTTTTGCCGTTGTCAAGAATAGTGATATCTGTTACATTTCCAAAGTCTGAGAAATAAACAGAACTTGCTTTCTCGCTTGAAGATTGTGTTGATTCAAAAACCTAATTTAAAGGTTGGATAACTTAAAATCTTAATTTTTTTTCTTCATGAAATTGAAAAATGCTGTTACCAGACTATGTATCATTGGAAATACTTTGTAATGTCTTTTATTTTCTTAGTTATAAATATTTTTGTTTTAACATAAAACAAGTATTGAAATGAAAGCCTCAATTTTTGTTTGATGCTAATTAACTTTTTTTTTTGGTCTTTTGATTGAAGTAAAAAAGAAAGGAAATTTTTAGTATTCAAACATACTGATATAGTTTCTCAAAATCATTGTAATAAATAAGTTGGTGTGCACTGAGAAGGCACCAGACTATATTTACAATTAGCCTCACTTTGAACGGTGAAGACATGTTCAGGAAAAACCAACATGGCGGTAAGATGATACTGGTCTGGTAACACTTGTCCTTTTGATTCCTGTAGTTGCAGTCGCGTATCACCAAGCTGGGATGGTTTGACAGTGAGAAAGATAACTGGGTGTTCCGGAATATCATTGATGATGTTTCCAAATTTTTACAGGTATTTATTTACTTAAACAAAAATGTTCGGTACAACTGAAAAGATTTTTGAACATCGAAACCATCAAATTTTTATTATATTCATTCATAGGTCACCAAATTAAAACGTTAAAAAAATGCACCAAACAGTCAAATTGCAAAATATTTTTTGAAAATCAAGCTGCCAAAGGTTTATTTTTTTTTTTGACATTCCAATTGTAAAGCATCGTGTGTCCATATAGGTGACCATTTTTTTTTAATTCCTGAAAATACCGAAACAGCCAAATTGCAGGAAATGTTTGAAAATCAAAACTGTCAAATTTGTCAGAAATTTATTTACATTTCAATATTATATTCCAAGGTTACAAAAAATGAAAAATCTAGTTTCTTAACAAATGAGTAATGATTCTTGTCATAAGTTTAAAGAGAACAATGTTCCTGATAAAATGGATAAGCCCAAACTGCCCATATGCCAAAAGTTTTTGAAAATCAAAAGTGCTGTATAATTTGTCAGACTTTTGTTTACATTTCAATATTATATTCCAAAGTTATAAAAATCTAATTTCTTACAATGAGTAATGATTAATGTCGTAAATAAAGAGCACTGTTCTTGTATGTTTGTCATTTTATCTTGGAGTTGAAATTGAAATTTGTCATTTTTTTTTTTGATGTAATTTCCAGGGATCTGTGGACCATTTTGTCATTGGCGTTCAGCTGATGGCACAACTAGTCAATGAAATGAACCAGGTTCGTACAAATGTACGTTACATTGCAAACAGGTCTTAAAACTCTAACCGATTGAAAATTAACAAGTTTTTATCCATGGGAAACTAGTTTTAAAATATAAGTGATTCACAAAACTGAAAAGACTGTAACATGAAAGATGTACAAAAATTGTAAAAATGTGGACATTTTGGATGTTGAAATATTTGGTAATAAATTATTTCATCTAATGAAAATCTGCCCCACTCCAAATGATTCTTAAGTCTGCTTACAAGCCATATCTCTTTTTGCTAAGCATTTTGTAAAGTATGTTAAGACTACATAATCGTGCTTGGGCAGAGTGTTTAATTATATCATTCATCTTTGCAGCCCGACACTGTTAGACCATTGACTAAGCACAGGAAGATTGCGTCTTCATTCCGCGACTCTGTTCTCTTTGAGATTTTCAACTTGGCCTGCAATCTCCTAAAGCAGGTGAGTTGGTAAATTTTGCGGCTGGGCTTGGCTGGGTTGGGCTAGGGTGGGTTAAGGTAGGCTGAACTGGGCTGGGATGAGATGGACTGGGAAGTCGCTAGGGTGGGTTTTGCTGGGCATAACTGGATTCGGCTGGGCTGGGCCTGGTTGGGCTAGGATGGGCTGGGTTGAGATGGACTGGGAAGTCACTAGGGTGGGTTTTGCTGGACATAACTGGATTGGGCTAGACTGGGCGTTGTTGGGCTAGGATGGGCTGGGATGAGATGGACTGGGAAGTCGCTAGGGTGGGTTTTGCTGGACATAACTGGATTGGGCTAGACTGGGCGTGGTTGGGCTAGGATGGGCTGGGATGAGATGGACTGGGAAGTCCCTAGGGTGGGTTTTGCTGGGCATAACTGGATTCGACTGGGCTGGTTGGGCTAGGGTGGGCTGGGATGAGATGGACTGGAAAGTCCCTAGGGTGGGTTTTGCTGGGCATGACTGGGCTGGGCTGGTTGTGCTGGGCTGGGCTGGTCAGCTTGGGCTGGGCTAGGGTACAGGTGGGTTAGGTTCCAACAGAAAATAAAATGAAATGTAAATTGATGCTGCAGGTCTCTACTTTCTTAAACCTGAAAACTTGATAACCTGTTTGTATGGTTTGAAGTATCTAAGGGATTAAAGGAATTTGAAACTTTCGTCCAATTTTTTTTATCCAGGCCTCAAAGGAAGGTGTAAACTTCAACGATGAAAACAAACACGCGCTCATGACACAGCTGTTGCGGTTGACCCACAATTGCTTGACCTTTGACTTCATCGGTACCTCGACAGACGAGTCGACTGACGACAACTGCACTGTGCAGATACCTACAGGGTGGAGATCAGGTGAGATCGAAAGTCAGCGGCTAGGTCTATGACTTGCCATAATGGTGTGTCTTTCAAGCCGTAGCCACGAGCACCCCAACACGGCTTTGGCTTTCCTGGTATCCATCATTTACTAAAGGATGGTATGCATAGCATGCAGGAACCAGGGAAATGCTTCCACCTTACAGGGAATTTGAAACCATGGTCTCCCTTCCAGTGTCAGCTTCATCTCTGACATCGGAATCCTTTTAGAAGCCTTAAAAGTCTGCACCAAATAGACATGCTCTAAAATTTGGTCTCATATTGTAAGCTCCCATATTATTAGCTGTGGATAGTAGCTCTGCAAGTACTTGAGTCTCTCCGTTAGTCCGTAGGTTAGTTAGTTAGTAAGCGCCTGTGCATTATAACTCGCCTTACGTGCCAGCGGCCCGACCACGTTGTAGCCGCGTCCTTAGCAATTCAGCATACCAGCTGCGAGTAAGGATGATTAGCCTCCCAAATTATTATTATTTAACCAGCACCTGCTTGAGACCCTGTGTCAGTTTTATCGCCCTCCCTTTATCGCCCTCAAGGGAGGGCAGACAGACTTGCGTTATCGAGGTCAAGTTTGCATTGTGACGTTCAACAAATGGCAAATCCTTTATTCCAATGCAAGTGCAAGAGCGCCATCTGTCTCACACAGACTAGGTAGAAGGTACACATGTACAAACACAAACTCATTGGCCCGTAGCTTCCGAGATCATTTCGAGCTTGTTTTAAGATATTCGAGCCACAGCTGAAAACCGAAGCCAGAGTTTCGATAATGCCCTGTGTTCTTTTGGTTTGTGTGTGGTGCCCTCTATTGATCATGCGCGTATTGTATGGCTAAAAAAGTGTGCAAATATCCTTGTCTATCACTCATTATGTTACTGTATTCTCCATTTTTTTGTATGCAGCATTCCTAGATTTCAGCACGGTCAATCTCTTCTTTGATCTGTACAAGTCTCTCCCCCCAACTCTTTCACCCCTGGTGAGTAAAGCGATACTTCAAGAGAAGACCAGCGACGAAACTTTTCCCATTTTAATCAGAGTTCTGACTTTTTAAAATTTCCTTCAAAACTTGCATAATTCCAATGAATTTTCTCCCCTCATAATATGATTGTTATTAAATTTAAATGAATTTCTTGAAAACTGCATGTCTTTATTGGGAGAAACTTCTAGTCTCTTTTACCAGTCGTTAGTACACAATGTTTATGGTAGAAACGCATCAATTGGAATATTTTATGGCTGGAAATAAGTTCAAGTGTTAACCTATGAAAATTGTACCAGAGCTTATGTATCCGAGATTCCGGGCTGTTGTTCATGGAGATCGACCGCTCGAGACCCCTGGCCTATTTTGCTATTTCCAGATTTTTTTCCAAAGGCCAGCTTCATCTCAAGACAAAGGCGAAAGATATGACCTGTTCGAAACAAACGACAAAGGTTTAACTTCTGTACATCATAAAAAATAACAATATTTGAAGTAAGGTAGGATTTGAAAAATGTACAATTAGAAAACAGCATGACAACTTGAGCAATTGTAAAACAACAATTTTGTCAAGTCAACAAATAGTCTAAGAAGTTTTAGAAGCATCATTTCATTTGTGCATCTGTTTAAGTGAGTACAATTTGGGGTTTTTGTCTTTCAGGCACTGACGTGTTTAGTTCAAATTGCTTCAGTGCGTCGCTCGTTATTCAACAATGCAGAGAGGGCCAAGTTTTTGTCGCATCTGGTCAACGGTGTCCGAGGGATACTAGAAAGCCCACAGGTAAGTATTTTAGGGGGGGAGGGTTGTTGGGTACTTGAAATTTTGTTGAAATGACTCTTGCGAATCAATATTTGTGGCGTTTAGCTGTATATCAGAAGTTGGCTGCTATATTGTGCCTTTTTTGAAAAATTGAAATTTTCGGCAAAAATAATCCTGTCCCGAAGTGGTTAAAAATTTAGAATTCCTGGAGTAGAAATCTTTGTTGTAAAATAAACAGAGCAGTGAAAGTTTTGAATGTTTGCAAAACTTCAACATGGCAGTGTACAATTTAAGACAGGCCACCACTCCTGAGACCCTGTGGAGAACACTGCTTGTGAACTTCTCTCCATTTTTTTAATAACTTCTTCAACAGAGTCTGTCGGGTGCAAACAATTACCACGAGTTCTGCCGGCTTCTGGCCAGACTCAAGTCCAACTATCAGCTAGGGGAACTGGTGAAAGTGGAAAACTACTCAGAGGTCATCGCACTCATCGCAAAGTTCACAATCGAAAGTTTACAGGTGAGCGATGGTAAACGGTAGAAAACTACAATTTTTTTTTCCGGTCATCTTCAACCTTCTGAAAAAAAAGCTTTTATTTTGGGTTGTGTTCTGCACAAGAAGAACTCCCTGCCAGTAGACTGGTTTCTGGTCCCTACAGTATCGATTCTGATGGTTAGGCAGGAACCAGTCTATCCTGCAGGACCAGTGTATCCTACGAGAACTGAATTGTTGTTGGGCCACAAATATTTTGAAATCTGTAAAAGTAATTATTTGATGTCAATAGTGCGGCTTGATTTTTTTTGTTCATCAAATGGCTAATTTGTCTTTTGTATATGTACAATTCCCCAACATTCCTAGCTTAGAAAACCAACATTTAAGAGAAGAAATGGTCAAGGTAAAAGGGGGACGAACCTGTGTTCACAGGAACGGAGTGCCCATCTCTCTTTCATTAGCGATTGGGCCAGACTCATATGCTGCTGTGGGGGGATCGCCACACCTCCTCCACAGCGAGTCTGTTACCTTCCCAGCATTGAATAATGCCGGTACCCATTTAACACCTGGGTTGAGACGAGTAATTGAGGTAAAGCGCCTTACTCAAGGGCACAACACGCATGGCCACGGCGGGGCTCGAACCCACAATCTCATGATCATGAATCCTGTGCTCTACCGCTAGACCACAGGTGTCCACAAGAGAAGACACTAAATAATCTGTTTTATTTCTAAAGGAGTTAAAGTTCCTTGTGTTGCTTCTAAAATGTGTTCCTGACAAAACTCCTCATTGTTCCACCCTGAAAAGGTATGGCAGTTTGCCCCCAACAGTATCCACTACCTCTTGACGCTGTGGCAGCGCATGGTGGCCTCGGTGCCCTACGTCAAGGCCACAGAGCCCCACCTCTTGGAGGTCTACACGCCGGAGGTGACCAAGGCCTACATCACGTCCAGGCTGGAGTCCGTCAGCGCTATCCTGAGGGACGGGGTGGAGGATCCGCTGGAGGATAAAGGGATGGTCCAGCAGCAGTTGGATCAGGTGAGTCCCCAACCCTTTAAAATCCATCTGCATGTTTTGTTGGAATCTGTTGGAGTAAAAACCCTAGCCACACCAAACCCTTCAAAATCCATCTGCATGTTTTGTTGGAATCTGTTGGAGTAAAAACCCTAACCACCCCAACCCTTCAAAATCCATCTGCATGTTTTGTTGGAATCTGTTGGAGTAAAAACCCTAGCTATCCTAACCCTTCAAAATCCATCTGCATGTTTTGTTGGAATCTGTAGGAGTAAAAACCCTAGCCACCCCAACCCTTTAAAATCCATCTGCATGTTTTGTTGGAATCTGTTGGAGTAAAAACCTTAGCCTCACCAACCCTTCAAAATCCATCTGCATGTTTTGTTGGAATCTGTTGGAGTAAAAACCCTAACCACCCCAACCCTTCAAAATCCATCTGCACGTTTTGTTGGAATCTGTTGGAGTAAAAACCCTAACCACCCAAACCCTTCAAAATCAAACTGCATGTTTTGTTGGAATCTGTTGGATTGAGTACTGCACTGGTAAACGGATTATGCTTTACAATGGGTCAGGCGTACCACCATAATCAGAGTCCAACAGTTTGGGTGTTGAGTTTACCATATGGTGTTGGATTTTGCCTGAGTGAGGAAGGTTCCTAGTAAATCACTCAAGTGGGTAAGGGTTAAAGAGGTATTCCGAGTGCTATTTTTGAGTTTCATCACATAGAAATAAATGCGTTTTCTAAATTGCTTTTTTTTTCTAGCAATACAAAGGTTATTCACTTTTGATTGAGACATCAACCGAAAAAAACATGGCCCACCTTTTAGTCATTGAATTATTACTTCACTAAACTCATTATTTGCAGCCCGACAATGATTCCATTCTTGTGGGGTAGGCTGGTTCCCGCCCAACAATCAGTATCGATAATGTATGGACGGGGAGCCAGTCTGCTGGAACGGCAGATCTGTTTGTGACCAAAATAAAAACAAATATCAGAGGATTACAGATGCACACCCCCCCCCCCCCAAATAAGATTTTTTTTTGCTTGGAATAAAACATACAAGTTGTAAAGTTATTTTTAAAGAGGAAAACAAATTGAAATTGCTGATAAGATAATGAGGAAAGCGACTAGCTGGATAGTTTGCATGGTGGAGCACTTTGCGCATATTTCTGTAGGTCACATGTTTGAATGTCATTGGGGTTTTCATTTTTGTTGTTGCTTAGATTTATTTTGTGGTATTCTGTTTATATCTTTGTCAGTTGTCAACAATTGGTCGCTGCGAGTACGAGAAGACCTGCACGCTGCTCTTTCAACTGTTTGACACGTCGGCCCAGAAGTACCAGGAGCTGATACGGACCAACACAACAGGGTTTGAATTAGCCACGCAAGAAGGTAAGACTCTGATTTCACATAGTTTGGAATATTGGCTGCCCGACTGATATTCCGTTCTCCCAGGGTAGGCTGGTTCCAGCCTCACAATCAGTATTGATAATGTAAGGACTGGGAGCCAGTCTGCTGGCAAACTGTGTCTGTTTGTGCTCAAAACCAAAACGTCTTTTTTTACAGAGAGTTCCAGTCCTCCAAAAAAGGAGTGTTTTGTGGGAAGAAAACATACCAGTTGAAAATTCTTCAGAAAAAAAAAGAAGCGAATTAGTTGAAGAGTACGGGGTACGCAACTTGAAATTATACTTTGTATTTCGGTCATTGGAGAACTATATACCATGCTTGTATAAAAATTGTGTTGGGGAAAGAAAATGAAAAAGGTTATAAGAATGTGTCAGTTCGATATTTTAACTGCGCATGTGCACAATGATATGCGTCACGGGTCTTTCGAGATAATTGAATGCTCATTGAAGGCGCATGAATGCGCAGGGAGATGGGTGCACGACGCTCGGCCGTTAATTACGTGCAGAATGGGCGTTTGCTTAACATCGCATAACATTACGTCAGCCATTTTATCCCAAATGGCCTTTGAACTGGACAACTTCATCGAAATACAGAACTGGCTTGTTGTGCATGCTTCATCTTGTTTCGTCCTCTTGCCACAGGTCGGTTGACATGGTTGGTGCTGATAATTGGTGCGCAGATCGGCGGCAGGGTGTCCTTTACTAGCGCTGAGGAACACGATGCACTGGATGGCCAGCTAGTCTGCAGGTAAATTGGGGGTGTGGAGTGGGGGTCAGGAAGGGGGAGGGCAAATCTCTTTATAAGGGGTTGAGGAATGTTAACCCTGGTAGCGTTCCACCCTTGGGTTTTCATGCTTCACTGAAATTTTTAAAGCAAAGAGAATTTCTTAGGGTAGTAAAAACTACATGTAATGTGTGGTGCTTATATAGCGTTTTCCTCCAAAGGTAGGTTCAAAGCGCTTCACTATTATTACCCCTGTTCATCAGGTTGAGAGACCACTTTTCTGCAGGTGGAGAGAAGCAATTGTAGTAAAGTGTCTTGCCCAAGAACACAATCTCCATGCTCCCAGTCTGGGTTCGAATTTGAACCATGGAACATAGGTCAAACACTGTTATCACGGGACCATGTTAGTAATGAATGTCGCAGTGGAAGTTTAATTGTTGACATGATGAAATTCGGTTCCCTTTTCAGTTTCATATCAACCAACATTGAAACCTAAAAAAAACCAGGTTTTTGTTGCCATCTTTCAGCTGGGGATAGGGTATGGGGGTGGGGAAATCTCAGAAATGTAGTGACTGATTTTTGTGAAATTTGGTAAGCAAGTAGAACTGGAAATTCGATCCATGTGATAGTGCTGGACAAGATTCAAACCCAGGTCAAAGCAGTGGAAGAAAAAGTATGTCAACACCATCCACTAAAGTTCTTCAGATTCTAATAGTTCATGGGAAGATTAAATTGGAAACTATGAATAACTTGGTGTGATGATCACAGTTTTCTTTCCCTTGTGATTGTCTGTGCAGAGTATTACAGTTGATGAACCTGACGGACGCCAAGCTGCCTCAGGGAGGTTGTGAGAAGCTAGACCTGGCCATGCTCAGCTTCTTTGAGCATTTCACCAAGATCTACCTGGGCAATCAGGTCCAAAAATCATCCAAGGTAAAAGCCCTGCCTTTCTCTGTTGTCAGAATTTCCTTTATTAATCAGTCAAAAATGGACAGAAATTTTCTTTTGGTTATATTTTGAAGAAAAAAAAGGAAAGGAAAATGATCAAAAACAAATACTTCTCTACAATTCACCCTTGTTCAGTGCAGACCTAAAAGTTGTAATGACTTTTTTCTTCTTGCAAAGATTTTTTTTGTCTATTTGGGATTGAAAGGAAGATGTCGGAATTATTATTTTTTTAAACCTTTTTTTTACAAATTTCTTTTTTCATTTTCCCAACAGTTGTACAGAACGTTATCACAGGTTCTAGGTCTTCAGGACGAATCAACAGTGCTTAGTGTATTCATTGGAAAAATGTAAGTATCTTTAAAAAAAAATATTGGCCAAGTCTGTATTGGAAATTTTTTTATTAGTCCCAGAGATGTGTCATGGCAAAAATGCAAAACTGAAGTTCGTTAACATTTGATTAGGACATGAACCTCCCCCCTCAAAAGAAAAAAAAAATTCTGAGAGTTGTCTATTTGTGCTAGAGTCATGACCAGAGTGATTTTTTTTATAGTAGTAAAAAACAATTATCAAAATAACATATTATTTGGAATAATTAAAAAAAAGTTTGTTTTTTTTATTAAAAAAAATTGCATAAATAGGCTGAGTAAAGTGGATGTTTGTGAAAATGATTTGGATTTGCAATAGTCACATCCACTAATGAAATTGTAGGATCAAGTCATGAATATGTATGAGGTGTTCTAATGATGTTTTTCCATTGGTGCACACAGCATAACCATCCTAGCATGCATAGTCATCAATGAAATTGTAAGATAAACTCATGAATATGTATGATGTACTGATAAATGTTTTCTTTGGATCACACAGCATAACCATCCTAAAATACATGGTCATTAATTAAATTGTAGGATAAGCTCATGAATATGTATGGTGTACTGATAAATGTTTTCTCATTGGATCACACAGCATAACCATCCTAACATGCATTAGTCACCAATGAAATTGTACGATAAGCTCATGAATATGTATGGTGTACTGATCGATGTTTTTCATTGGCTCACACAGCATAACCAACCTGAAATACTGGGGTCAGAGCGAGCCAATCATTGCCAAGACCCTGAAGTTCCTGAGCGAACTCTCCGTCGGCTACAGCAGTGTACGCAAACTGGTGAAGCTGGACGCTGTGCAATTTATGCTGAGCAACCACACGGTAAGCTTACAGTTGTTGGAACCTTGGAAAATGAATAATTACCTGGAAACGTACCCGCCTAACGATGATAAAACCTTTCTCAAAGTGAAGATGGGACTGGTACCAAATACCTTGTGAAATTATTCCGCCTAAAATGGTATCGTTCGGAAGAAAACAATCATTGATGGTGAGTTAAGAAAGTGTGCCCGCGGGCACAGTTTTGGCAATGGAATCTAGTTTAAGACCCCAAAAATTATTTGTGTGTTTTCTGTTTTCTCAAAATGTATAGTACTTAGGCCAAAAGAAAAAATAAGTCGGTCTCTGGTCAGCGCGCGCTTCGATTTTAATCATGCGCGTCGATCTTTTTTTTTCCAAAATGTTCCGCGGTAGCTCCAACAGCGCCCTCTATTTCCGCACCTCCTCAATTTTTTTCACCAAAGAGCACCAAGGAATGGGAAATTGCACCAAGGCAAATGATCGAAAGCACCAAGGCAAATTATGGAGGACACCAATGTACATGAGGACACCAAAAAAGCAAAATAGACCCACCTTGTCTGTACAATCCAAGCTTGAAAAAAAAAAAAAAAAACAACAAAAACAAAAAAAAACCGCGTGGCCGCGTCAATTCCGGAACTTTGGTCTGACCAGAGACCGAATTTTTTTTTTGGGGGCCTTATATGGCAATTTTACTTCGTCTTCTTTTTCCATTTTTATACTTGGATGTATGTTGTGTTTTGATTTATGTAACAGGATTTTGATGTAATATTAGTGTTTTAATCCAAATGTGTTGCCAATGGAATATGATCATCCGTATTTATAAGATGCGGATAATAAAGAATCATTATCATTATCATTATCATTTTGTTGCTGCAAACCCAAAAAGGTTGCCCAAAAGCAACTGAAATTATGTACCTAAAAGTCGTAGTTGCAAGCCATTAGCACCAGTGCCACATTGTATTTATTCACCAATGAATCCATTACTCCAAATCTAGAATCTCTAGTCACTGGAAAACTAATATAATAGGCAAAGTTGGCCTGTCAGAACTGAAATCTGTTTGGGTGAATTATAAAGTTGATTTCAATATAGCCCGGTTTTGGGCCCAACCCCTAACACCACCCAGAAATAGACGTCAACGTATCATACTCAATTTCCAAAGTTGAATTCAGCTACACATATTCAGCACATGATTTTTAAAACAAAATTCGCCCTCCCCTTCCCCCTTTTCATTCCCTTCATATTCATATTTCAAACCCTTCAGAGTGATCACTTTCCATTCCTGGGCGTCAACGGCACGTTCTCTGTTGGCGACATGCGCTGCCGGACGACGTTCTACACCGCCCTCGGTCGGCTGCTCATGGTCGACCTTGGCGAGGACGAAGACCGGTTTGAAACGTTCATGATGCCCATCACCTCGGCGTTTGAGTTTGTGGGCGCGCAGCTGGCAAACGCTAACGACGGGGCTGTTTGGAATGAGGCCGAGACAAAGGTACGAAAAATCATTCAATTATTTTTTTTTAAATGTATGTGAATCTTCAAATTCCTTCTTCATTGCTTATTTTGAATCTTCAATTTTTTTTGATTGAATAACAACCCTCCTATCCATATTCTAGCTCACAAATTGAATATCACGCTATTATCTTTTTAAAATTCATCAAGTGACCGCTTTTAATAGTTGGGATTCCAATATCTACACAGAGCAGGCTTGACTGGCTGTGACTGTTTATGTCACTTGATACAGCAATGCTTCGACTGTAAGTGATTGATAAGCCAGCTGTGCCTACCAGTCACCAGTTTTTGTCTGTTGATGGAATTTGACTAGTCACAGTGCTTACAAGAAATGTGACCCGACTGTTGGTGACTAGCCGGTGTACAAAGGCATGGCAGGGGAAGTGGACTGAATGTTTTGACTGTCTGTGACTGTTCAGACTGCAGGAGTGTTAATTTATTGATGCTTTTTGCAAAGCTCAGTGGACGAGCAGTTTAGCCGTCTGCACTAGTAAGCAGACGATTATGGGTTCAAGTCCACCTTGGCAAGATTGTGAATATTTTCTGACAGCACAATGTTTACAAATGAAACGGTGCTTGTAACATTTCTTCTGAAAAGTGCAAAAACCAAATGTTTGTCTTTGCTTTGATAGCTCTGTTTCGTTTTGCTTTAATTCACAGAGGACGTTAATCGGTTTAGCCCGAGATCTCCGAGGTATTGCGTTCGCCTTCAACAACAAGCCCAGCTTCCTCATGCTGTTTGAATGGATGTATCCTCTGAGAAAAAAAATAATCTTAAGATAGCTTTAAGTCCTTCAAAATCACTGGGTTGTTTTAAATCTACGCTGAGGATTTTCATAATTCTCTGTAATAACTGTTTCATCTTTTTATTGCAACAAACTTGTAAACTGAACCAGCCAAACTAGTAGAGTACTAATTAAAATGCCAAATATAGAAATAAACGGTTTTTAATTATAATGTGGGGCTAATACAGGGCTTTGTACCAAAGACTCAAAGCACTTCACAATTATTACCCCTGTTCATCAGGCCATGAGACCAGTTTTTGCAGCAGCTCGATATCAATGCAATCTGGTCTCTACCCTCACAGGTGCCCATTTGTACTCCTGGGTGGAGAGATGCAATTGCAGTAAACTGTCCTTCCCAAGAACACCAGCACCATGTTCATGTCAGAGTTCAAACCCACGTACAGTTGCACATGATTTGGATGCAATAACCATATGACCATGGCACTCCAGTTGTAGTAAAAAATTAGTTGACTTTTCTCCTTAGCCCGTGTTCCTCTCCGGTTAGATACCCATCCTACACCCCTATTCTCCAGCGTGCCATTGAGTTGTGGTACCATGAACCCATCGTGACCACGCCTATCCTGAAACTCATGATGGAGCTCGTGCAGGACCGATCTGAGCGGTTGCACTTCCACGTGTCCTCGCCCAACGGAATTCTTCTCTTCCGAGAGATCAGCAAGATGTTTGTGGCCTATGGTAAGTCCCGGTTTGAATTTTTGTATTTACACTGACTCCCCTGGATCCTTCCAAATCCACAGGTGATTAAAATAAAAAATAGTACAGATGCATTCTGCGTGTTATTGTCGAGTTTCACCCCGAAATATAGATTTGTTTTTTCAATTTTTCAAAGCTTTTTCCCTAGCAATATAAAAGTTATTCACTTTTGAATGAGACATCAAACGAAGAAATCTACCAACATGTAGTCATGAAATAATTTCAATAATTCGTATCTCGCAGGGCGGGTTCATTTTTGTACAAAATGAAAGCTCTTTTTCAGAGGGTTGTATACGCCAAAAGTAGTTTTTCATAAAAACAAAACATACAAATTGAAAATTGTTAAGAGGGGAAAAAATGTATATTTGTGTAGAGCACGGGCCACACATCTTTAAGTTAAGAAGTTTACTTTAACCAAAAATTTTTCTTGCTTATGCTTGTCTTCTGTACAGGATCAAGGATGTTAACGTTAGGAGCCGACATTCCAAAGGACCAAGTTTACCCCATGAAATATCCTTTTTTTTTCAACAAAACTCAGAAACATGTTTTTGGTAGAAAACATGCATCATAATGTGACAAATGACACATCTTGTGGATTGTTTCCAAATGTAGGATACTGTACTATCAGGTCGCATCAAACCAAGATTGCTTTGAAACCTTCAAGTTATATTCAAACAGAATTTTGGTAGTGTGCATGATTGTGTAATGCCAAGTTTTCCTAGAGAAAAACTTGATTACCAGCCAAATTATCATGTATATTGCCTTATAACTGGTTCTCAGCTGATTGTTATTTTTTCCAAAATATTTCTGCTGTAAGTAGGCCAGTGAAATTGGGCCAAGTTCCATGGCTTTATTTACCATACATAAATGCGCATGTATGTATGCTTACCCTAAGCAACAACTCTGTGCTGCTTGGTTCACATGGAAAATTCTGGGCACAAGTGAAGAAGTGCATGATTAATACACACTTTTGGTATCCAGAAAAATTTCACCTATCCTTGTATGTATGTGAATTGAAAAAGCATACGTGGTAAGGTGTTCCAATTTCATTTTTAGCACTGCGACTCTGCGTTTAGGCCAACGTATTCGATCAGGATACTTGATATGGGCACAAATTTCAAACCTGACAAAACTCTCTTTTTGTTTTTGAGCCCTCTTTCCTTGACCTTTGACCTCCAAGCTGAAGGGCGTGTCCATCTGTTTTGGCATGTTGAAGGCGGTCCTGTCGGGCAGCTACGTCAACTTTGGCGTGTTCCAGCTCTACGGCGATACCTCGCTTGAGGAGGTCCTTCAGATGTTTGTCAAGTTACTGCTGTCCATACCCCTCAGCGATTTACTGGTAAGTTTTGAAGGCTTGCTCTTTTACCAATATCATTTTGACCTTTGATAAAAAAAACCACACTTTTTTTCCCCCTATTTTTGGCGCCTACAGCTCTCTGGAAAAAACCCCACATGTGCACAAATAGATCTGCCTGGCAAGTAGACTGGTTCCTGGTCCGTACATTATCCATTCCGATAGGGGGTGGGAACCAGTCTACCATGACAGAACTGAACTACTGTCAGGCTGGAAATCATTACAAATATCGTCGTGTCCGTGCAACAAGGTCGTATCTCCTAAAATGGGCCGTACGTGAAACGCGAGTTTCAGAATGTCAAAAGGTAGTATTTCACTTTACCTGGATGTATACACAAAGTCGAGATACAACCTTTCTGCACAGAGCGTATTCGCGCGAGATACAACTTTGTTGCAGGATGGAGTTATGACCTTGTTGCACTGACGCGACGATATGTAAAGTAATCTTTTCCTTAATAAACATGGGCCATCTTTTTCAGTTGATGTCTTATTTAAAAGGGACCAACTCTTGTATTTTTGTTTTGAAATTCATAGAAATAAAATAATTTTGTGCCCAATTTTTTTATTAATAATGATGTTATTTTATTTTATTAAAAATTTTAATTTTTGCCCCCAACCCGGTAGGATTATCCCAAGTTGAGCCTGAACTACTACAGCTTACTGGAGAGTCTCGCCAAGGACCACATGGCCTTCCTGAGCGGTCTGGAACCCCAAGTATTTCTGCACATTCTCTCCTCGATATCGGAGGGCCTGACTGCCTTAGGTAGGTGGGAAATAAAATAATGTGGCTGTGTCTGAACCATATTTTTGTGTGGCTGTGGCTAAAGTTTTCCATTAGGCATGCTACAGAGAATAGCCGTAGCCGTAGCCGTAGCCACGTTTTTTGGGGCTCAGGGCCCATTTTCATGGCTCTGCTTAGCTTTAGCAAAGTGTAGCAGAAATTCTGTGCCCCTGTCTATTGTCTGGTCCATTGTTTTTGTGTTGTCTTGTCTGTTTGTTGTCTGTTTTTGAGTATTCCAGAAAATGGCTTTTGCTGATGTACTGATTTATTTGTTAGGTTTTTGCTCAATTTGTTGTACATGTATTTGTATGTTTCTATGTTGCATATTGAAAGAAAGAAAAAAAAAAAAAAAAAAAAAAAAATTCTGTGCATATTTCACGGGTAAGCATGGAATTTTGGCTTGTGTGTTTGCGTACATCCTGTAACTAAGGATTCTGTGCATACAGGATTTAGCACAAGCTTTTTGCTAGTAGTGTTAGCATGGAATGGTGACCGTAAGCGCGGAATTCTGTGGTTAGCAGAGTCTTGAAATTGGGCCCCTGGGTTTTGTGGATCTACTGAGCAGAAATGCTGATAAGCAAATTTATGTGTTTCTGCTAAGCAGGAATCCAACCAGACTTAATGCAAAACATCAGGACAGCTTAAAAGCTGACGTTTTTATTTGTGCTTAAATTGAATGAGTCGCAGAGGAAACTTAAAGTATGTTACTGGCATGCTAGAGAGATAACATGGAGGAAAATGGCGTTTGTTTTTTTCATCTCATTCGCAGACACGGTGGTTTGCACGGGATGCTGCGCTACGCTAGACTCCATCGTAACCTACCTCTTCAAGAGAATATCCAAGTCGGCCGGGAAGAAGGCGAAAAAGGAAAACGACAACTTCCCTTCCATCATGGTGGTGCCGCCGGCGATACTACAACAGGCAAGTTGCAGCCGTTTTTATTGAGTATAGAGCCTTTGCATTGGGGCCATCATTGAGGTGCGTGCTTTTGTTGCACAAGCCTACGTATGAGTACAAGTCTTGTGCATACATTGTTACTGAATTACAATTATATAAAACACACCTCAAATAATGCTGCTGAATGCACTGAGTCTATGTTCTTAAAGCCCCAACTTCAACTTGTGTGCCTGAATTTATACATCATGGAAACAGCCCCCTCAGTTGTCTGCAAATAGGAAGGGCATTTCAAATAGAAAAAAAACAGTTAAAGGTAATATACAACATTTGCAAACATTAAAAAAAAAAAAGGGACCAAATTATTATGAAATAGCTTACTTGACTGTAGGTGAATGACAGTCTCAAGCATCCTGTGAAATCATGGCACCTGGTGTGCTGTCATTGTCAAGAAAAGTGGAATTTTTGTATCAATTTCCAATGATGGTCGGCCGACCGTTGGGAAAAAATGACTTTTTTAAGATACTGCCCCCAATTTACCAAATTTAGTTCGTCTGCATTTTGTTTGCAATCGGTTACACATCCGTGAATGGGTGCAAGCCAGCTAGTCTAGTTTCCTGACCTAACAATTCCTTGACGTCTATAAATGGCTCGGTTCCACCTAAAGTAGGGTCAGGGAACCAGACTACAAGAACAGGATTTTTGTTCTTGGTTTTCCAGCATCCATGAACACAAAACTTTAAACAGATCAGTGTAACCATATTCGCTACAAAATACTAACCCCTAAATCCATCCATTTCTGAAAATTACAGCAAAAGCAAATGTTGTATTTTACCGTTAAGACCAAAAATTATCTCATTTTCGTATAAGTCAGAGGAATGGATGTAAGCACCCAAAAATATTTGCTGTAAAATTCATTTTCAGACCTCTTACAATATTTTGTCTTCTGTTTGTAATTTTCAGATGTTGTCGACCGTGTTGAATATCATCATGTTTGAAGATTGTCGCAACCAGTGGTCCATGTCAAGACCATTACTTGGGCTGGTTCTCCTCAACGAAGACGTGAGTACAAAACTGAATATTTGTTTTTAGTTGGGGAATGAAACTCATGACCAAATTGAGAAAAAAAAAGAAAAGAGATGTTGTTATTTTCTTTGCGAACGTTTTTTTCTCCTTCTTGAAATGGGTGTAAATATCCGACTTTGAATGCATTCCCGAACTTTCCCAGATCCATTGAAATACGTCTCGAAATGTTGAAGGATTTTGCTATTTTACATGGGCTTGATGCATGACGGGAGTGTGGCCTAGTGGTTAGGGTTCGTGACTCACGATCAGATGGTCATTGGTCCGAATCCAGCTGCTGGCCATATGCTGTGTCCTTGGGCAAGCCACTTCACCCCAACTTGCCTCTCTCCACCCAGGAGTATAAATGGGTACCGGCATTAGCTGGGGAGTAACCTGCGATGGACTAGTATCCCGTCCAGGGGGAGTAGAAATATTCTCAGTCGTTTCATGCTACTGAAACCAGTTAATGCCAGCCTGATTGGTCATATTGGCTCGTGACAGACTTCTATTAATACTTCTGATGCCCTTTAGTAAAAGTATAAAAAAGTTCCATTGGTTTCCTACATAGTGGTTGATTTTTGAGTATTCAGAAAATTTCCTTGCAACAATACCTACAGAGAAAGGGTTAAAACAGTGTAATTGAATCTTTAAAAAAAAAATCATTGGTTTGTCCAACTGCAGTACTTCACTGAGTTACGAGAGAGCATCATAAGCTCCCAGCCGGTTGAAAAACAAGAGGACATGCGAATGTGCTTCAAGAACCTCATGGACGGCATCGAGGCAAACCTCAGATCCAAGAACAGAGACAGGTAGGAACATTAACAAATAATATTAATAATAATAATAATAGTAAAAAATATAGTGCTTTATACCAACATCTCAAAACCTTCACAATTATTGCCCCTGTTCTTCAGGCCATGAGACCAGTTTTCTGCAGCAGCTGGAGATCAGCGCAATCTGGTTTCTTACCCTCACAGGTACCCATTTATACTCCTGGGTGGAGAAAGGCAATTGTAGTAAAGTTTCTTGCCTAAGAACACAAGCAACACGTACTCCAATGGGATTCGAACCCACGTACAAAAAGTTGTACATGCATTGGACACTGTAACCATTGGACAAAGTTGCTCCACAAAATTACCAAATTTACATTAAAATTTTTTTTCAGTATTTGTTCCTGGTTTCTGCCGAGTCTACTTTTCTGTCGATTACAAGCGATCAGAATCAAACCAGAAGTCAAGACATCTCCTGGCATTTTTGAAATAAGACACTAAGCTTAAGCTGAAGTTGATGTTGATGTTTTTGCTCTTTGTTTAGTCCACCAATCATATCCTGTGTTGGTCTTCTTTTTCAATCACCTCAGATTTACCCAGAACTTGTCGGTGTTCCGTCGCGACGTCAACGATTCCCTCAAGACCACGAACAACTCCTCCGTAGTGTCTTCACTAAGCAGCACGGACATGATGAGCTAGCCCTGGCGCTGTCATCTTGAGCCTTCGTGTAATATATAAAACTGTACAAAATTTGAACTTCTTACTTTTTGGAGGAGCAAGGGGACCAATTTTGTGGAACTGCTAAGTACAGAAATCTTCTCGGCACAGAAGCCAGCTTAGCATTGCAATCAGGGCCCAATTTCATGACGCTACTAAGCACACGATTTTCTGCTAACAGAAACTCTGCTATTTCATGGAGACCGTAAGCAGTAAGCAAAACAGTAAGCAGAGCCCAGAGGGGAAAAGTGCTTAAATCAGTGACGTAACAATATAAATCTCCACGCGCGCACAACCGTTAGCACATACAGTCGTGAGTTTCTATACACCCGAGGACAATGCTTTGTGTTTCCCTTTGTCCCTGTAATATAACACTCTCCCATAGACTAAGCACATAACGGTACGATCGAGGAGCGTTTTAAAAAAAAGACCCAACGCTCGAGGACTGAAAGGATCTTTTGTTCTCCCTTTGTGTGTCTGTCCTCTATCATAAAGCCATAAATGTACATGAAATAAGGTTAAAGATTAGCACAAATTTCTGCTATATGGCTTGTTTACACTAGACAAAATTGTGGGGGTGGCCCGGGGTGATGCTGGGGTGAAAATAAGCCATGATTCACACTTGAAATTTTAACCCTCAAGCCACCCCGAGATTGCTCTTTTCCTGGGGCGAGTTCAACCCTGCTTGGTACCAGGGTTGAAAATCTTATCCCAGGGGCGAGAACTGTAGTGTGAAACGAGCAGGGGTGAGTTCCCTTGGGGTGCAAGCATCAGAGGGTTGAAGAAGACTCTGAAGTTTGATGTAATTGCAACAATTCATCTGAAAATACGGTACATTGTGTACAATGTGCACTTTATTTGTGGCTTTTCGATCGACGAAAATCCTGCCGAAAGCTCGTAAAAGTGGACCGCAAGTTGTAAAAAATTGAATAAAAACGTCGGTTAAATTTACCTTAATTTCTTGACATGTAAAAAAAAACACACAGGGTTTTGTTCCTTCCGTTTCTTATTTGGATAAGAAACAGTGATTGATATTAAGCCTCATTCCTGTTTTCTCTGCATCGGAGACCACAAACATCGCGCTTAGCATAGAAAACCTGCTAACCATAGAGATTGTCAGCTTAGCAAAAAACGGTTACCAGCTAAAATGCCATGCACTGCATATTGCCCGTGGCCGGTTCTCATCGGATTCGTGCTTAACAGTTCCATGATTACTGAGTCCACTTGCCAACTTCGACAAAATTTGAGACCTCAAGAAATAATCATGCAAGCTATTGAGAATATCCTTGCGGATTTGTTTATAAAATCGGGGCACCACGGACAAAAAGGGGGTCGATCAGAATTCACAATTTGCCGAATACCAGGGAAACTCAAAGAGGTCAGCAAATTTTTATCTTTATATGCTGCACACCAGTTTTGTTTTTCAACTCGCATCCGAATGCCATTTTTTTTCATTGTTACAGGGATGAGTCAAATGCATATTTATTACACACTTTGTGAAACCATTTTTAATTCACTTGTAGTTCCCGATGATCATCTTTTGGAACATTTTTTGTTTAAGTTTAAGACAATTGAAATGGTGATCTTATCTTTAATATCCGGTGTGCTTTATTTTGGACACCTTTTTGGGGAGGGTTCACACTTTTTCCATTTATTTTTGCATCAGATTTTCTTCATTTAGAGACTTCAAATTAAAGGAATACATTCAAAGCACGGAACTAATGTAAAAGGAAAGGATGCAGTGCGAACACTTTGAACAAAAACTTGAGGATTGTACTTCACAAGTCGTAACGTCTTCGTTTTCTGAGCTCATTGTCTTTGACTTCAGTGATCATTATTCCATCAATGATAATTGATAATGCCGTAAACTCTTGGGCAAGTCCAAGATTTTGTGCAAAATATATCCCATACGTAACAAAAGTTTCACCCTCTAAGATATTCAGGGATTTCAGTGGTTTTTTTTAATTCTACTGTTGGGCATTTGCAAAGAGAATACCCACAAGAATTTTTATGGTATTTGTCTTTGCGATGATTATGAAATTAAAGAAAACATGGCGTTACGAATGGGATAGAAAGTGGACCTTTTCTTGGACCTTTTCCTCTCAATGTCTTCTTTCCTTAACTGAAATATTCAACTCTACAGTCTTCTATATAATAATTCTCTTCTTGTCTTTTCCATACTAAAACGCTCTCCACATTGGAATGTTTTTTGTGTGTCTTTTTAGCAATTATTATCAATGTCAGAAAAGCTGATATGGGGTCATTCCGTGTCGAATCATCCAAAAAATTGGAAGTTTCTTAAACATTTCTATACATGTACACATTTCAGAGACAAAAAAAATTCCCTGCTTTAAATCCACTAGTACATCGCATAGGAATATCACATTTTGTAACAAGTATGCCAACTTTGAGATGAGCTAGAAACCAAACAAAACAATATTCTACCTCCACTTTTTGGATATTTTGTAGCAAATATGTTGGGGTATTATTTTCATCCAAGTTCCTCTCAAGGTCACGTGATCCAAATTTAAAGTAAGATCAAAATTTTGTCATACTTCAAATTGCTCCAGCCTGAAAAATATTGGTAAATTTGGATTTCTTATGATGTAACCTTTCCAAGAAACAAAGATTAACAAATTTGGCCCACGGGTTATGGAGATATGGTCGTTTGAAAATTGGCGGCCACGCTCATTTCGTCCAAAAAAACCAAAAATGGCGGGCGGTAGTGCGAAAAACCATTGGTCTGATTGATCTGATTGAGTTCAGCTTTTTCAGCCAAAATTACCCCATACACTAAATATGAACCAATTTGAGGGGGGTCGCGTTTCATCCATTGGGTGTATTGACACGGAATGACCCTGTAGATTACCAGTCACAAATAGTACATCACATAACACAGTAACCTTGGCTGGTAACCCATTTCTGCTGAAGCAAATATTTTCTGTGCTGCAGCAATTTTCTGTGCGGACCAACTCCGTGAAATTGGGCCGGCAGTCGATTGCAATTCTCCAAAGTTTTTGTGTCAATTCAGAGGAACAAGTGTAGCATTTTGACCAATGTAAAAAAAAATGGGGGAAATGTGTGCTTAAATTTAGCCATCATGTTGGCTGTCAACAGTTTTTGGGTTGGAAAAAATGGAAAAAAGGCTTTTGTTTTTTGATTTATGCCGTTGAATAATATAACATTTGTGATTGAATTCAATTTCAGTAGTTAACTTGCTTAGAAGTAGCTCCAATTTGAATAGTTGTCTACCTCAACTTACAGCCTGCAACTGAAAATGTCATGCACTAATGTTTACGTAGCATGCGTGAAGAATAAATCCATGCTGTCCAGACACATAGTACGTTATTACGATCTGATACACCGTGCCCTCTGGAGACATGCACACAATAGGGAACAAAAGATTGTGTACGTCTCCACAGGGCAATTTCTATAGATGAATACGTCTCCACAAGGTTTTCACGAAATAGATATATGGATTTTACTCACAAACTAGGAATTTCCAAGGTAGGTTGATCTGTCACAAATGGAAGAGTTTTAGAAAAGGGATATTAAGTCCGAATTTCAGCCAAGGAAATTAATTCTGGTTAAAATAAGAGCATTTTGAAACTACACTTTCAAACTCGAAAACTTTACTTCACGAGATTGACGAGAACAAAGAAACGTCTCTCCAAGGATACAAATTTCAGTATGCGTGTTCTTATGGTTCGGACATTGTTGTAAAAACATCGTCAAAAGTTTCGAAATATGCTTTGGAAAATTTGCGAAGTTGGGAACAGATATTTTTAAAACAAGGGCTAAGTCGAGTTATCAAGGTTGTATTGTGGTGCATGCCTGGTGATTTCTTACATTAAAATTCTGGTAGATTTTATATTCATTTCAATGTGCGTAGGTAATAATGCCAGCATATGTGATGATGATTTTGAATGAATGGAAGTTTTGTCGGTCAAAAAGTCTGGGGAATGTTAATCTTTTGGCGAAACTTCATGACCCAGTTTTGCTCTAGTGCCAAAAAATAGTGGACTCTACCATCCAGAGAGTAGATGTATTATCAAAATAATTGCAAGGGGAAAAGGGCACTTGTTAAAGATATGGTATATACCAAGGCAAGTTAACTTTTGATGATAGAACATCCTTTAAAAAAAAGACTGTTTCGGTATGAAGAGGTAAAACAAAGTCCCCAATATTTGAAGAAATTTTAAAAAGTAGAAATTATCAGATGAAAATCTGCGAAATGGACATTATATATTATGGCGTTCTGTATACATTTCTGGTTCGACAAGACATTTTATGACAAGTAGATAAGACACTGCTCGTTGGGTATGTATTATTGAATACATTTAAGATTTCTGTATTAGTGAAGAATCTGGAAATGCATGATTGTAAATAATGTAAAGATTTGCTATATGAAAAAAAAAATAGTAAAAGCATTACAGCTATTTTTTTTTGCTTAAAAAAGCAGACTTAAAAACCCAAAGATTATTTCTTTCTGTTATTTTGCAAGAGAAGTTTACTCAGAAATTTGGTTGGGATTTATGTTGGGATATTGACTCAAATTTGTTGCTTTGAATTTTTTTGCCAAACTGTCATTGGGAAAATGTTATCGTTTGTCACAATTTGTGTTAGGGTTATATTTTTGTGGGAATGCATTTTTTTGCTAAAAATGCTTCGGAATTTGGTTTTGTTTTGGGTGCATTTGGAATGTGCCTTTTCAGTTCTATTTTTGTTTGGGTGAGTGTCACCAACGTTTTGATTTAAAATCACAAATAAATAACTGAAAGCACTCGGCTGAATATTGCTTTTTTTTTTTTTCTGGCAGTGTTTTCAATTTTAGAATGGTTTGTATCATGCTCAATATTAAAAAAAAGAAGATTTTTTGGTAATAAATCATGTAAAATAATATGTAAGTGTGCGTAGTGCATTTTTTCTTTCCATAGTGAGCACATTGGTTTCAGTATTTTAATGTGGGCCCCTTTCCCAACACATTCAAACTTTTTCCGCCGTCCGATGTTTGTTTAATATTGTTTAAAACTATAGTTGCCCCTCCCCCGGAACATGATGTCCCCGCCCCAAGTATAGGCACAGTGTTCTTATTTCTCCATACCCCAATCAAGGTACTTTTACTCGAGTGGCTAGAAATATCCCGTTTGGGGTGGTTTAATCAACACTGCTGGTACCCGGTACTATAATTATGCCTACACGTAGACTGCGCCTGTGAATATCGCAATTTGTCGACCAGCGTCAGGCTAGTCTGAGTGCACAAGTACAACGTCGAAGCGTAAGGTGCTGCAGCTGAACAAAAAGATTGAAAAAAATCATGATGGCAAGTGCTATGGAACTCCTAGAAGCTGCGACAAATCATGAAAATGGCGATTTTAAAGAGGTAAAAGTGAAGTTGAGTGTCTTGTACTTGTAGTTGTACCATTCTTGAAGTTTATATTGGAGGATATTTTTACCTTAAACGGCCACGACAGATCGCGTTTTTATTGCCGACTTGTGTCGGGGATCGGCCATTTTGTTATTTAAGGCAGTGGATATTTAGCCGGATCCGGCATTCTGTTAGTAAACGATATTTTGCCGGACAGGCACTGAACATGCGCAGTGACTGTAGTATCCAGACGCTACTTCAGCGGGTTATGTACAATGTCTATTGAGTGTCAAGAATTTTTTGAAGCATTTCCAATTTTGTTAATAATATTTGGAAATTTTTCTTGTCTCTCCATAGACTTTGTACACAACCGCTGAAGTGGCGTCTGGAGAACTACATTCTTTCCGGCCTATGCTTTAAATCATCCTTTTTTCATGAAGTAATTGTCCAGCTTTGTTAACATTTTGAAGCTTTTCTGAGATGTTTGTTTTCATCTAAAATAGATGAAAAAATAAATATTCATTATTTTCGAACAAGATTAAAAACAAAACTTTCTCAATCAAAATGCATAAGTTGTACAACTTGTGAAAAAAAAAAAATTGGCATAATGACGAAAAAATTACTGAAATCATTATTTTTCTATCAGAACTCTGGGTCAGCTTCAGGTGACTCTGCCTCATTGCTCGGGGAGCCGTCACCGAAGAAGATCAAAGTGGAGGCAGGAGCATCAGGAGCAGCAGTGGTCGTCAAAACCGAAGGTAGGGCCTGATTATCCCGGGGGCTTTCCTGCTGGCATAGCTTGCACAACGTCAGTTGCTTGGATACATATCAACAATATTTTGTATTTCCGTCAACGATTACATTGTAGAACCCTCACTCACCCATTGGTTTACTTGAACAAGTACTCGCTCGGCAGTCGCATAGAGAGGGTTAGTGGTTCACTATATGCTACAGATTTGTGTGCATTCAGGATAAAATTTGTCCTGCCAATTTCATTTTCATGCCATATATACGTGAACCAGTGCGCACGCCAACTGCAGTTCAAAAGTGCGTTAATAATTGTGAAATATTTTAACAAACAAGAAGTTGTTGATATGTATTCATAATGAAAACGTAGCTCTGCTGTTGAACCGTAATTTCTCGACTGCATTTAGGCAAATGTCATGCATAGACCCTTTACGTTTTTTACAGATTTCGGTAAAATTTAGTGAAGGTCAATTTAGAAAATAAAAGTTGCACGCACAAGTGAGATTTTTCCTTGAAAATGCGCTGAAAAACAGGAAATTTTGCATGCACAGGCAAAATTTTACATGTACAGGGCCGAAGTTACATGCATCTGTGCATGTAAAATCCCTCTAAATCGACCACTGATGTCTGTGAAGCTTTCTCTTCAAAAAAACTCAAAAACGAATGGAAGATTTTTTTCTGTCAACATTTCTGGAATCTGTGGGGCAGAAAAGGGTCTATGATAAAGTTTTAGTTGAGGCTTTACTTTGACGTTGTGCAAGTTTTGCTATGAGAAAGCCCCAAATTGATACCTTTGTTGTGTACAATAAAAGTAGGCAGCATGTCTGTAAATTAAATAATAAGCAAAATAAAAATGTTCTTAAATTGTTTAAAATAGGGTTTGACATTCCAAATTGAAAAATCATAAAAGTTTGCATGTACTGTAAAAATAATACACGTTTTTCTAACAAACTGTTTTTTTTACACAGCTTCCAAAAATTTCCCCATAACCAATGTGTAACTTTCACAAATTTTTCCTTTTTTTTGTTTCTTGTCTGTGTTCTGAGTTTCTTTATTGCAGGGAGGATGCGATCGGCAAACTTAACTTGGCCCAGCTTTGCTCGGCAAGAAACCAAAGGGACTTGCTTTGCATTCTAAATCTGGTATCTTGTGATTTTGAGAGTGTCGTGTGATTAGATACGTGTAGTTGGCGTTGCATTATGGCGGCGATTGTCCTTACAATTCACAGAAGAATTCCAAAAATAATAATATATAATTCAGGGCAACAAAATCAATTTAATAGTTTCTTGTTTATTGAGTAGTCCAAGACGGAATACTACACCAATAATGATTTCACAGAAAATTTTCTGCAATTTCGATCGTGGCAAAAAATTATGAAATTAAAAAAGGGCTAGACAGTTTCAATAATATGTTTTCTTGGATCACTTTCTGCATGAGGCAATAATTTCATTCCTGAAATTTGCTCAATGTACTAAAATTGTAGAAGAAATTGTATTGGGTTATTTATCAACGAGGGTGTTTTTTTTCCATTGAGAAAGCAGATGTGCATATATTTTATTTCTTTTTTTTCTCCCCTGTTGTTTTGGATTTGGGATTGTTCCCCCCGGTTTTGTTGGGGGAAAACCTGTCGTTTTTGTACTTTTCCTTTTTCAGAATGCGGCACAAATCTGAATGCTGGGCCCGAGTGACTCCAATTGGATTGTGCCCTGGTTTGTTCTGAGTGTTGCTTAGGGATTGACTTGTAACTAGTCGTAGGGGAAATGATCGTTGGAATTTTTATCTTTTTGGTGTGGATACCAACTTTTCTATAGTCATCCAGATCGGCACAAAAACCTGAAACAAACGAAGGGAAAAAATCCACCTGCAAAAAAAATTGGAAACCTGGCAGATTCTAGAACTGTACCGAATATTTGAATATTCAATCATTTTACTGCATATTCTTAAAGCTTTTACCAGTTCAAATTTATGAAAGAACAACCTACATTTTCGTAGGTACAACGACAGTGACATTTGTACAAAATGTTGCAAACTGACGCCACTTCAGCAGTTGTGTACAAAGTCTATGGAGAGTCAAGGAAATTTTTTAAGTACTTCCTAACAAAATTGGAAATGTTTCTCAATCCCAGATTCATGTCTTATCATCATTTTTGCAATGACTGACCTTCATTGAGATGATATATGAAGAAAAAAGATGCGTCAAGTTGCAACATTTTTTCCGTGATGTTTTTTATAAATGTAAAAGTTGCGGCGTTTTATTGTCAGACGCCACTGTTTTTCGACGGCGACAAAAACTTTGTCGACACCGATTCTTTGTTGTCATCTTATTTGAAGGCTAAAACCCTTGACAGTTACATGTATAAAATGCTTACTGCAAAACGTTCCAGCTCACAAATTTTACCCAGCGCACTTTGCGTGCAACAATTGATGGGGGCGGAACGCAGTAGCAGCTAGCGTGTGTAAATTTGATCGGCGAGTTACGAATATTCGAATATTCGGTCAAAGGCAGTTTCGAAAAATCGAATACTAAATTATTCGAAAAAGACAGCCCTAGCAGATTCAACTTAGCAGAATTTCTTCTTACGTCAGTATTCCATTTGAACACAGGTGTTTAAATCGATTTCAAATATTTCATTAAAAAGTTAAAAGTGAGTGACATCAACACGCCTTTGTATAATGCTGCTGAATTAATAAATATTTGTATTTACTGGTACGTGGGAAGCTTAGAAGTTTTTTTAATCATTCCATGAAGAGTTTTCTTCCGACAATCTCACATCATAACATAACCATTCCCTAGCAATGTGTTTTTCGCCTCCCCCTGCTTATTTTGCAGACTCTTCGTCAGTCGTTCCACGAAGTGGTCGTCAGACTTAAGCAACTGTAACGACACCATACTCAGACAACTTTCTCTTTTTTTTCTCTCTCTCATTATTTATTCTCCCCTTACAGGTCATTCCCAACAGCAAAATTAGCGAAGACTTTTATCAAGTCTGATCAGGTTGTATTGATCCAGAGACAAACAAAAAGTGGCGTCTTTTTCTAAAACTCCAAATTGCTCATCGTTCATTCGGAGCACCCAATGTGGTCCAAGTTTTGTGGTCCAAGTTTTAAGACAAGAAAAATTATGGGGAAGAAGTGAAAAAAGGGAGTAACTTTCTTTGCATTTTCAGGTTTGGGGGAGGGGGAAGCTGGATTTTGGTAATTGATTTTGAACTTGTAGTCCATCCTTTTGTGAAAGGTGTACTTGGTGTGATCATGAACTACATGTACTTTTTGACAAAATGGAAATGTGACAGTATCAAGTAGTTCAGGTAGTTCAATGGGAAAAACTGATCTGACACACAAAAAATGTTCACAGTGTAATGAAATGATTTGGCGTAATGCGTTTTTCTCTTCCTGTCTTTTTTGTTCTCTTTTTGTGCATTCATGAGATCTTGTCAAGGACCCGCGATGTCAACTGAAAACCAACAGTGGTTGGCACTGAGTGTGACCAGTGGAACGTCGTAATTCAAATCAAAGCAGACCAATTTCTGTATACTCGGCTTAAATCAGATTTCATTTGACATGTTACCCCTAATTATTTCGAGTTGTTTGAATAGGTACACCCCTGTTAACCTAGTACATGTCTAAGGCATTGTGGTCACTTCTTCCTAAACTTTTGTTTCATAAAAACTGTCGATTTTCAAGTTTGGTTTTATAAGATTCAGGAATCAATGCCATACAGTATAGCGCAAACTACACCAAACCCTAACCTTCTCAAATCCTCCAAAATCCTCCTTGCATATGTGAAGGATTTCAAAGGATTGAGGCTATGGCAAAAATTGTGGGGCTGACTTTGGATGATGCACTGTGCCAAGGTCTTAGGCCGGACCTTGTGTTGTTTACGCTCGGCCGTGCATAAATTTAGGCTTAGATAATACCTGAAATCATCGATACTGCTTCTGGATATTATCCGCACTGCCTCAACATATCAAAAGTGATTGTTGTTGGGTTTTGCAGGCTTGACTCGGTTTTCACCACTCCAAAGATCGAATGCAAGTAATAACAGAGGATTTTGGAGGATTGAGGCTGCATCCAATTTCTACATGGAGGTAGTTGGAGGATTTTACAGGATTGCGGGTTAGGGTCTAAAGAATACCCTTTTCATGATCAAAATCTGTACCCATTTACCATGTTTACAGCATTTAGCGTTTCTAGGTTTGATTTTTTTTTGTAGCTGGGGAAGACGGGTGGTGTGTTGGTGTCTTTAAGACAAACAGGCAGACAAATTGTGCATCGTTGTCACAAGGAAAATGCATCTTTGTCTAAAATTGCATGTACCACTTGAGAAGAGAAGGGAAAAAAATGTGTACGGCTTTATGTAGTACCCTGTCCAACAGATGTAAAGTGATTGTAAGTTTCAATATTCACGAGTAGATAATCGGAATGAAGAGGGTCCAAGAACCTTAAGTTGGAATTTGATGTTGTCAATGATAGGAAGTAACCAAAGTTCTTGAATGGCCTGTCCATTGATTACAAGTAGTAACTGCAAGTGTAAAGTTTAAAGCGTTTCTGCTATGTCTTTCAAAACTACCTGAAAGTGTGTAGCATTTGAACGCGTCAGACACGGATTCACGCTTAATGTGTTCTGACGCAAATTGGTTGACATTGATTGAATCAGCTTTTGTACACATTTCCCCATTAGGGCCTTAAGCCAAGCTCCGCAAAACTAACCGTTCCGTTTTTTTCTCCCCCATTCCGTTCTCTGTTCCTCCCTCTTATTTTTGTCTCTCTCTCTTTTTTCTCTCTCTCTCTGCATTTTGTGTATTTTGAAGATTTCAGTTTACGCAGAGTACCACACGTACACACTCACACAAACGGCCCTGCCTTCATGATACTGTAGTTTACCGCCTGGCCTTGTGTGGCTAGAGGTCGCCATGGCAATTGTTACCATGGCAACACCGCCATCCTTTATGACAGCGACCGTGGTAAACAGCATTATAGTAGTTGTTCTGTTTCTTCCTCGATGTCGGCCCCTGCAAATCGTCTGACTTGTCAGAACTTGTTTTAACAGCAACACCTCTAGGCCATCTATACCCAACTTACCAATGCATTGAACACAGCTTTTTATGTCCACAAAGTTCATAATTTTCATATTTACACATGGAGTAGAAAGATGGGGATGTAACAGCTATTTTCAGTACACATGTTACTTACTGTTACTAGGGTGTCACTTGAAAACCCATGTGAATAGTGCAGATGTGATATTTACCGTCATTCTGCGCATCTGTTTGATGCCCTCATTTGATACCATTAAAACAAAGGTGTATTTTTAAAATGGAAAAGTTTTAAATTGCATATAGTTGAAACAATATATTAATTTAAAAAGTAGTAAAAGTAACAATTCCTCACTCAAAATCAATGTCATGATTTGAAAGTATTACCATACTCATTCAAGAAATCTTGCATGTGTAGACTTCTACAAACATAAATCTAACATGTAGGATGTAGGCGCAAAACCTCGCCAATCTTTGACCCTCTGACACCACTGGTTCTCTTTCACCACCTTGACCCCTCGCAGCGACCCGAAGCCCTTCCCCCATGATGGTGATGGCCGAACAGATGGGTCCCGTCCTGGCCGGTCCGGGGGCCAAGAAAGAGCTGATGATGGGCGGTATGGTCAAACTCACCCCCGACCAGCAGGAGGCGCTGAACAGGGCCAAGAAGTACGCCATGGAGCAGAACATCAAAAGTGTTCTGGTCAAACAGACCTTGGCCCACCAGCAACAGGTGAGGCCCCGCCTACTTTGCTTAGTCCCACCCACTTTTACTGTCCCCACCCACTTTCATAGTCCTGCCTAGGTTTTAATAGTCGTAGGTGCAAGAGATATACCATGGAGCAGAACATCAAGAGGTTGCTGGTCAAACACCTTGGCACACCAGCACTAGGTCAGGCCCCGCCTACTTTGTTTGGTCCCACCCACTTTTATTGTCCCCACCCACTTTCACCGTCCCCACCCACTTTCATAGTCCTGCCTAGGTTTTAATAGTTATAGGTGCCAGAGATATACCATGGAGCAGAACATCAAGAGGTTGCTGGTCAAACACCTTGCACACCAGCAACAGGTGAGGCCCCGCCTACTTTGCTTAGTCCCACCCACTTTTATTGTCCCCACCCATTTTCATAGTCCTGCCTGTGTTTAGTCCCTGACCCAAGAAGTATGCCATGGAGAAGGACATCAAGAGAGTGCTGGTCAAACAGACCCTGGCACACCAGCAACAGGTCAGGCCCCGCCTACTTTGTTAAGTCCCACCCACTTTTATTGTCCCCACCCATTTTCATAGTCCTGCCTGTGTTTAGTCCCTGACCCAAGAAGTATGCCATGGAGCAGGACATCAAGAGAGTGCTGGTCAAACAGACCCTGGCACACCAGCAACAGGTCAGGCCCCGCCTACTTTTTATAGTCCCCACCCACTTTTTTAATCCCCGCCCACTGCTTAAGCCCCTGAGCAACGACGTAGGCCATTGAGCAGAATGTTTTGAAAGTGCTGGTCAAACACACCCTCGCACACCAGGAACACGTCAGGCCCCGCTACTATTTCATAGTCCGTGCCAACCGTTAGTCCCCACCAAATTGTTCAGTTCCTTGCCCACTTGTTTTTTCTCCGCCCACTTCTTGATTTCCTGCCCACTTGCTAAAACCCCGCCCATTTGTTTAGTAGAAACTGTCTATTTTTGTCTTCAAGAGCTTCATCTGTTCTTTCAAGACTTTTTCTCATTTTCTTCCCTGTTCAGCAAATGAGTTGTCTTTGAATTTTCATCCAGCACAAGCGAATGATCTCCTTCTTGTCTCGCCTCTAGTTTATCCTGAATTTCTTCCCATTTGTCTGTCCCATCCAGCAGATGAGTAATTCAGGAATGTCACTCAACTCCCTCTCTTGCCTCACATCTATTTTTTGTTCATAACCTTTTTATCCCCCAGGCTTTCAAGCCAGACAGGGGGATATTGCAATCGCGTATTCCTTCTGTTTGTCGGCGTTTGCGTGACTACAAATTTGTATCCTTGTGGAGACACACACACAATAGGGAACAAAACATTGTAAAGGTCTCCACAGGGCAATTTCTATAGATGAATAGGTCTCCACAAGGATTTCACAAAATAGATATATGAGTTTTACTCAAAAACTAGGAATTTCCAAGGTGGGTTGATCTGTCGCAAATGGAAGAGTTTTAGAAAAGGGATATTAAGTCCAAATTTCAGCCAAGGAAATTAATTCTGGTTAAAATAAGAGCATTTTGAAACTTCACTTTCAAAATTGAACACTTTACTACACGAGAACAAAGGAATGTCTCCACAAGGATACAAATTTGAGAATGGGTGGGTGTGCATGTGGGTGTGTGAATTCCATTTCACTGTCAAGTTCAGTCATCAATCTCAACCAAACCTGAAAGGTGGTCTGTGGAGAGAAGGCCTACATAAAAACAATCCTTTCCAATATGGATATTTACGAGGTCTCAGGAGAGATACTAATGACTCTAACATATGTTATTCCGGTGTCTCACCGAAACTCTCCATTCAACCCAAACTCCCCATTCAACTTAGAACTGGTACCTGCCAGGTGGACAATCAAGGTCGTCACTGGAAATTGTCCTTACTAACTGCCTGTTCATGTTTACAAACTGCCAGGATACCAGGGGGATCGCGCAAGTGTTACTTGAAGTATTTTTTTTCCATTTTTTAAACCCCGTCCAGCAAATGAGCAACCTCCAGATGGCAGCCCAGCGCCAGCGAGCCATCGCCCTCATGTGTCGCGTCTACGTGGGCTCAATCAGCTTCGAGCTGCGGGAGGACACGGTCCGCCAGGCCTTCAACCCCTTCGGCCCCATCAAGAGCATCAACATGTCCTGGGATCCCATCACCATGAAGCACAAAGGGTTCGCCTTCGTGGAGTACGACTTGCCCGAGGCGGCCCAGCTGGCCCTGGAACAGATGAACGGGGTCATGATTGGTGGACGTAACATCAAGGTTGGTATACTTCAAACACCAATTCTTCCCAATCCTTCAACACTTTAAGATCTGTAGGAGTTTGTAGGATGATGTAGGATTTTGTAGGATGTTGTAGGATTTTGTAGGATGTTGTAGAATTTAAAGAATTTGAAGGGTTTTGTAGGGTTTGTAAAAGGTAAAACCCAGCCAATATGACTTTACACATGGGGTTTATGCCCTTTGAAACTAGGAGTATGAAGAATGTGGCATTGTTCTTATGCACAGAGGAGTATTTTTGAGGGATTTATAACCCAAACACTTCCAAATCCTTCGAAATCCATTGTTTAGAAAGATTTTGTAGGATTAAGGAAATTATGACTCTCTCTTTCAGGTTGGTCGGCCAAGCAACATGCCCCAGGCTCAGCCCGTCGTGGATCAACTCATGGAGGAATCCAAGAATCATCCTCGCATCTACGTCGCCTCCATCCATGGCGATCTCTCCACAGAAGACATCAAAAGGTGGGGCTAGAATTAGTTCAGGACCTCTGTGAAACATGGAGTACTCATATGTAGGGTCGATATTTGCCCAAAGTGACTTCTCTTAGTTTTGCACAGCCCTCCAGTATCTACACTTACAATTTTTAATGATAATAATAAGAAGAAGCAGAAACAGTAGGGGGACTTCAGACATTTGAGGTCAAAGGTCATCTAGGGGTCAAATGAGGTCATTGTTGTTTTTGGTTAGATACACTGAGAGGTGTGCTTACTAACTTACTGTATAAATACTGCCAACATGCCAGGGGGATCGCGCAAGTTTAACTTGCAGTATTCTTAGCTGAATTTGAACACCAATGTCTTGTGAATTTGGTTTATAATTTTGTAACAAATCATAATATGTAGCTAATCATGTAGAATTGAATATTTAAAGTGAACATAACTCATGCTTGTTTATTTTCTTACGGTTATTGCAGTGTCTTTGAAGCTTTTGGAAAGATCTTAAGCTGCGCTCTGCCCTTGGACTCTGCCACAAGCAAACACAAGTAAGTGACATTTGTGTTTGTTTTCCAACACTGCTATTTCCAGCAATATTGTGTAATTTATACTATGGTACATGTTGCACTTTGATCAGATATTAAATTCTGTGTTGAAAAGTGACAGGATATTTAGGATTTAAGATCAGAACATTCTTAAAAGTATTGAAGTTGAGAGCGCTGTGGTCCAATGGTTACGGTGTTCGACTCATGTGCCATGGTACGTGGGTTTGAACCCTGACAGGGAACGTGTGCTTGTGTTCTTGGGCAAGACACTTAACTACAATTGCCTCTCTCCACCTAGGAGTAATGGGTACCTGTGAAGGTAGAGACCAGAATGCACTGATCTTGAGCTGCTGCAAAAAACTGGTCTCATGGGTAATAATCGTGAAGCCCTTTGAGACCTTTGGTATAAAGAGCTATATAAGCACCACATTATTAATATTATTATTATTTTTCCATTTTTCCATTAGCACCTGTATTCACAGTGTTCATTTAAAGAGTGCTCAGGCAAGGTAGGGCGGTACAGGGAGAAACTGGCAGGGTCGTCTTTAGGCCGTTCAGGGACTTGTTAATTACAATAAGTCAAAACAGAAACTGCTCTTTTTTTTTCATATATTTTGCTCACTTCATTTTGTTCTGTCCTCCACAGAGGGTACGCCTTCATTGAGTACGAGACAATGCAGTCGGCCCAGGACGCCATAGCGTCAATGAACCTGTTTGATCTCGGGGGACAGTATCTCCGAGTGGGTCGGGTAAGTAGACTGTGAACACCCTGACCAGGACCCAATGTCATGGCACTGCTAACCACAGAATTCCGCGCCTACGATCACCAGTTTATGCCAACAGCGCTAACAGAAAACTCCTGTGCAAACCCTGTAGGCACAGAATCCTTTACCGTATGTACGCATGCGCAGAAGCCGAAATTCCTTGCTAACCTGTGAAATACGCTTACCGTAAGCACGGATTATTCTGCTACAGTAAGCAGGAATTTTTCATTAAGAGCCAAGAAATTGGGCTCAGATTCCATGGAGCTGCTGAGTGTGGAAATATGCTAAGCACGGCAAATATTTGCTTAGCAAAAGCAGGTTACCAGCTCGATTGCCATATATTGTATATTGCCTATGGCTGGTTCTCCGCTGATATTCGCTTAGCACAAAAAAATTGTTAAGCGATATTTTCTGCAGAGCAGTGCCATGACATTGGGCTAAAACAATTTACGAATATACAATTTACAGGATACAGTGCAGAAGCGTATAGACCCCTCTCAGAGACGGCCATCTTCGAAGGAAAATTACAACTTCATACTCAACGCCATCAGGTGTATGTACGCGCAGTATGCAAAATATTCTAAACACACACGTGTGTTGCTCACAATTTCTTCGAAATACGGCACAGCTGATGTGCATTATGAAAATTCGACTCTGACAATGCCGATGACAATCTGTAGCTTTTAATTTTCTCTTGTACATGTAGCCCTGTACCTGGAGTGGCTTTTTGCCTTGTTCAGGGTGATTGTGCATTTAAAGAAACGGGTCACTCCTTGTTTTTTTTAATGGTTCTAATATTATTTTTTTGTTGCTGACATAGTCAATCACACCACCCTTGACGCACATCCCGACACCAACGACACAAGGAGGGCTACCCCCAGCTGCAGCCGTAGCCGCTGCTGCAGCCACAGCCAAGATACAGGTCAGAAAGGAGCCTTCATAGATGTCTGTTTTCAATTAAAGCTATAGTCCATCATTTGCAGCCATCCGAAAAGTAACTGGCGTAATTATTGTTGAAAAACAAACTTGGTTGAAAGATAGTAAGGGGACTAAACTCCCTGTGAAATTATTCTTTCTGGGAAGCTGTCATTTTGAAGTAATCAACGAAAGAAGGCATTTCCAACGGTGATTCCTTAAGAAGCACCGTAGGAAAATTTAAATTAGTAGTTCGTTTTGTTATTCAGCGCAGCGCGCACAAGTATTGGAACGACGCACACGCGCGCGCGGTTGTTATAATTCGTCGGATCAGTGCGCGACGTCGCGTATAGCTGCAATTCAAAACAATTCAAAACATGATTCAGTAACTTTTGATTTGAAATTGAGATCTTAGAATGCTGTTTTTCTCGGAATATACAGCTGAAGCTGAGCTGAAACTTCATCAAGTAAGTTGTTCAGTATCCTTCATTAGATTTTGAACACGTTTGTTGCTTCAAACGAACACAATGCACTAATTACAAATGATGGACTATAGCTTTAACCCTAACTCCCCAGCTACTAGGAACCGCACCCATTCAGGCAAATTCTAACACCTACATGTGAAATCCTACACACACACACTGTTGGACTTAGTTTCTGGAGGTATGCCAACCCCAGTGTAAAAGACCATCAGTTTAGGGGTACTGTACCTATCCCAACAGATTAAAACAAAACCTGCTGTTGAACTTTGATGGGTTGAGTTCGGTTAGGGTTAAAGCAGCTTGTTAAAACAGGGTTTTTCAGACGAATGTCTGGATTTTTGGTGTTGTCTTCTTTTTGTTTTGTTTTAAAATAGTTTATCAAAAAAATTGGCTGGCTTGCTCTGAAACTGAAGAAACAGAAAGAGAGAAAACAAGGAATAAATTAGTCAGGTTTGTTGTAGCGGAGAAAACCTTGGAACAATATTTCCAAGAAAACTTGCAAAATCGGACAGGGGCTGAAAACCTTATCCACATGTTGGCCGTGGTGGGATGTGAACCAGGGTCACTGAGGTGGAAGACGAGGAAAGAATAGCTGTGCCAGCCTGACTCTTATCTAGGTGCAAGTAGTTAAAAAAAAACCTCCCAAAACGAATTTCAAATTAGTGTGTCATGCCCAACTCGCAGGACTAGCATAAGTTGCTCTGTTGATTTATTTTTGTTCCACAGGCCCTAGACGCAGTAGCAGCACCTTCAGCTGCAGCAGCAGCTGCTGCAGTCCTCAATCTTGCCCCCTCGACCATCGTCTCCCAGGCGGTGCCCGGAGCTGGCCTGCTGACGGCCCCGCAGCTGGGCCTTCTCAACATGCCCCAGGCCGTCATGGCTTCCAACGCGCCCGGCATCATCACTGGTGAGTCAAGATTTTATCGTCCTAGTTTCGAAGATTTTGTGCTTTGGAGACTCTCAACATTCGTGTATCACACTGTTGAAAAGCTGCAATGTTTCAGTTTGATGGCAGAGCATAAACATTAACCCTAACTCCCTTGGCCTTTTTGCCTTTTTGCTAGGATGTAGCCTCAATCCTGCAAAATCCTCCAATTGTCCTCGTGGAAAAATAGCATATAGCCTCAATCCTGCAAATTTCTCCATTATTTCGTGAATATGGTCTGTGGAGGGGTGACCACTGCGTGAATCCTGCTAAAATCCTGCGGCAGTGACTGTCAATATGTTGAGGCTTGGCCAGTGACATCCTGGAGCAGTGCAGAGGATTTCAAGCATAATCCAGGCCTATATTTATGCATGGCTGAGCAAAACAACACAAGGTCCGGCCCAGGACCTTGACAAAGTGCATCCTACGAAATCAGTAACGCACTTTTGCCATTTAACCTCAACCCTCCAAATTCCGCCACTTTGGCAAAGAGGATTTTGAAGGATTTAGGGCGGTTAGGGTTAATAGAATTTCCTATAAAATGGAATGTCACGTTGTTGACTGAATGTGCAAAAATCCATAGCGTGTATATGTGTGAGGAATATACCCAAGCCTGTGATTCACAGAAATATAGCAGGTTGACTGTAAACCCCAACCTGCATCATACGATCTGCATCCTACAGAGTCCCACAGATTCTATCAACGGGAACCCTACAACTAGCGAGGCAATAGTCTTTAGCTTGACAGTGTGTACACTATATATGATTGTAGCTATACATTAATATCTGGTAATGAAATTGCGGATTTCTCTAACGCGCCCATGGCACTCGCAAGCCTCAAGAAATCTGTAGAGAGAAAAAAATGGAGTATTGTCCAGATAAATATTCTTGGAATCCAGTAGGGACTTAAAATTTCAATGGATAGGATTCAAAACCTGGCGAGGAAAGTACCACTGTTCTTACCCGAATCTCTCAATGTCTACTTTATTTTTCTCGGATCGAATCAGGTGTGACCCCGATCCGGCCACCCATCCCCACCATCACCGTCACCACCTCCTCCTTAATGGTCAACCCGGCCCTGACCGCGGCCGCCGCCATCGTGGCCATGAGCCAGCAGCAGCAGCAGGTCAGCTACGCCACGGCCGCCATGAAGGCCGGTGCCCTGATCGTGGAATCGGCCGAGGACACCAAGAAGAAACTGGAGAACGAGCTGCCGCAGACCATCAGCGAGCAGGAGAACATGACGATATCGGGGACCAGCGCCAGGCACATGGTCATGCAGAAACTGCTCCGGAAAGCCGAGGTGAGCCCAACCTGGCCAAACACCCCTTTACCCCAGAACCTTCCCAACCCTGCCAGAATCTATCGACTGGCCTTTGCCAAATTTTTCTAGATCGGGGACTTTGGAGTCAAAGGTATAACTTTAAACTATTTGATTTAAAGGCTTCTGACTAGCATCCTCAAAGAAAGATATTGTCAAATTGGGAAACCGCTGGATGGCTCAATTGGTAGAGCAGCAAACCGGTAATATGGAGGTCCAAATCCCGTTCCAGTCAATTCCTTTTATTTTCACAGTAAAAACATTCCTATGGGATTGAAAGACAATGACAATATGCCTGAATTCTAATTCTTTTTTGTGCGAGGATGTTTGTATCCCCCTGGCTTTTAAGCTAAGAAAGGGGGATCTTGCGATAGTGTATTACTTCTGTGTGTATGTGTGTCCGTGTGTTCCATCTTAGGTAAACTGAAAAGTGCTGTCATATGAAAAGTCTGACTTCACTGTCAACCAAACTTGGTGACAATAATCTCTGGGTACGGGGACTTAAGATGACTTGAGACATTTGAGGTCAAAGGTCATCTAGGGGTCAAATGAGGTCATTGTCTATTTTGGTTAGGTACACTGAAAAAGTGTGCTTACTACCGGACTCTATAAATACTGCCAGCATGCCAGGGGGATCGCGCAAGTTTAACTTGCAGTATTTGCGTATCTAATTGTCACCCCATGTACATGTGCCTAAAAAGACGTTTCATATTTCTTTGGTTTTCAGTCGCGCGTGGTCATCCTGCGCAACATGGTAGGCAAGGAGGACTTGGACGACGACCTGGAAGGGGAAGTGACCGAGGAGTGCGGCAAGTTTGGCCAGGTCAACCGAGTGGTCATCTACCAGGAGAGACAAGGGGAGGAAGAGGACGCCGAGGTCATTGTGAAAATATTTGTCGAGTTCAGCGATCCCTCGGGTGAGTCAACCCCCCCCCCCCTTTTTTTTTGACCTATGTCCTATTTCATGTAGCTACTAAGCATTCACTTCGTCTGGAAGAAACTCTGCATTTGTCCCAGACATGTTCCGGGGAAATTTTCAATACAAAACATGGCCCATTTGAATGAGTGTCAGTAGACAACTTGAGCTAACTTGTTATAGATTGGCGCGTTCTGCCGCCTTACAAAAAAACACAATATTGATTAAAAGAAAAAAGAGCAAACGTGTCAAATCGTACCCTTGCGAAACTACTGACCGGAAAAACTAACAATTTCAAATGTCCCGCGCTGCAAATTTGTCGACCATCTCCCACAATGCACTCGGAAAAATGAACTCTCCATGGCAAACTCTCGGTGGCGCACTGCATTGGGAATCGCCCGAATTGTGACGGCCATAAAAGGTCCTGATGTTAGGATCCAGGCTGAAGTCTTTTAAGTTTTTTTCATGTGTTTGTTTACTCTTTTGTTTTCCAGAGGGAGAAGCAGCAATTGAAGCACTCAACGGCCGGTGGTTCGGTGGTCACATGGTCAGGGCGGAGTGCTACCCACAGTCCAAGTTTGACGCCAGCGATCTATCGGGTTGAAAGCGGCCAGCCATTATTCATAGCTTTTTTTTTTATAACAATTATGTAAAAAAAACAACCAACCAAATCTTCATTCAATGCCAGTTGTGCCATAGTCCCTGTGAAAACGTTTGCGAAAATTAAAAGTTAAATAATTATTTGGATTTGGGCTTCATTTTAGAAGACTTCTAAGCAAATTTAACTTGGTAAGCAAAATTTGTACGAGTACCAGTCAAATCAGTTAACGTTTCATTAAATTTTTGACTGGTATCCTGTTTCTTTCTATTTGCAGATTGTGCCTGTGCTAAGCACATGTGGTTCTTGTAAGCGTTTTTGTGTGCTGCTTGGCTTTTGAATCTTTGTGTACTTTATAATCATTTTGGTTCAATCATAAATGGTCATCATATATTTTCTTAAGCATAAAGTCTTGCTGGTGTTGAGCCACAAGGTGAAAGGTCAAGAAGTTTGAATGCTTAGCAAAAAGGAAAAATACGCTTACTGTCCACTAAACTTCTCCAATCTGGCCTTAAGGTTTGTGGATATGTAAAACATTTTTTTTCCAGTGCATTTTAAAATGACATTTGTTAGGTGTTGGGTTTGGGCAGGTAGATTTTCTTTTTTAAAAATGTTTTTTTTCATGCTTTTCATTTGTCATACGCTTACAAAAATTACCCAAATACCGTTCTATCCACTTTGGTATTTTACGCTTTGGGCCGTTTCACAGCACTTGCAAAAAAAAAAAAAAAATGGAAAAAATGTTGCAACCTGACGCAACTTCAGCGGTTGTGTACAAAGTCTATGGAGAGTCAAGAAAATTTTCTGAAGTATTTCCCGCTAACCAAATTGGAAATATTTCTCAGACCTTGATTCATGTCTTATCGTGATTTTTGCAATGAATGATCTTCATTGAGATGATATATGAAGAAAAAAGTGGTGTCAGGTTGCAACATTTTTTCTGAATAAATATATGAATGAAGCTGTACTTTATAGTGTCAAACAATTTACCGAAGAAACAACATTTACTCTTGAAGATTGGTGTAGTTTGGATCTAGAACTTGATTTCTTTTCTCCAAAATGTACAATTTGTACAAAAATGCTACGGTTTCCTGTATTCTGTCTAAAGTCCCTTTTTCCCCCGAGAAATCTGCCACATTTTCCCCTGTACAGTGTAAAGTTGTTTGTTCTTCAAATTTACGAGTTTTTGTTTAAAGTTTGGTAAACTCCCGCCAGTATAACTGAAAGATGTGTATTGTAATAAACTGATGTGTCACAACTATTTGAATGAGTGTATTTCGGTGTCGTATTTTTACTGTTTTGGTTTATTTTGAAGTTGCCTCAGGAAAAATTCGCTTCAAATGAAGCCAATCCGAGGAGAAAAACTGTGCCCAGCCACTATCGATCTCATGATGTGATGACGAAAGCTAGATGAAAATTGCATATTTCTGCTAGTTGCCTTTAATAATTCTGTTAGATTCAATACAAATCTGCTAAAATCACCTATGTTAGATTCAATACAAATCTGCTAAATCACCTAGAAATACATAAAATACATCAAAAACGCTGATTTAGTTATATTTGCATGCAGATGTAATAAAAACTGCCTTAAGGCCAAAAAAAAAAGTTTCCGGTTTCTGATATGCGCGCGCGTCGCCGTAGCCATGCGCGTCGGCAAAATGAAAAAGTTTTGTTTTCAATACAAGATGATGTTTCAACTTTGACTGGAATTCTGCTGCTGCACAATTTTAACGTGTTTTTAGATGGGGTTATGATCGAGAATAAGCTTTATGTGGCCTCTCTGGACTCCCATATATTTGCACTAAGTTTAGTGGGGCACCATTTGCAGTCATCAGCCGACATTTGAAGCCAAAAAAAAAAAAAAAAACCAGGTAAAAAAAAAAAAAAAGCCGCGTCGCCGCACCACTTTTGGGGCAAGCTCCATACCAGAAACCGGAGACTTTTTGTTTGGCCTAATCGGGAGATGTTTAATCGTAATGCATAAATATATCCCATTCGGGGCATGACGCGGGTTCACGTGTATCACGTGATCAGCTGTCGCAAATTTTTAGTAATAACTTGTATTTTTACATAGAAAAAAACATGAAATTGCGATAAATTGAAACAACTTCCATTGAAAATATATCACTCGAAAAAAAAGGGTTTTTGTTTTCGTAGAAAAGGTTTTGAGAAAATAATTTCTAGAAATATTCAGATTTCTTTAGACGGGGTCCTTGGCAGAATACAAATCGCACGCTATGAAACGAGGATGAAAGTCGTCTGGGTGTCCGACACGTGTGTACATTGTTTATGGCACACGTGCGTTTTCCCGTTTTGTATGCACAATTTGCATTGATTTGTGTGAGAAACTGTTTCTGTAAAAATGGGGAAGACTCCGAAGAAGGAAAAGGAAAACGCAGAGGTGCCATCAGAGCCAGCTGATGAAAATGAACACGAGTTGACTTATGAAGATCTAGTGCAACGGCTGGCGCCAATCGCTAACCCGCTTGCGTCCAAAAAACTGACCAAGAAAATTTACAAAACGGTGAAGAAAGGTGAGTACGGTGGCGAGTTGGAAAGGGGCGAGTTGGTCAAGGGGCGGGGGGGGGGGGGAGCAGTTTTTTTATCGCAAAAAAAAAATCTTCTCTGATATTTTAAATTGACTCCTACATTTATTTGCTGCTTTTCATTTGGAGCAACTATAGAATGCAGGGCCACGCCGGAGCAAGGGTTTTTATTCTGCTTGGAGGCGTGGTGGATCGATTCGAGGTCGGCGATGTGAGGATAGGAGTAATACTAATCATGCTAATAGGCTGACATTGACTATATAATAATATGCAAACCTGCAAAAAGTGCTAAGTACAGCGAATGCACTCGTCTTGTAAGCTTCTCATGAAGCATGTGAAGGATCGGAAGGGAGGGCGCGCTTGTAAATGTGTCGGGCCGGGGCACGGAGTCGTGGAGTCGCGGAGTCTAGTCGCGGAGACGCGGGGCCCTGGAGTCGCGGAGGCGCGGAGTCGCAGAGACACGCGCCGATAGAGGGCGCAATTCTCGGCGGTATTTTTTTGAGAACGAAGCATCCATGTCCATTTTAAATGGGCTCGCAAAGGAAGGGAGGAGGGCGACGGGGCACTGGAATCGCGGAGGCGCGGAGTCGCGGAGACGCGGGGCCCTGGAGTCGCGGGGGCCTTGGAGTTGCGGAGGCGCGGAGTCGCGGAGTCGCAGAGACACGCGCCGATAGAGGGCGCGGAGTCTCAGAGACACGCGCCGATAGAGGGCGCAATTTTCGGCGGTATTTTTTTGAGAACGAAGCATCCATATCCATTTTAAATGGGCTCGCAAAGGAAGGGAGGAGGGCGACGGGGCACTGGAGTCGCGGAGTCGCGGAGATGCGGGGCCCTGGAGTCGCGGAGTCGCGGAGTCGCAGAGACGCGCACCGATAGAGGGCGCAATTCTCGGAGATATCGACTGCGGCTCCACGGTACGCCTCCATGATTTCGGAGGTAGGTCGACTGCGGCTCCACGCCTCCACGCAGCTGTACGGAGGCGCGGATGTAGAGTGAAGTGGCCCTGCATTCTATAGTTGTACCTTTCATTTTAATAATTTTCCCAATTATGTTTGCTATATAATATAGTATATGCCTTTCTTCATTTATTTAGCATGTTCAGTTTAGCATGTTTAGCCGCCTACATCTTTTTTTTTGCAGCTTCCAAAGTGAAAACGCTCAGAAGAGGAGTCAAAGAAGTTCAGAAATTCATCAGAAAGGGAGAAACAGGGTAACGTTCTATGCACACATACATTTGCCTCATTGTTTTCAGTGTTGGAGTACCTTCAAAATTTCTACTTAGTAAAACTAAGTAAGGAGTTGGGTATAATTACAATTTGTTTACAATATGTCATTTTCAGTCAACGTACATGTATGTATGTACAATGAGTATGTACAATGAAGATGTACTTTAAATTGGTATGTGTTAGTTCTCTTCGATGCATTTACATTTGAGCAGAAAAGGGCTGATAAAGATGCTATTTTACAATATCATATATGTTTTGTTTTGTATAGGTTTGTTGTCTTCGCTGGTGATGTCACGCCCATAGAGGTCATGTGTCACCTTCCCGCTGTTTGTGAGGACAGGAATATTCCTTATGCTTATGTTCCGGCGAAGAAGGTAAAATGTTGAATACCTAACACCCAACCATCAAGTCTTAAACAAAAACATTCACAAACTTACTCGGGTGGGATTCGAACCCACAACCTCCTGCTTACTAGTGCAGACGTCTTACCACACGACCATCAAGCTTGCTGGGTCAGCTGACCAGTTCAAGTCTGATGTTGCAGCGGGTTCCGCAACCAAAGTTTGTTAAGACGTCTGTACTAGTAAGCAGGAGGTCGTGGGTACGAGTCCCACCGGAGTAATCTTGTGACGTTTTTCTCGCAAACCCTTGGACAACACCTAAGATACAGTGTTTATGAAATATCGTAAAAAAACAACACCACATTTTTCGACAAGTTGTTCTCAACAGGTAGACTTAAGAAAGTGTTTATTTAAAAAATTAGGTTTTGTTTTGTTTTGCTTTGTTTTGAAAAAAAAATTTAAAATTATCTTTGTGTTTTTTTCTCCCAGGATCTAGGAGCAGCAATGGGTGCCAAGCGAGCAACGTGCTGCATCCTCGTCAAGACTCACGAAGACTTCTCAGACCTCTTTGACGATTGCCTCCAATTGATCAAACAGCTCCCGCCACCTATTTAGTCGATCCTTTTTTTTTTCTTTGATTTATTTTGTTTTGTTTTGAAGATCAAGCAGCTGTTTTAGATTAGCTGTGCAACACCAGACATAATACCTTTACATTGCAACCCGCCTGACAATTTAAGGTCATTTGAGGGGGCTATTACAAACGCCTAATCCTAGCCTGCAACCACTTGGGTAAATAATAGGCAGCAAGTTTGCCTTTTTTTGGTTTGACTGCTTGTTCTTGAACTAAACGTCAATATTTTGGCACATTGGCTTCAGGCACATTTTTCAAGAACTGCAATGCAGATGTACAGTTTGCTGGGAATGGATGAATTCTTCAAATAAAAAAAGCAAAGGACATCTTTACTTCACTCAGATGAAAAGAAAACAGTCCATCATTAGTTTATTTTAAATAAACCACGAAGGGAAAATTTGAAAAGTTGTTATAAAAAGCCGTTTCCTCTCAGGGTGATCTCCGTTTGCTATTTCCCAGGTTTTGCAGCATTGCTAATGTTGCTAGCATTGTGACTTTGGGCGTGATCCCTGGCTAAATGGCATATACGGGTTTATGGCTTCTGACTAGCGCCCCTTGAACAAAGACATTCATTCAAAATGGGGAACTGCAAACATAGGGCTGGATAGCTCAGTTGGTAGAGTGCTGGATCGGTAATCTTGAGGTCCCAGGTTCAAACCCTGCTCCGGTCAGGTTTCTTTGCTTAACTTCAAAATTATTGATATATTTCAGATTTTAGATAGCTGTGCACTGGATGCCATTAAACTTTTCTCCTCATTTACTATAATTTTCAAATGCCCATTATTAAACTAATATGCATTGTCTCCATTGTATGTTTTGATGAGTACATTTGCTGAGTTTCTAATAATTTTGACTGCTAAAAAGGGGTCTAAATTTTTTTTTATTTAAAACTGTATTAACATTCTTAATTGATAATTTCTGTTATTCGTATTCTCACAGACAAGATATTTCATGGCATTTTAAGAAATTAATAATGTAAATAAAAACTAGTTGTTTTTCCTGGTATATACATGTGTTCCATTTTCAAGTTTTTGTTCAGATAATACTTGAAGAACCTCTTTTAAAAAATTGAAGTAGAAAGGAAACGTGTTATTCCTGTAGTAAAATCAACAAAATATCCGACTAAATAAATAGAGAAAATAATTCTCTGTTTTTATTTAACTAAGAAATTAAGGGGCAAATGTTATTTGTTGAAAGGCCCAAACGTTTGGAAGTGAATTCTAGAACTTCATCAGTATTCCTTGAGACCTCCTTGTGAAGTTGCTTTTATAATATTTATTTTGTTTATAAAATTATCCGTTGAGGTTCAATGGCCGTTCGTTAGAGGTTTAAAAAGTCAACCAAGATATCTAGATTGCGATATTTGGCCCATTCAGCCGGACGATACACCCATTGATTGTTTTCAAACATTGAGGGCGCTATAACCATTTTACGGACTCCACTAGCACTCGACCATATCGGCGCCTGCCGTGTGACCTAGGTGGCAGGTGGGAGAGTTTGTGTTGATATTCTGACACAATTTACTGGGCAAATCTTCGAGGTTAACATCAATTATTGGGAACTCAACTATCTCCAGATGTTCACCTAGGAGTAGTAGTATTCCTTTAGTCACAAAGGACACGATTGTGTGGGTTTATTTTGGGGGAATGCCGCGCCTTGTGTAGGCCGTGTCGTCGCGCCCCCGTCATTTCTGCTGGCTTCAGTCCAGGTCAGTTTATTCACTTCCTGGTTTTATCGTGTAAGGAGAGCTCCATTATATGCAAGGAAACCGCCATCTTCTGCAGGACGAATCCGCAGCAAAGTGTAAGTGGAGACACTCCTCTTGAATAATTGACTGACAAAGTGACTTTTATGTTTTTTGTTCGAGGTGAGAAAGTTTTGTTAACAATTACTAAAATTAGGCCTGTCACTAGTGTCAGTTCAATTAATAATTATTTGTCATGTTTGTTTTGCATTTTTGCCATTGTCATATTGTGGTTTATGATATTCTGCATTGTAATTTGTACTCATTTGTATTCGTGATTTGTTATGTGATGACAGCCTACACGTACATGTATTTTAATACAACGTGCTGTGTTTTATTATCTGTTTTATAACAGTTCTTTTTTACTTAACCGAAGAAACTAAACATATGCTGTTGTTAATCACTTACTGTTAAAAATTTTTAAATTAAAATCATTAGGCCCCTAAATGTTGTGTTTAACTTTGTGTATATATTGCAGAATCTGTTGTAAATATTGATTATTGCATTGAAATTTGGAGTAATTGCAGAATACTCCGCCACTCAAAGACCGACCCCTAAAATTGAATGGCTACGCATTCGAATGAGCTAGAAAAAAAGTCTAACTCCAGAGTACATTGTAGTTCAACCGAAGTGGATATGCGGATACACGGATACAGAGTGGGATTGAGTCAGGGAGGGGAGAAAGAGGGCGCTTTTTTTCCTTAAAAAAAAAATCTTCGGAAAGATTTCCATATACGAAGTTCACTAATTTTCCTCTGTATTGACTAACAAGCCCCCAGATAGCAATTTCATGTCATCAAAGTCAATTTGAGCAGTGAGAAAATACAAGTATTTTCTTAGAAAACACTTGAAATTTTTCAGTCCAATCTCATAGGGTTTGTACACAGGGTGTTGAGTGAACTTCGTATATGGAAATCTTTCCGAAAAGTCCAAAGTATTAAGTAGGTCCCCCAAAGTGGATACGCGGATAGGGAGTGGGATTGAGTCGGGAGGGGCGAAACAGGGCTCTATTTTCCCTATTTAGAAAAATCCTCCAAGGGGATGAATCAGTATTCAGTGTAAATTGAATGGGCAGGATCGAAAAAGTCAAAAGTACCTCAGAGTAGTAGTGGCTACGCAAATATAAATACGGGGATACAGAGTTGGAAGTGCAAGCGTGTTATGGGTAAGCAGTCAAGCGTGAGTCCATATCCCCATAGCTGGCTACAACTTGGGTGGGATAGATGGGTGGTTGGTATTCTGCAAAATGACTCTCTAGCACAATGCTTACACCATTGAAGGGGCCTCTGTTATAGAATTTATAGCATGCCCAGATTGGCCATATGTTATAAAAATCTTTCTTAATTGTCGGTTCTTTCGCACAGATTGTTTCCAGCACTGGCCGTGTTAGGAAGTCTCTACCGCCATGCTGTATGTAGACAGACAGGGACGGACCTGTGGCTTCATGGATCTAGAAGATCCTGAACAAAACAGCCGCTTCTTCCGTCGGTATTTCTTGATTGACCAAGACAAAGGCATGTTCCTCTGGTACATGGATAATCCTTCTGTAAGTAATATTTTTTTTCCAATTTTTTTTAAAATTTGATTAAAGATATAGTCAATCATTTGTAATTTGTGCATTTTGTTCGTTTGAAGCAACAAAAATGTTCAGAATCTAATGAAGGATACTGAACAACTAACCTGATGAAGTTTCAGCTCAGCTTCAGCTGTATATTCCGAGAAAAACAGCATTCTAGGATCTCAATTTCAAATCAAAATTTGCTGAATCATGTTTTGAATTGTTTTGAATTGCAGCTATACGCGATGTCGCGCACTGATCCGACGAATTACAGCAACCGCGTGTGCGTCATGCAAATGCATGCACGCGCTTCGCCAAATAACAAAACGGACTACTAATTTAAATTTCCTACGGTGGTGCGTCTTAGACGCACCGTTGGAAAGGCCTTCTTTCGTTGTTTACTTCAAAATGACAGCTTGCCAGAAAGAATAATTTCACAGGGAGTTTAGTCCACTTACTATCTTTCAACCAAGTATGTTTTTCAACAATAATTACGCAAGCTACTTTTCGGATGGCTGCAAATGATGGACTATAGCTTTAATTCTATTTTTTTACCCTAACTTTCTTTGGCATTTTAGCAAGGAATGTTTCCAAGTCCCTCACAAAAGGGGCACTTTATAGGGACCATCAACAGAACTTTATACCGTGCTTGTAGGTTTACAACTTTAAAGGGGATTTAGTAATTCAGTGTAAAATATTGGTTAAATAAAATAAAATCCTGCAAATCCTTCAAAGGGCCCATGACGTGTATTTTACTTGGGAACATATTTTGTGCAATTTTCTACTCGTCTTAAATGTATGAAAACTGTTTGACGTCCTCTTTGGTTAATTTTATTTAAAAAGTGCACTTCTTGAAACGTTTAAAATTGTCCATGCTTTTCCTGACAACTGAGGGCGCTTTTGATGTGATTTCATTTCAGGAAGACGGTGTTCAGTGTAGGTTTTTTTCTGTTCAAATTGTGAACTCAAAATTTGCTCATTGAAAACATTGAAAACAACCTTATGTTGAGAGCTCATTTTAAAATTGGCTTGGTTGTGTCTTTACTTGCAGAATCTACCGGACGGAACAGCACATGTAGATGCCATACAGTTGTCATTGATTTCAAATGTGAGTACATTTTATGTTTTCTCTGAAATATCTGATTCATCCCAGTAGTAATTGTAATGATGACATCCCGAATATTACAATATTCCATCATCAACAGAACACCCGAATTACGATTGTTTTGATTCAAGTATTTGAAAAAAATGTGAAAAGTTTCAAGGAAAGGATGAAAATGTTCGCGCTGCTTCTTTAATCATTAATGGGTATTGCATGGTTTTGTTTGTTAAATGCCACACTTTTGTCAAAAGCTATCCCCAAACCCTTCAAAATCCAACTGCTGTTTTGTTGGAATCTGTTGGAGTGAGTACTGTACTAGTAAACTGATTATGTTGTACATGGGGTTTAGGCATACCACCATAATCAGAGTCCAACAAGTTTGGGTGTAGAGTTTACCATATGGTGTTGGATTTTGCAAGAGTGAGGAAGGTTCCTTGTAAATCACTCCAGGGGTCAGGGTTAAATTCAGTCAAATATGAGTCATTCTGCTACCTCTTCTTTGTATTATTTTAAAAAGCTCGTTGTCAATTTTCAACAAACGCAGGCGCACACAAATCCCAATCAGCAACAAGTTGGGGCTGGCGTATTTTAAACTTGGTCAGCACACTTTGAATTTTAACCCTAACCGCCCTGAATCCTCCAAAATCCTTTTTGCAAATTGGAGGAATTTGCAGGATTGAGGTTACATGGCAAAAGTGCGTCGCTGATTTTGGAGTACGCACTGTGTCAAGGTCTTGGGCCTTGATTATACTTGACATCCTCCGCACTGCTCCAGGATGTCACTGCCTCTGCCTCTGCCTCAGCCTATTGACAGTCATTTTTTGCAGGATTCAGGCAGTGGTCACCCCTCCGTGGACCATATTCAAGAAATAACAGAGGAATTTGCAGGATTGAGGCTATATGCTATTTTTCCATGAGGCCAATTGGAGGATTTTGCAGGATTGAGGCTACATCCTAGCAAAAAGGCCTAGGGAGTGAGGGTTAAAATATTCTCCAATATTCTCTAAGTCTCCAACGTAGAAGAATTGAACACTCGATTATTCGAGAAAAAAGAAAACACAGCCTTAAGAGTTTAGAATGAACGCTAACACACTTATAATACACACTTTGTGGTTGAGTCAAGGTTTTGTTTAAGAATTATGTCATGTATGTATAGGTGGGGGAAAAGGTCGAAATGAAAAGTAAAACAATCTTTGTATTGATACTGTTATGAGTCATGCAGTCTTGTTTAATTTGAAGGATTTCGGTTTTGTGATTTACATTATGTACAAACATGTACTCTGTTTAAAGTTATCCCCAAGTGAAAGTTAGAAAAGAAAAAAAGAAAGATGTTATTTCTAGACTTGGGCGTGGCGCTCTTAAAAAATCCATGTTCAAATTGAATTGCTGCTTTTCTAGCATTACCAGTCCTGCATCTAGTTTTCCAGTTCCTTTTAAAGAAAATTGAATAGTTTGCTTGGTACTCATTTTTATGCCCCGCGGCGAAGCCGAAGGGGCATACTGTTTCCGCCTTGTCCTTCCGTGGGTGGGTGTGTGGGTGGGTGGGTGTGTGGGTGTGTGTGTCCGGACAAATCTTGTCAGCGCGATAACTTGAGAAATACTTAACATATGAACTTCAAATTTGGTTTGTGGATTGTTCTTGGTAATCCTAAGAAGCCTTTTGCATTTGGGGCCAAAAGGCCAAAGGTCAAGTTCACAGTGGCTAAAACAATAGAAATCTTGTCAGCGCGATAACTTGAGAAATAATTAACATATGAACTTCAAATTTGGTTTGTGGATTGTTCTTGGTAATCCTAAGAAGCCTTTTGCATTTGGGGCCAAAAGGCCAAAGGTCAAGTTCACAGTGGCTAAAACAATAGAAATCTTGTCAGCGTGATAACTTGAGAAATACTTTACATGTGAACTTCAAATTTGGTTTGTGGATTGTTTTTGGCAATCCTAAGAAGCCTATTGCATTTGGGGCCAAAAGGCCTAAGGTCAAGTTCACAGTGGCTAAAACAATAGAAATCTTGTCAGCGCGATAACTTGAGAAATACTTTACATGTGAACTTCAAATTTGGTTTGTGGATTGTTCTTGGCAATCCTAAGAAGCCTATTGCATTTGGGGCCAAAAGGTCAAGGGTCAAGTTCACAGTGGCTAAAACAATAGAAATCTTGTCAGCGCGATAACTTGAGAAATACTTAACATATGAACTTCAAATTTGGTTTGTGGATTGTTCTTGGTAATCCTAAGAAGCCTATTGAATTTGGGGCCAAAAGGTCAAGGGTCAAGTTCACAGTGGCTAAAACAATAGAAATCATGTATTTATTCTGAGATTATAGGGATTAGGGATTAATTCATATAAAACCTATACAGAAGACACTAATGCTGTCAATGAATGTTCCATGTGACCAAGGTACATGTAAGTTGATGTTAAAAGAGTGGTGTTATGTCATGGGAACAGTCACCGTTGTGGGGCATTTGTGTTTGTAAACACACCTGACTTGTTACTTTTGTTTTAAACTCATTGCCACCTGGACCTCATAAGAAATCACGCATATAGAGCAACATCGTCACATCTCAGGTCTACTAGAACAAGTTATTTGCCCCCAGTGTTTTCTAACGTTTCCCCCGGTGTTTTTCTAACGTTTCAGCTGTGCCTTTTTCAGTTTCTTAGCAGTTTTATAGTTGTTCCCAACCATTGTGTAGCTTTTTTTACCGGAATGGATTTAACCCCCAGTGTTTTCTAACGTTTGCCGCGGTGTTTTTCTAACGTTTCAGCTGTGCCTTTTTCAGTTTCTGAGCAGTTTTATAGTTGTTTCCAACCATTGTGTAGCTTTTTTTACCGGAGTGAATTTTTTTTTTCCATTTTAGGCGAGAGATGCCAGTAAACAAAGACCAAAAGTACAATTCTGCTTTGGTGAGTACGCTTCAGTCTTGATTTTCTAACGTCTTTATGCTCTAACCTTTCCTGGCTCAAAATTGTAATTTTTTAAAATGGTCAGTACGCGGCGCAATTTCATGGCTCTGCTAACCACAGAATTCCGTGCTTACGACGACCGTTCTGTGCTAACCGCGCTAGCAGAAAAAATTCTGCGCTAACCCTGTAAGCACAGAATCCTTAGTTACGGGATGAACGCATGCGCAGAAGCCAAAATTCCTCGCTAACGCGTGAAATATGCTTACCGGAATTTTCTGCTGTATAGTAAGCAGGGATTTTTCGCTAACTGTAAGCAGAGCCAAGAAATGTGGCCCAGGGGAAAATTTCACGACGCTGCTAAGCACAACAATTTGCTTAGCACAAAAAGTCTGGCTTATTAAAGCAGGTTACCAGCCAAAACTCCATGTGATGTATATTGCTCGTGATTAGTATTCAGCTGTTGTTGGCTTAGCATGAAAATCACATGAAGTTTTGGCTGGTATCCTGCTTTTACAAGCTTGACTTTTTTTTGCGCTAAGCAAATTTTTGTGCTTAGCAGCGCCGTGAAATTGGCCCCTGGTCAAAAGACAACAAATCAAGTCAGTTCAATAAGTTTCATTCTATAAATTTTGGCTCCAAACAGTGAGTTTTTCCTGTTCTCTTTACCTTGGTACTTGGTAATTTGTTATTGAAGTATCATTAAGAATGACTTAATTTTTATTTGTTGGGTTTGTACAGGGCTGGCAACTCTCATGCATTGAGTGTGAGACTTGCGCATTGAGCGTGAGATTCATGCATTTCTGGTTGTGCTCGCGCTCTCACGTGCACACGGGATTTCTCACGCTAAAAAAATGCATAAATAAAACTTGAAAATTATGTTTAAATGATTGTCTGTTGCTCAAACAATTGGTTAAAGTGGTCAGAAATTGCCTCAGATCACGCCACAGAGCATCTAGAATCCAAAATTTTTGGGGCCCCGAACCCACACCGTTAGGGCTTCGCGCTTTGCTCTCGCATTAGCATGATTAATTCTGATCAAGCTCCATCGCCAAATTCTCACTCTCAGCTCTTACTCAAAGTTGGCAGCCCTGTTGGTAGTATGCATCAGAACTATACAATCGTAGATGTCAGATGTAACAGGGACAGGAAAAAAGTGGACCTCAAGTTTAAAGAATGACCCATTATAATGTGCTTGTTTATCATGCCAATGGAATTATATTTTTGGTAGAGCCAGCCATGGAAAAGTTGCAACAATGGTTTTTAAACAAAAATGGACACAGCATGGAGGCTATGTACGCATTTTTAAGCCATTTTGGGTCCTGCGTTTTTGTTGCTCTGTATTACTGCCAAACTTTGACAGGGCCCTGGACTGTTGCCTGAATGTACAAGACTCATCGACATATGATTGATAAAGCCAGATGTAGTTGATAATTGTTAAGATGTTATCATGCAAACATAACTATTAATTATTGTCTCTTTAAAATAAGGGATTCCTTTTCAAAGTTATAGTGGGCCAAGAATTTATTTTCAAGCGCTTTAGAAGATATATTGTCAATTTAATAGGAGGCAACCAACATAGATTCCTGTATGGAAGCTCAGTAGTAGAGCATCATTTCAGATTGTGCAATTTTTCAATTTTGTTTGCACTTAAGTTTACAAAACCCGCCCACGTGTTGTCACTTTCTCTTTTGATTACCGGTAGATCCAAAATGTAATTGAAACCCCTTTCCACAGTTACGAATTTTGCAAGCCAGCATTGACACAAGGCTGAATCTAACTCTAATGAAAAGTTCAACTGTTTCCGAAATATATTCAGTCCCATTTCATATTTGTGTTTCATAAGCCAATCGGTTCATTTCATTGGCTGATCAGTTTCTGAACCAGGGCCCAGTTTCATGATAGTGCTGCTTTACAGCCCACTTTGTGCTGAGCCTAGATGTAGGTCTATTTCATAGAGAGACCGTAAGCAGTAAGCACAGCAAAGGCACGCTTATAGCTACAGTCCATCATTTGCAGCTATCCAAAAAGTGACTGACGTAATTACTTGGTTGAATGACAGTAAGGGGACTAAACTCCCTGTGAAATTATTCTTTCTGACAAGCTGTCATTTTGAAGAAATCAACAAAAGAAGACCTTTCCAATGGTGCGTCTTAAGACGCACGGTTGGAATTTAGTAGTTCATTTTTTAAATTCAGCGTAGCACGCGCAAGCGTTCACACAACGCACACGCGCGCGGTTGCTATAATTCGTCGGATCAGTGCGCAACATCGTGTAACTGCAATCGACTCAGTGAGAACGTGTCTCGGACGCTGAATTCAGGCCCAATTCAAAACACGATTCAGCAATTTTTGATTTGAAATCGAGATCCTAGAATGTTGTTTTTCTCGAAATATACAGCTGAAGCTGAGCTGAAACTTCATCAGGTTAGTTGTTCAGCACCCTTCTTTAGATTTTGAGCACTTTTGTTGCTTCAAACGAACATAATGCACAAATTACAAATGATGGACTATACCTTTAAGCACAGAGAAAAAAGTTGCTAACAATCAGTGACGTAACAATGAGAAATCCCTATGTGCACTCAACCGCAAGCACATCCACACCATGAATAGTGCTTAAGCTCAGCATGATCTTTCTGCTACATGTATAAGTGAGCACAATTTTTATTCTGAGTGTTAAGCAGCGCTATGAAATTGGAACCTGTCTCTAAAATCTCAAGTCAGTTCAAACGATTAGTGAAAAATTCAATATGTTGCCTACTGGAAAAAAAGAAAGATGTTATCACAACTCATACATAATTCTGGGTGCACTTTTTATTGCAGTTGTCCAATAGCAAACTACCCACCCAACAAATAGTTTGAAGCCATTCTTAGTGATACTTGAATGGAAAATTACAAAGTTCAAGGTAACGAACACAGGAAAAAGTCACACTTTGGAGTTTGGACCCTACATGAATTGTGTATTGATAATTGGTCCACATGTAAACCAAATAAGAGTCCAAACTATGATTTCAAGTTAGTCTGTGCGTACATGTACATGTAACATAACATGGCTTCATGTCCATGGAAACTCTAAATAAGTTTGATGACATTTTAAGTAAATACATGTACGTTGTTTGTGTTCATCTACGTGTACACAACAGTGCACACCAGGAAGTGCATGCTGCGCTAGTCCTGTGTGCATAGACATCCCGGATGGATCAACTGTCACGCCGGTCCCCCGCGCACTGTGGCCAGCCAGGAAATCCCCAATTGTATCGCTGCATTGAATCAAACTATCTGTCAAACGGGGATCCCAATAATAACTCTTCCCCCTTTACCCCCTTGCCTGAACCCTTATCTTTGTCCCTGATCGTCACACCACACTTTTTTTTTATTCATCTGATGGAGGAAGGGGAAATTGAAAGTCAGATACACCCAGGAGAATTTTTTTTTTCTCTGGGCTGTTCCAGCTGTACCACAGTAAATGCGATTTCTTTTTATTAGACAAACAGGATAGTGGCATGTTAAGTTTGATCTGATCTGTCATTTTGATTACGGTTGTTTTTCTTGAAAAACTTTTTATGATATTAAATTTCACAATGCTTTAAGATTTTTTTAAATTTTGTTATTAAAGTGAATCAAGGTAAAGAGATTTGTGACCCGTCATCCAAAAATTAGCTTAAAAGTCAGACTTTTTAAGAATTGAGATATGTATCTGGATTCTGCAGAACAAGAGCTTTATTTAGGGGTATTGAGTTCAGTAACAGAAATTTAAATAGACCACCAACTTACAAAAACTTGAAGTTGTAAACTGATTCTCAAAAAAAAAATGGTATTTAAAAACCCTGCAGTTGTAGTGAACAAACGTCAGCTTCCTATAGACGGGATAAAATACAGGTTTTATAGCTATTTGACAGAACGAAAATCATTGGAGAAAGATAAACCAGGACTTACAGATTGAGTTTTACCTGAAAACAAAAAATCAACCTACTCTTTAAATTTCGGCTTTGCACCACTGTACTGCAAAATGGCAATCTCCAACTTTAAGCTCGTTTTGTGTCGACAGGTCACATTTATTTTAAGAAAGACCAAAAAAAGAATTATGTCTTCGAAATGAATTATTTTGAGGGAAAAATGCGAAATATTTTTTTTAAATTGAAATTTAACTGCTGTGTAGGTCCTCCGGTAGGTTTCAAACTTTGTAAAAAGAAAATCAAAACACAACTATTGCAACAGAAATTATAGGTAATGTTGATTTAGGACGGTTGGATGTTTTGTTTTGTTTTTGTTTAGGTGTTTTTTTTTTGGCACATGGGTTTTCCCGATGTTTCCTAAATATAATTTCCTATCACATGATTCACGAATGGTGGGCTTCCATTTTCACTTGTTCTTTCTTTTTTAATAATGCTGCTGGACATTTGACAAGGTATCATATTGGTTCTGCTTTTGATACGTAAGAAGAAACAGGGATTTCCCTTGGACTTTTTGTGTGTATGGTTGTGCGAGGGATCAGTTTATATACTAGCCTGACTAAATTGTAAAAGTCATCATAAAAACTTGTCAAATCCTATAATCTTACGCTGTCTGTCTGATATATATGTATGTCACGTTTTCTGTAAAAGGTGTGTGCGGAAGCGTAAAATGCAAGGGTTAACCCTAACTCCCTAGCGTGATTTACTAGGAACCATACCCATTCCTGGCAAATTACACCATATGAAGACGTTTTTCGAAGTGATGCCTTAGGCTGAAAAAAAGATATCTTTTGATAGTATTTCTTTAAAATGACAAGTAACATGATATGTTGCAATCAAATTTTTGTAAATATCTTTTTGTAAAAAATCCAAATTGACTGACAGTTTGTTTCCTATGACTACAGTGGTGAGTGTACCTTCAAGGAATTACTACTTCAAAGCTGACAATCAGCAGGATCTAGAGGAGTGGGTGCAAAGTCTAAACAAGGCTTGCAGAGTCACGGTAGGCAAAAAAAACCTAACATTTTATTATACACTTGGCCACAATGATTGATTGGCTTGCAATATTTGAAACAAACACCGCAAAAAAGGAAAGTAGATACTCATTGGAGGGGTCATAATTTTAAATCTGATCATCTTATGATAATGTCATTTGTATAGACTTTTGGGGAATGTTGTTAGCTACATTTTGATACCCCGTTTGCTACCAAAGACTGTAAATCGTCCAACATTGACAACGGTTTATGAAAAATGATGCAGTTTGAAAAGTTGCAAATTTACAAAGTATGTGAGTGGAAATTGCTGCGTGACAATGTCACACTGCCCGAAATGAACCGCAGGGAATATTGATTGCAAAGTGCTTGTATGCATGGGAGCACATGAAATTGAATTACCCGCGCTTTGTTTGAGCACCGTGCAGTCCATAGGAGCCAATTATGGGTAGGTGTGGTTAGGTTTAGCAATTTCTCCTCGCGTAATCTTCAAATTTGCAACTTTTCATACTGCATGATTTTTCATAAACCGTTGTCAATCTTGGATGATTTACAGTCTTTGGTAGCAAACGGGGCATCAAAATGTAGCAAACAAAATTCCCCAAGGGTCTATGTAAATGATGTCATCAGAAGATAATCAGATTCAAAATTATGACCCCTCCAATCAGTGTGGACTTTCTTTTTTCCCCCCGTGTTTAATACCACCCCTGGTTTCCAATGGTAGATTTGTTAATTGTGCTACTTTAAAAAACTAAATGAGGAATAGTTTCAAAACAAACATTCATCTCTCACAAAGACTGATGCCTGATGGTCTTTTTCTTTTACATATATTCCTTTTGTTGCTGCCATGCAGACTTCTCTTCCTTATAATTGACCTATCGCGGTAGAATCGCGTCAATGCAGCTTGTGAAATATTGTCCAATTACATGATATACAAATGGACGCGGAACGCGCAACATCTGAGACAAACAGAACTTCTAGCATACAAAAACTCAATAGGGTTGTGTAATGGGCGTGGCCAACTCGCAAACGGCGATAGGTCAATTGCAATCAAGTAATTGTGTCTTTATGCAATTCACATATGGAAAAAAAACTACATTTCGAAAAACCTCCATGGTTTGCCTGTTTTCAGAGTCATGGTTTGCCTGTTTTCTCCCGGTCATTTTTTCCCCATCTGCAGGTGCCCGTGACTGACCCCTCCAAGGTGGCCGCACCGCTCAAGCTGGACCTCAGCAAAGCCAACAGTCAAGCCAACTCGTCCCCTAAGTCCCCGGTCCGGGGGTTGAGCTACACGACGGAGATCGTCGGGGGAGTGGTTCACCGAAAAGCTGTGGAGGTGGGTAGAAATTAAGAAGACGGGGCTTGGCTAGTCACGTTAGACTGGAAAGTCTTATGTTTAAGACATTATTTGTACTCACCGACTCAGTCAGTCGGTTAGTCAGTCTGTCAGTCGGTGACTCAGTCAGTCAGAGGAAGATAGGCTAGCCCTTCCCCTTCGGATGTGGTACCAGTCCAGCCACAAATTGCATAAAAGTAAATGAAGTCTATTACAAGCAAATATGGCCCATCGGGCCAGCGTTTATCTCCGGTTTCATCGGCATGTAACGACCAAGAATATTTTTATTCCACACTGGATGGGATGCTAGTCCATCGCAGGTTACTCCCCGGCTAATGCCGGTACCCATTTATACTCCTGGGTGGAGAGAGGTAAGTTGGGGTGCAGTGGCTTGCCCAAGGACACAACATATGGCCGGTAGCAGAATTTGAACCCCTGACCCTTTGATGAGTCATGAACCCTAACCACCTGCCACACTCGCCCATCATTGCAAAGTATTGCACATTATTCCATTCTAGGCAAAAATAACAGTAAATCCCCTTTGTTTAAAAAGATGCAAAAATGTCTCCGACAGAATGAACTGCAAAAGTAATTTTGAGCCGTCAAGCAAATTTCAAATTCCTGCATTATCTTAGAATGCACTGATAACAAAAATATTGTTTGAGCATTTTTTTGCTCCGTTTTGGATCACACAATCATGGTAAATAATTGGAAAATTTCTTGTGCCCTACAACACTCATTTTGGTCAAATTTCCATTTGTCGTCCAATAACTTTGGGAGTGAGTGGACGGTTGGACTTAAAAATGTCTGAAATTTACCTCCTGGTTTAATAATTTGTTATTTCTTCTCACTCACATGTACAACTTAACTGACCCCTGAATTTAAGTACATGTATGTATTCAGCAAAAATTGCTGGAGCAATGTTCGCATGTACATATTTAGTTAGGAGTTCAGTTTTTCGGAAGCACTTTGTTATAAAAGGTGTCAGGCAGAGTAAATGTAGGGACTTTTTCTGACCTCACAATTTCTGTGACTTGCTTAAAAGTTAAGTGAGCAATAAAATTGTTATTCAAGTTACTTGGAACGACTTTCCATTTAGAGTTTGTAAATGGGAAGATCATCAAGCCACTTCAGCGGCTACCCAGTGGAGTGGCTTATAGTTCTGCACATTTGAATTGGTAGTTCATCAAGCCACTGCATGTGGCCATCTATTCAAGTGGCTTGTAATTCCATGCATTTGTATGGGTAGTTCATCAAGCCACTCTGAGCGGCTACCCATCAGAGTGGCTTATCCTCCCACATATTTCAATGGGTAGTTCATCAAGCCGCTCTGTACAGCTACTCATCAGAGTGGCTTATCCCCCCCATATATTTCAATGGGTAGTTCATCAAGCCGCTCTGTACAGCTACTCATCAGAGTGGCTCATTCTCCCATATATTTCAATGGGTAGTTCATCAAGCCGCTCTGAGCGGCTACCCATTAGAGTGGCTTATCCTCCCATATATTTCAATGGGTAGTTCATCAAGCCGCTCTGTACGGCTACCCATCAGAGTGGCTTATCCCCCCATATATTTCAATGGGTAGTTCGTCAAGCCACTCTGCACGGCTTACCAAAGCCAAAAGAGCTAAATCCCCTTGTATGTATCTGTTGACTGAATGTACCCAACAGAGTTCCATTAAATGGAAATTCTGTGTCCCCCGACGTGTGTACTTAGAAGTCAAGAAACGGGTGAGTTCTGCCTGCTCCATGCATGTTGCATAAGAGTATGCATGCATGATCAGGCAAGCCTGATACCCATGTATAGAGAGTGCCACTTTAAGTGCGATCCGTGAAATTTGTTTTATACCACGTAGTTCGAGTTTTCGAGGTGTAGTCTGACTGAGCGTTATTTAAAGGTAAATATGTTAAATACAACATTTGCTTTTGCTGTAATTTTCAGAAATTGATGGATTTGGGGGTAAGTATTTTGTAGCAAATATCATTCCACTGACCTGTTTAAAGTTTTGTGTTCATGGATGCCTAAAAAAAAACAAGAAAAAAATGCTGTTCTTGTAGTCTGGTCTCCTGACCCTACGCTTCAGAGGAAAAGGGACAATTTATAGACATCAGGGAATTGTCAGGTCAGGGAACCAGACTAGCTGGCTTATGGCCATTCACGGGTACATGTATGTTATCGCGGCAAACAAAATAATGTGGACTAACTCAAATAGAGTAGTATTAGAAAAAAGCCCATTCCTTGCCCCCCCCCCAACGATAATTGGCTGAACCATTGTTAGAAAATGATACAAAATTCCACTTTTCTTGAAAAAAATGACAGCATACCAGGCTGTGATGATTTCACAGAATAGTTTAGACTATTATTTACTTACAGTTAAGTAAGGTATTTTATAATAATTTGGTAGTTTCACTTTTTAATGTTTGCAAATGTTGTACAGTACCTTTACATGGAGCTGCTAAAAAAACCCCAGAAAATATTGCTTTAATATCAAATTTGGTTGCTAAGTAAAAATCTGCCGAGGACCAGTGACACGGAATATACATCACATTACGTTTTGGCTGGTAACCTCTTTCTGCTAAGATTGAATTTTCGTTGCTAGGCAAAATGTATCACTGAGCACATTTACTTTGCCAAACTTTACTTGATTTTCAGTTAGTAATTTGAGCATAACAATTGTATCAGGCAAGATTTGCTCGGGAAAATTATGTGCTTCACAGCTACATAAGATTGGCTGTCATTTGCAAAATGATCGGATTTTGCGGTGGGAAAAGGAAGGATATATCAGTTGATGGAATTGGAGAGAAATATTTCTGTGGGAGCCGGTTATGAACTAAAAAGTACTTACAAATGACTGCCGTAAACTGTAGTGGGAGTTAAACTGATGTTCCTTTCAGTCAATTTCACGAAACTTTATGCAATGGCATTTATAAGTCTACTTGACACTTGCGCCACAATTTTTTGTTCAGGTTGTGCAAAATTTCACGCTGTGCAACATTTCAGTTATGACAATTTCATGAAAGTTTCATAGTGCGTAAGTCCGCGTCTTGCGCAACGAATTATGGCGTACTTTGCGCAATCATCGAGGTGGCGTAAGTTTTGGCGTAGTGACTAACAATGACCTGTTTTACCAGCAAATCGTGATCGTTGTGTAGCCTGTTATTTCGCAACTTATCAAGGTCGAATTATTTAATAACTAAACGTCTGATTTTTTTATATCGCGTTCAAAAGTGTAGACATTTGTATTGCTGGAAAGAAAATAAGTCTTTTTGGGTGATTCTCAACGAAAAACATTGACAGCGTATCGTTGAGGATCTGGGAGATTTAGTGTTAATGAGAAGTAAAAAAAAAACATTGTGAAGTTACAATCTACTCTTATTACCGTGTTTATCTACGCCCTGAAGAGTAGCGACAAGCGGGTAAGCCAGCAGACGCTGCCAACCACTGCCAACTTTGCCCAACTCAACTTGACTCAGGTATATTGGTTGTTCTGCTTCATGCTGCCGCCATGCCCTACACAAAGCTTTTGAGTTATTTTAGAATGCTGCATCGGTGTCGCATGTTTTGTTAGCAGTGTTGTAGTTAAGTCCATCACAAGTCCATCACCAGTCCATGAGTCCGCATAAGTTCATCGCAAGTCCTCACAAGTGCATCACAACTCCTCACAAGTCCTCACAGGCTCAAAATTCTATCACCCGCCCATGAGTTCTAACAAGTCCATCACAAGTCCGTGAGTCCTCACAAATTTATCACAAGTCCTCACAAGTCCGCAAGTTCTCACAAGTTCAAAATTTCATCACTGGTCCATGAGTTCTCACAAGTACTTCACAAGTCCTCAGTAGTCCTTTACAAGTCCATTTTCAGTCCTCACAAGTTCATCACAAGTCCTCACAAGTTCATCACAAGTCCTCACAAGTTCATCACAAGTCCTCACAAGTCCTCACAAGTCCTCACAAGCTCAAAATTTCATCACCATGCAGTCCATGAGTTCTCACAAGTACTTCACAAGTCCTCAGTAGTCCTTTACAAGTCCTCACAAGTCCATTTTCAGTCCTCACAAGTTCATCACAAGTCCTCACAAGTTCATCACAAGTCCTCACAAGTCTACAAGTCCTCACAAGTCATCAGAAGTCCACCACAAGTCTTCCAGTCTCTTGTCAAGTTACACGCTTTTCCAATAAAGTTTGACAAAGGAATTACTTTCTATTCATCCCCTGTTTTGACCAGACCTTTTAAGTTTAATTGACTGGTGACTTACTTGTGACTGGATTTTTGAATTGACTTGTGATTTACTTGTGACTGGACTTGTTAATTGACTTGTGATTTACTTGTGACTGAAATTGTGATTGACTTTTGATTGACTCAACTACAACACTGGTTGGTTAAAGTGTTGGCCTGTGTGCATTTTGTCACAAGTCTTAGAACTGTCTGTGAATTTGGTAGATTCCTCTTCAGCTAGCTGTACATGTGTATCTGGTCTTTGCACACATTGTCTCTTGTTTCCCCACCGTCAGCTGTGTGCTTGAATATATTTTTGCAACCGCACAATAGCTTTTTAGGTGCAAGCTATTCTTAAATTGGCCTATTGGCCACGAGAGACCATAGCAATTGTGAATTTCTTGTACAACAAATCTCATTCACAACATTGTGCATTTTCATTCATGTTATTGAAAGTGCACGCCGTGACATTGCAGTTTTGTTTTTTTGCAAGTCACAAATTTTTTCGGCGCAGTGCTTTCAGTTTGTTTCATTACATTTGTTTAGGGTGAGTTTGTGTTAAGGAAGTTTACAGTGTTCAAAAAGAAACCTATTGTGCAGTTGTGAGATAGATATATACAATGTTATGTCCCTAAATGCTAAAGGGCTGCTATATTTCCCTATTTCATTCAGGTTACTCATAAACATCACGTATCGAAGACCATGCCATTTTCGCATGCACTGCATCAAGTTGAACGTCGCATACTTATTTGGAAAATCAGACAAGTAACCCGAGCACACTGCAGGTTTACTAGAAAGGAAACAAGTTAAAGGTCACGATAAAAAGGGGATGAAATATGATAAAAAGAACTATAGACTTCTTGGAAAGCTATGATCTGATAGCAGACTTTAATCTGAAAGCATTCAAATATAAGATTACACAAGTTGTACATAAAAATAATGTACTATGCATAATGTGCATCATCTTTGAATCTCTATGCTTTATAGTGCTCAATAGAAAGCATGCTATTCCGAGTGATTAATTTTTTAGACAAATCAACTAATTGTGAGTCTTACCATGCGGTACTCTTTGACCCAAGATTTAAAATACGGAAGAGCTGAAAATCAAGTGATCTAACACATTAGGCAAATGTATTTAGAATCGAAAAGTTTGATTCAAAATCACCGATGTTGTCATAAACAGCACTGCGCTGTCTTAACTTGGTGTATAGAGAATATTCTTTGAAGATATTCACTGTTAAAAGGGTCCATGTAGTGTAATTTCTTTTTAGTGCAATACTTGAAAATGCACCTTTGTGTACATTAACCTTATTTTCAAGTTTTGTTAATTGCCATTTTCAAGGGTATTTTGGTGCCTTTTTGGTTTCTATGCTAATGCGAATTTCCATATTCATGAGCAAAAGTGTGATGTCAATTTAGGCAGGAACAGTATTCCAGCACCACAAGTTGCCAGAATTTTGGATATTTTGGCGTCGTAAATTGTTCTTTTCTTTGGTGATTTGTTGTTGTGTCAGTATACATGGCAGTAAGCCAATGATTACGGACATTTTCAACGAGCAAATTTTGGTGTTCACAATTTGAATATAAAACCCTCAACTGAACAGTGTTGTCCTGAAATGACGCCACAGCAACAGCGCCCTCAGCTGTCCGGGAAAGCAAGTAAAATTTTCCAATGTTGAAAGAAGTTCACTTTTCAATAAAATAAACCCAAAAAGGGATGTCAAATAGTTTTTATACATTTAAGAGGAGTAGAAAGTTGCACAAATATGTTTCTAAGAAAACTTAATTTCACGGACCCTTTAAGTTCTGTTGGATATGTTGCGCATGATGTCAGTTAGGCATGCCTGAATATGAATGTGCACCACTTCCCTGCACTGTGCGTACACTGCCAGGCATTATGCATGCAAATTTTTTCGCACCTGGTCACAACTTCCAACCAATCAAATTTGTCGCAGTATTATAATCCAAAATCGAATGGGATTATGTGTTTGCTTGGCAACACACCTATTAAATTGAGAAAAGCATATGTAACGAAATCTCAAATGGATCTGTAGAGCTTTAAACTGCTCAGCGCTTTGAGGTTTAGCTGGGAATAAATGGCTAGGAAGTTAGAAACTGGTAGTTCTTATTTTTTTATATTTTGAAAAGGTGACTATATGGTTTTAAAGGTATTTCTGGGATTAGCTTGCGTACATGTACATGTAGATGCAATACCTCAATAGTGTAGCTTTAGTGAAATAACATGATTTGAAATGACGGCAAAACAAAAAAATTATCTTGCTTCTTGGAAAGATCTTGATAATGATCCACCAACAATCATTTCATAAAAATCCATGTCGTCCGTTATGGAATTTTACGTGCTTTTAACAGCTTTTTAGCTGCGGGATAGCAGCTTAACAAATCGTGTCTCTCCGTTAGTTAGTGAGTAATCAGCGTTGACATTGTTTATTGCTCCTACATATTTTGACCGATTTCAACCAAACTTGGTCAAAAGTATCAGTAGCCCAGCCCCAACATGTCACATGACCAAACTGGGGTCAAAGGTCATCATGGGGTCGCTGGGGTCAAAAACCTGATTTTTTTTTACACTCAAAAACACTACTTCCAGAAATTACATGGCACAATCACGTGACTCATGCATGAACAAGAATTTGTTGGCCCGCAGCTTCCGAGATATTTCCGATTGAGCTTGTTACATGTATATTACTTTGTGTTGAAGTCCTGTATGTTCCTATGAAGATTTCTGAGCGTCTAAGTTTGTAGTTGTTGTTTTTTGGCAGAAACTTTAGAATAACAGCTGCCAAAACAATGCTAAAAAAAAGTTTGTTCCGTTCAATGCTGTGATGGCGTTCGACATTCACCATTGAAAAAATATTACTTGTATGAAAAAAAAAATCATCTCATATTTACTGTTCGTCAGTATTTCCCTTTTTTTTGTCATAACGTTTTACATTTAGTAAATTCATGACCAAAAAATGCCATCATTTTAGCAAAGCCTTTTGTCTTTAGACCACTCTTTTGCAAACAGTTGATGGGTAGATTTTTATTTTGTTTTTCCCCTTTTTATTTTCAAAAATGTGTTTGGTTAATAGCTGCTAGAGGTATTAGCATCCCGTGTTTATTTAGTGCATGTACATGTACTGTTTACACATGTGTGTGCATTCACTTTGAAGAAGTGGATTTTAATATGGATTTATATTTACTTATATAAATATATGGATCTTATAAACAACTCTGTTAGTTGGTTCTGGTTGATTGGGCACTTAGAACATGACAAAGAATTTTATTGATCTATGACATTACTTTGTCATAACAAATTAGTCAATTTGTACAGTGCGCAGATCATGAAAAGAGAACGAGTTTTATTTATGAAATCCTTAAAAACAACCCATTTTGAAACTAGAAAGCACTCTAGAGAGCGCAAACCTCCAACAGGCTGAACAATTCCCCGCCACATTGTCAGTACACCCAAAAGAAATACTCGCATAAATGGTGAAGAATCCTTTGAAAAAATCCGGGATCGAGACCCAGATCCGGATCATTCCCCAAATCTAATAGATTTGTACTTGTACCAAGGACCACCCCAAAAAAAATTCATGCAAATCCGTCCATAACTTTCTGAGTTATCTTGTTTAAACAGACAAACAAACAAACAAACTAACCAACAAAAAACGATGAAAAAATAACCTCTTGGCGGAGGTAATAAAATACCCCAAATTACTTTAACCTTGTAGTTCTCCTTTTCTGTTCTTCCCCCACCCTTAGACCGCACACAGTGATACAGACAGTGAGGATGAGAGCGCCGGTCTCAGGACCCGATCCTGGCCCCGGTCTGTCTCCCCTACCGGTGGGGACGACAAAAGTCTGACCAGAATATTCCCGGGGAGAAACGTGATCAAGGCCGGCTGGTGTGTCAAGCAAGGAGCATTGGTAACAACTTTTTTTTTTTTTGAATAAAGGAGATTTTCAGAACCTCGGCTTCATAGCAGGTTTGGCAACCCTAACCCTCCAGGGTATGTTTGCTAGAATCCTGTCAAACGTATTCTAGCCATGGTCTTTAACATTTGAGCAGATTCGCTGATTACTTTTGCAAGACAACCGCATCTTGACCTCTAGATTTTGACCAATCAGCAGGCGCTTTCTATATCGGGACTTCGGTCATTCACCGTTGTCGCGTCGTAGACATGGATAAAAAAAAATTCTAGACACAGCAACAAAGGCTGTTGTCACGCGCTCTGTATTTTGTTATGCGATACGCACCCGGCTGTTGTTGATCACAAGTTTAGTCCTGATTTGGGAATGAAATGACGTCACGATTTAGTAAAATCGACTCCGATTGGCCGAGGGGCGAGATCTCTTACAAGTTTAATACAATTAGTACTACCCTCGATAGTCAAGCCAAGATTCGTTCCTGAAATCTTGTGCATTCTTTGAAGTGTATAACAATCCATTGGCTGTTGTTTTCAGACTCGTTTTTTGATCATTTGTGCTTCTGTACTTCACAGAGGAAAAGTTGGAAGAGGAGATTTTTCATTTTGGATGAGCAAGGGCTGGCATACTACAAATCCTCAACGGTACGTTCATGTGCATGTCCTTTTAGTCTGGTGTCTGTGCATAAACAGCAGATAACAGAGTGTAGCCTATGCTCTAGTCTTGTTCCTAGACTGCCTTGGCAAGCGCAGTCCAGCCCCTACAGTGGCAGAGGGCTTAGTATTAATGAAAGTGAATGAATTTTTGGGAACTGTTGCACATACTTGAGAAATTTCCGGCATATTTCACGCACGCTATTTTCAAGCTAATGCACAAAATTGAACCCCCCCCCCCCAAAAAAAAACCCCAAATATAAAAAAGTCGACAACCTCGGGGGAGGGGGCCTTAGGGGCTAAAGCCCCCCCCCCCCCAAGAGGTTGTTAAATTTTATATATATATATTGGGGGGGGGGGGTAAAAAAAAATTTAGTCCCACAATTTCACCATGGTGATATGTATGTGGCCTATTTTCGAGCAGTAAAATAGGGGTGTATATGGCCACCAACATCAAAAAATAAAAAAACTTAGGCCAAAAAAAATAAATATTTGGTCTCTGGTCAGACCAAAGTTCCGGAATTGCTTTTTTTTTTTTTCTTCAAGCTTGGATTGTACAGACAAGGTGGGGTACTATTTTGCTTTTTTGGTGTCCTCATGTACATTGGTGTCCTCCATAATTTGCCTTGGTGCTCTCGATCATTTGCCTTGGTGCAATTCCCATTCCTTGGTGCTCTTTGGTAAAAAAAAATGAGGAGGTGCAGCAATAGAGGGCGCTGTTGGAGCTACCGCGGAACATTTTTGGGGAAAAAAAGATTGACGCGCATGATTAAAATCGACGCGCGCGCTGACCAGAGACCGACGTATTTTTTTTTTTTGCCTTAGGCTAATAATTTCTTGACAACACTTCACATATGTCCTTGTTTTTTGGACTTTTCAAGTTGGAGTTATTTCTCATTCTTTTCGCAGGATAAACTTCCCTTGAAGACAATATCAAAGAAGGACATTACCGTCGCCAGGATATCGGATATAGGGTGAGGAGGTTTTCTGTTTTTCATTAAAACCCTAGCCTCCCCAACTCCATCAAAATCCAAACCCCCAATTTTGGTGGATTTTGGGGGACTTGGTCCTGCAGGCCTGATGTGACTGTTGATGGAGTATGATGGACTTGGGCCTGGGGGCCTAAAGCAAAGCATGTATTGGAAGCAGTGTGATTGATGGATTTTGGCAGACTTCGTCCAGTACTTAGTAAAAGTCAGTAGGGAGTTAAGGTTAAATTTCTTTTTCTTTTTTCAAAGCCTAACTAAAAAAATTTGTAGATTGCAAAATCATCAACTTACACAGAAGGATTTTCTTCAATAGATTTGTTGAGTTGAGAATTTTTAATTTTTTTTCTCTTTTATTTTCACAGACCAACTCTTCAAAGAGACAACTTGTTAGAAATAGTCAGCTCGTCAAGAACGTTTTTTGTACAGGTAGGCCTATTAAAGCTGGACAAAAAGTCTGGGTTCCAGACTTGATTTGGATTTTTTCCCCTCTAATGCAGCAAGTCCATGACACGCACCGTCAAACCGCAGGCTTGAATATAGTTTACGTGATTGACACTGCTTAGCAGTTTGTAAAAATGCCCACTGCATTTGTGACATGGCCTTAAACATTCTACCTAAAGGCAAGAAGATATTAATCATTTGTATATGTCAACTGACCGATGTAAAGCATTAAATCCATTAACCCTCTTACTCTTTTAACAGTCACAGACAGTCAAAAATTCCATCCTCTTCCCCTGCCATGCCTTTTACACAGGCTAGTCACAAACAATCAGATAATTTTCTCGAGCAAGCACTCTGACTAGTCAAATTCAGTCAACAGAAAAAAGCAGGCAAGTGGTAGGAACAGCTGGCTTATTAATCACCTACAGTCAAAGCATAGCTGTATCAAGTTACATAAACAGTCACAGCCAGTCGATCCTGCTTTATTTTAGGCTGGGAGCTCTTAACTGTTGAAAACAGTCACTTGATGTATTTTGACTGAAAGGACAACTTAGCACAGAATGTATGTTTGCATGGGACGGTTAGCGGACTTTCGCCAGTATATTTTGTGATTAAATAAGTAAATCTTGACTGTTTCTGTTCTAAATTCAGGCTTACTCCCCCGATGACATGGCCGAGTGGATCAACTCTATCAACGAAGTCAAAAACCCCAAACGAGCCAGCGCCCCGCAAGCAAGTGTGAGTACTTGATGCCGTCATCATGAAAATCTAAATTTCTGTCATGTTTTGCTTGAATTTCTAATAGTGACAGCTTCAATACCATGGTTCTGGGGTGGTTCATTTTTTCCAGGCAGATTTGTGTATAAATTTGCATAAATTTGCATAATTAGGCTTTCTAGCCAGTAGCTGAAAGCCTGATTTCTGTCAGTGCACCTGGTTATTAAGTGAAACGAAACTGAACGTTTGACTTGTTTCTTTTTTTTCTACTTCAATTGGCTTTCGAGCTAACTGCTTCTTTTTTTTTATCAATTTAACGTTAGAATAGAAAACGCCAATTATGGCGCCAGGTTCCACAAAAAGTTGGTCAACAAAGCTTATTTTAAAAAAAACAAAGCTGTTTAAAAAAAAAAAAGGTTTAAGGGTGAACAAAAACAAATCCGTTTGTCGAGTGTGATGCTATTAATATTCATATCTAATACTTTATTATACGTAGTCAAACATGTAGTCAAACATGTAATCATGCATGTGCTTTGCACGATCATTGTCATACATTTCAGATTTGTCCCCTCATATGAAAGATAGTGGTAATGTCGAAGTCCAGTATAGAATGCTTGGGATGCTTTCGTTTTGAGTGAAGTGTCCAAATCGGACCTGAAAAGCTGGTGTTTTAAGCGTTGGCGTCCATTTTAATGAAGTACATGTACTTGTGAGTTTTGCTTGGGATGTCGCAGTAATCAGTTTAGATGTAGATCGTTTGCACTCCAGCTATCTTTGAGTTGTGTGCTTTTACTCAAGGGAGTTAGGGTTGATGACTTAAACTAAGACAAGATAAGTTTGTGGTAGCACCATGTGAATAAATCTCTGGAGCCAAGCAGAACTACTTACTAGCATCGACCGCTGGTACCCCTGACGCATCAGAGAAGCCATCGAGATCATCAAGCATAACACTGTTCTCCAAGACATCGGTTTCGATATCAGCGACATCTGGGGCCCCATCCTCAAGTCCAAGTCCGATGGGTCTCTTATACCCTATGACAACTTAGGTTCAGTTCTCGACTATGGGTCACCTATACCCTGAGCTCCTTCCCCTTTGCCCCAGCCTCACTGTGTACTGACATGTCCAGTGATCATCCAGCATCCCTCATTCAACTTGCATCCTTCCCAGCTTCACCGGTTTCGAGCTTCACCAGTTTGCATCCTTCTCATGCCTCACCGCACCCATCCTTATAACATCGCATTATCGTTGGAATCCCTCATTCTCCTGACGACGAGCAGGGCATACTGTTCGAAACGTTAAGTCCCTCCAGTTCTTTTCAGAACCACACATACTAAAGAGATTTATTCACATGGTGTTACAACAAACTTACCTTGTCTTAGTATCTTTCCACCATGCAACCTTCAAATCTCGACTTAAAATAACAAAGTACACCTTCAAAATGGCTGCTCAATGCAATCTGTCTATTTAGATGAAATTATTTTTTTCAGTCATTCTGCGTGTTTAATACATTTTTTTACTGTGAGGTCAATCCGATTGGGTTTTTTTTTAAGTTTTGAATTTTTTTTTAAAAATGGTGTTCGCTTTCTGGGGCTTTCGAAAAATAAAAGGTTTATTTTGAGATTTGTTTTTTTAACCACAACTTTAGCAAACTTCGTATTGTGATGAGGAGGAACCCGAAGATTATGTGTAATCGTCATGTACCTCCCTAGAAAGTAATTAACATCAACGTATGTAACTATCATCCTCATCAGTAATGCTTGTCTGGAAATGTTGTTGTCGAGTCCATCACAAGTCCTTACAATAGGCCATCAGCCTGGGGGTTTGGTCCGTATCAAATGAGGGGAATAATGCTCATTGTGATTTTTGGCAAGGTATGCACCCCAGTTGTTGGAAAATATGTGATAGCATTGCAGCGGTGGCAGCTTTTTGGGTGCTATCACCTTTTTTTGTAAAAATGACGGCCAAAACATGCTTCTTACCACATATAATTAATATGGTAACAAGCAGATTGGCGGCCATTTTGAAAAAAAAATAAATAAAAGTGATAACACCCAAAAAACTGCCACCACTCTCCCTGCAAATCTATCACACATTTTCCAACTCTAGATTTGCATACCTTGCCAAAAATTGCTATGAGCATCGCTCCTTTTGCTCATTTGATACCGGTGACCCAATTTTGGGACCGAAGCTGATAGCCTGCAAGTCCTTACAAGTCCTGACATGTCCATCAGTCTCAAATCGACTGAGTTCTACAAATAAACTGTGACGAAAGCATTCCTTTTCATGTGCGGATACTTGTGACTGGACTTGTGACTTGTGATCAGACTTGTGTTGGGCCCGACTACAGCATGGTTGTGTGGCTTGGTGATTGCCTGGCTGAAGTCAATTTGCAAAGCAACTTGAAAATGCTACGGCCAAAAAAAGAAAGAAAAAAGCATGAAGCACCCCCTTTCCCTGGCATTTGCTCCTCCAAAGTTGTCCCCTCCTTTTCCTTTTCAGGCATGCATACGTATGTGTTATAGATCTCTCTCATAGGACGCCATCTTCTTAGGAAAATTACAACTTTGTATCTGCGTAGTGCGCAAAATGCTCTCAACACGTGTGTGTTGCTCGAATTTTCTTTGAAATACGGCGCAGCTGATGTGCGATGAAAAACTGACGTTCAAAATGCCGATGCACGTGGCAATCTGTAGAAAGTGACGTCATTTGAGAGAGACCTATTAACACATGAACTGTGCATGAAATGTATTCAGTCACGGCAGCGTTATATTTCTCATCACTGGAAACTCTAATACTGCTGGATCTGATATACCCATTTGGCGGAGAAGAGGTAATGGGTGCAGTTGCATTCTGGGTACAGTGTATGCTCTGAGCGGGTTGTTGGCCCTCTTGTGGTGACAGTGGGCACAGTTTCTGTTCATGCGGGTGACATTTTTTTTCCCCTGGTAGCCATGCTGTTTGAATGCAATTTTTTGGGTGGAAATGCACACAGTGATTTGTCTGATCTCAAGTGCCTTTTCAGAAACTAAGGTTTCTCTTCAACTTCGTTTATAGGCTTCAACTGCATAAGACCTGGAACAGAATGTATCTCTCGTAGCTCAGTTTTCTGCAACAGAAAATATTAGCTAGTCCATTGTGAGGCCGACGTTTGGAAAATGTTTATTTTAAAATTTTTTAAAAGCTTTCAATTTTTCAATTTTTTTTTTTTTTTTTGAAATGCAGTCTTTGACAATATGTACAGTTTCGTGTTGTAGAAGGTCAAAGGGCATGTTTTAACCTTCATAAAGGTCATATGCAAATAAGCATTGGGCCACTTTACGAACTTGTAGCAGTAATAAGTAGCATTATTAAAAAAAAGTTTTTTATTCCATTTTTGATTTTTTAATAGTTTGCATGATATGTTGCTGGACCTTCCATGGTTAAAGGGAATATACATCATTTGCTCTTGCTGTAATTTTCAGAAATGGATGGAATTGGGGGTTGGAAATATAGAGCAAATATAGTTACACTGACTTTTTTGAGGTTTTGGGTTCGAAAATGCTATAAAAACCAAGAAAAACAATCATTTTCCTGTAGTCTGGTTCCTTGACTCCATATAAGAAGAAACAGAGCAGTTTACATACATTGGGGAATTGTAAGGTCAGGGAACCAGTCTAGCTGGCTTGTACCCGTTCATAGGTGTGTAATCGATTGCAAACAAGTGCGATGGTCAATTCGGGCCAGTATTTGAAAAAAAAAAAGTTTTTTCCAACGCTGATCGGCCGATCAGCGTTGGAAATTATACAAAAATACCACTTTTCTTGAAAATGACAGTATACCAGGTGCCATGATTTTACAGGATGCTTTACACTGTCATTCACTTACAGTCGAGCAAGGTATTTCAAAATGATTTGGTAGTTTTATTTTTGATGTTTGCAAATGTTGTATTTTCCCTTTAAAAAGGAAATTACCCAAACCCAATAGCGCCCTCTATATGTGTCCACCATATCTCAAAAAAGGCTAATGTGGAGAATATTCTTCAACTACAAAATGGCATCTGGATATTCTGTTTCCGACTTTATCCTTTTTTTTTATTCTTGCTCAAAGCCGCCAAGAAAATAAAAATCGTAACTTATAATTCTCATATACCTGCATTTTCCCCTAAATCCCATAATCCTTTTTTTTGCATTCCTACTTTTGTTTCTTTTCATTGGTTTATCATTTTGAGTTTCCTAATTTTTGTTTGCTCTTGTTAATTTTTAACCTTATATTTTAACCTCATGCATGCCTCGGATGGTGTCTTCAGCGTTGAGCAATGTTCATGCCCTGCATATTCAACACTAACTCTCGCTGTAAGTGAATGATTAAAGCAGAACTGCTTTTTTTTTTTATTGTTAAATTGAATGACAACTTTTTCCGGTTTGATTTTTTGTCTGAATAGTTGAGCGGATAAAGATTTATTTAAATTGAAAGTGTAAACAAAGAAGATATATTATTTTGACATAAACCTGTATGTCTTTCTAATTTTCATTTTGTTTTTCTTTCCATTTTTTATTTGTTTTATCAATTTAAAAAAAGAAGAAGTTAATTAGGGTAGAGAATGCCCTCTCGAAAAATGGCAGTTTTTGGTCATACCTTAGAAATTGCAAAAATTGTAAAAAAAAAATCATCCTTGTTTTCTTGCACCATGCATGCACTTTGGAAGAAAGGATGAGGGATCGCAAAGTTTTTTTTATAAGCCTCCAGAAATGAGAAAGATGCCTGTCTCCATTCTGTTTCAATCGCTTAACTATCAAAGTGCATCATTTTTGCAAGAAATTGAAAGACAACAATAAAAAAAAAACATTGCTTGTTGATCCCAAGTTGTTTTTGCGAGTCACAGCTCCAAATTAACGTAGTCTCTGAACCTTCCCTCCCTATTCCTACCTCCAGCTGAAATTCGCCCTGGTCTCCAAACTCCTGGACAGTAAGCGGAACGCGCCGGGCGACGGCAAAGTCAAGTCGCCACGGACCCCTCAAGGAAACGAGCACACCGTCAGATACGTTAAACCGCACAACATCGAGATCCGGGTAGACAGACCGCCCGAAGACAAAACAGACCCCGCTGTCGACCCTTGGGAGAAGGACACAAACAGAGCAGAAGGCCAGGAATCCGTCGGTAGCAGCGCAGATACAAAGGAGATCATCATGGATTTTGTTCAGGGGCCCGAAACCAGTCTCTAATACTTCCAGCAACTCGCATTTCCCTCACAATGGCCCTAACCCTCCCAGATCCTTCCAAATCCAGGGTTGGAGGATTTGGCAGGATCTAGGAATGCATTCCAGCCACTGAACTTGACTTAAAACTTGGTATGTACAACGAGAATACCATTGGGTTCATGCACTTTCAAAGATTCAGGGACGTTCCAATCACAATGACCCTAACCCTCCCAGATCCTTCCAAATCCAGGGTTGGAGGATTTGGCAGGATTTAGGAAGGCACATTCCAGTCAGTGTTACTTGACTTGAAACTTGGTATGTACAACGAATATTCCACTGAGTTCCTGCACTTTCAAAGATTCAGGGACGTTCCAATCACAATGACCCTAACCCTCCCAGATCCTTCCAAATCCAGGGTGTGAGGATTTGGCAGGATTTAGGAAGGTGCATTCCAGCCAGTGTTACTTGACTTAAAACTTGGTATGTACAACGAATATTCCATTGAGTTCCTGCACTTTCAGAGATTCAGGGATGTTCCAATCACAGTGACCCTAACCCTCCCAGATCCTTCCAAATCCAGGGTGGGAGGATTTGGCAGGATTAAGGAAGGAACATTCCAGCCAGTGTTACTTGACTTAAAACTTGGTATGTACAACGAATATTCCATTGAGTTCCTGCACTTTCAAAGATTCATAGAAAACAAATTCAAGAAAAAAATTACATAGGGGCTCGGTGTACCTTAAGAAAAGTAAACAAGCAGGATCAATAGTCTGGCCCCCTTTGATGCTAAGAGGGACCTCATATTCTTTTTACATCACAGTAGGTAACTAGACACACAAGGCTGCTGTTTGAGTTTATTGAACAGAGTCAACCATCTTGAATTTTTGAACAGTCGGAAGGTTCATTCCAATATAGTCAGGTGCTGATATGATGGTGTGTTATTCAATCATTCCATCTTTAGGAAACTAGACTGATTGTTTTACAATAAAAGTAGATTTGTGTTTTTTATTGTTGGTACAGATCGTAAACCATTCCATCCTAGGAAACTAGAGTGAGGCTTATGTTCAAAATAGACTGGTACCTATTTGGAGATGACCAATTCTACAGTAATTCTTGCCATTCTTCTAGGGAACTATACCAAGATGGCTGCTGAATAGTGCAGCTATAAATCGTATGCATGTAGTCTTCCTGAACCGCTCCCGAAACTGTCTTAGATTATTAATATCATAAATAATCATCAAAACAACAAGTTTTTCTGTTTAATTAAATCAAGGGATGTCTTCTCAAATCTTAAAATATTTTGCTTTTAGGTGAAATATTTCAAATATCATTGAAAGCTCTTTCTTTTTATATGTTCGTGTGTGGGCTTTGATAATGAACAGTTGATAAATTTCTAGATTTATGTAGATGATTTTTTTTCTCAGACAACGCCAACGCCGTCTTTCACCTAGAGATCATAAAAAAAATTATAAAATGAATATTTTGGAATTCTTCCCAACCTGAAGAATGTTGATATAGCTATATAAATATGTAAACAGTATTTGTCGAATTGGATCGCATGGACCAAAGTTCATATAATCATCATGAACTATTCTCGTCAATCTGAATATTCAAAACAACGGGGAATTTTAACTCTCTTTTTTTTAATTGCTTGCCAAGAATATTTTCTCTTCAGTATGACTAGCCTAAAAAAGTAGAAGGGGTCAGCTTAAACTTACAAAGTTTTAATTTTGCTGTACCGATTGGGTGCTGTAATGTTCAAAAAAAAAATTTCCGAAGTCAACTATTTTTCTTTTTCCTGATGGGCTAAATTAGCATGATTAAGTCAGTCCAAGGCAAGGGTTTTAGGAAACCATTCCAGTTAATTTTTTTTTCAAATTTTATTTAAAGATATAGTCATTTATTGAACCAAACCGTATGAAAACCGGCACTGCATGCATACAAATCAATATTGAGTGACTAACAAGCTAGTCTTTCCTCAAGTACACTTTACAGGGTGAGTCAAAAAGTAAGTTATTGAATTTGAAAAAGAATATTTCAAAAACATTTTGCTTGCTCCATTTCATAAAAAACAGGGATAAAGTGCATCTTATTGACTTGTAACTGTGAACATTTCACGTAATTTGCGTACTCTATCCCCAATTTATGTCTATTTCAATAAAAAGATCACAAAACTCGGCTGTCCACCACTGATCATTCACCGTTCTACAAACTTGAGTGCAATGAAAAATGGACATTGCAAAGGAAAACATACAAAAATCCCTATCAATATTTCAGAAAAAAAGTTGACTTGTTCCTCATACTCAAAACACAAAATCTGACAGTGAGAATAATGTTTCAGACTTGACTTATTAAAATCTCAATTGTATTTGAATGCTTGTGTGTAATCTGTAATTCTCACTCAGCTCAATAGCTTCCAATGGCATTCCATGGACGGCTACAAAAATGGGTTCTTTTAGTAAAACATGCCTAACTTCTGATGACATGGATCCATTTCAGTAGTTCTTTTTTTTTCAGAGTGTGGACGAACATGCTCTTTTAAGACATACTTCATTAAAAAGAAATCTTCAAAACTTTCTTTTTGACTCGCCCTGTTTATGCATTTGTTCCCTTTCCAGTCTCATAATAAACCTTTACAACTTGAATATTATTAAAGAAACTCTTTCTCAAATATAACTTTGAAATAGCCCTATTTACTCCAATCTGAAAACATGCACATGTAAGTGTATTTCACTGCTATATCTCAATGGAAATATAATGCACAATATTGTTCCAATATTAAGCCAATAGCATATTGTGATTTTATCTATACCATAGCTGGCAGCATTGTTACTAAATAAGAGAACCATTAAACACTGTTGTATATTTAGAGGTTTATAAAAGAAACTTTTGTATTATTTTGTAATTAAGAATTCAAATATCTTTAAAAAAATACTCTAGAATAGCAAGTGATACTTTTTACGATAGAAAAGATCTATTTTATACCCTATGCCGCTGTACATATAGCAAAATACCTAATATGGTGCAGAAATACAGATTTGATATTTTTTCGTATGAAATAGTTTGGTTGGGAAATGGTGACTGTATAGTGGATGTCCAGTTCTCTGATATTTTACTTATATGTACTTGTATATCAGTTGTTAAAAGGTAATATACAACATTTGCTGTTGCTGTAATATTCAGAAATGGATGGATTTGGGGGTAGTATTTGATAGCAAATATTGCCACACTGGTAGACCTGTTCAACGTTTTGTGTTCATACATGCTGGAACAACCAAGAAAAAACTTCTGCTAAGTTCTTGTAGTCTGGTTCCCTGACCCTACTCCAGACGAATCAGAGCGATTTATAAATGTATGGGCAACCTCGTTCCCATGGGTACGAGATCTTGCTGCGCCATGTTGTTTCCCATCATGCCCATGCAGTCGAGGCTGATGTTTGGGGAATTGTAAGGTCAGGGAACCAGACTACTGAGCTAGCTTACACCCCTGCACGGGTGTGTAACCGATTGCAAACAAAGTGTGGACTAACTAAATTTGGTAAATTGGGGGCAGTATTTGAAGAAGAAAAAATATGTTTTTGATACAAAAATTCCACTTTAATTTCTTGAAAATGACAGCATACCAGGTGCCATGCCGGCTTTCACAGGATGCTTGGGACTATTATTCACTTACAGTCAAGTAAATAATATGGTAGTTTTGTGTTTTATGTTTGCAAATGTGTAATATTACCTTTAAAGCAACATATTTGATAATATTTGTGGTGAATTATGGTTGTCTGTGCTTAAGGGTTTTATTTTTCTTTCAAAAATTTTCTATAATTCTGCTTTGCCATTTTTGGATTACCTTTTATATCCCTTGAAATGTTCCGAAATATTCCGCTCACCAAGAATAAAATGATTTGTATCATTTCTGATTTTTGGTATAAGTTTAAAAAAAACCCGACAAATACACACATTCCACGCGCAGGTGCATTGGGCCGACATCTTCCGAAATATTGGACATGTACTTATTTTTGCATGAAGGGCCCGGGCGTTTGTTGGTGGATAAGAATTCCTCCATAATTTCAACAACAAAATGTTTTTCTTGTGTTATAAAATACAGTGTTTAGTTTCTTATAAATACACCTTGATTTGGTATTAAGTTTATTTTCCATCTGACTAGAATATGGTGCTTCAGATTGTTTTTGCGGCTCTATCTTTCCGTGGCTCAAGTAACAAATGTTGGTTCTCGAATTGGTATTAACCCCAACTCCCTGTACCGTCTTTTACTTAGTACTGGACCAAGTCCGCCGAAATCCATCAATCACACTGCTTCCAATGCATGTTTCGCTAGGCCAGGCCCAACTTCCTTCATACTCCATCATTATTTAGTCAAACCAGGCCTGCAGGACCAAGTCCCCCAAAATCCACTACAAGGGGAGGGGGGGGGGGGAGTGCATTTTGATGGAGTTCGGGAGGTAAGGGTTAAACCGTCGATACCATTCTTTAGAAACGTACCTGTGTAAGTGATGTATACGCATGTTCTTTATAATAGTTTTAAAATAGAAGTTGTAAAAAAAAACGTTCACCGCTTTAACTATACAGCAGCTATTCAAACTATAGTAGAACAACTCCCTTTACCTGTTAATTATAAGTTAAGACTTAACAGTGTGAAACGTCATCCTAAAATGAAATGAATGCAATGGTTTTAATTATTAATATGCAATGATGAATGGATTAAAACTGTGACACCCATGGCTTCCGAGAAAAAAATTGTCCTTCTTTAGTGAATGTTACATCGTAATGCCCGCCCCCGCTTGTATTTTTTTAAAAAGTATATCGTTAAGACATTAAGACTTTCCACTTTTATACTCCTCAAAGCAATATGTCTTAAGGTTATGGAGAAATACCTCCTTAATCATTCATAGTGTCCACCCCCTCCGAAAACCATTTCCTGATCCGACTCTCCCAGCCTGTCAATGCCATTTTCAGCCAAATGGCTCACAGGTGAGGTTTTTAATAACCTGCTTCATATTTACTCATATTCCTTCAATCGGCACAAACACATTGTTTGCAAATAACACAGAGCAATGAAGGCTAGTATCACCATAATTTGTTTTTAAGTGTGCTGCTGTATTAACTTTAGTTGCCTATAGCTTCTTGTGCTGGACTGATAATTCTACCTCCATGTTCAGTCAAACCAAACGATCGATCTCCAGAAAGAAGTCCAAACCCCGTCATATGTCCCCCGCCACTGGTGATTAATTTTGTCAAGTTTTGCCTTTTTCTGAGAGAGAAGTGTTTTATGCAAAAAAGATCCCCCCTACCCCAACCAGCGGCTCGGCTATAGCTCACCGCCTGTTTCACATTTGCTGTTCTGAGCTTGGGGGCCCACGCAGTTATACCATAGAGATAACAATTTTAACACCCCCAACCGTCCCAACCCCTCCATGTTGTTGGGTGAAGTTGCGCGCTTTCAGACTGTGTTTGTACTTGTAGCTGAGCACGTGGACTTGAACAGAAATAAAATGTTTTAAGGGAAATAAGTTTTAAGGGACTAAATGAAATCGTTAAGTTCGTACCCCCCGCCCCAAAAAAACACGTTGCCAGTACAGTGCAAAAACACGACGATACCGCCAATTTTGGTAAAATTTTTAACTGACCAAAGTAGCGACCTTGACATTTGGCTATCACTTCCTCAAATTCCTTTTATTTTCTCGAATGAAGTCTATTGGCAAAAAAAATGTTTTCCCTTTCATCGATATCATTTTCAGATCTAAAGTAAGACACAAGTGGAGGAAAAACATTTATTTTAAATATTCCGTATAAACAATTGGTATGTCCCCCATCCCCTTTTAAATACCCCGCCAAACACTTGTAGTTCATCAAAGGACAAATTTACCGCGAATTTGCATGAACGTAATAGAAGGGCGCCAGTGTTTATCAACATCTAGCCAGGCATAATCTATTCACCATGCCCCTTGTTTGTTTTCTGAGAAAAAGAATAAACAAATTGCGTTGACCATTTTAAAATGGAAAGTTTACCAGGAAGTCCATTTTCCTGTGGGGATGACGTCATTGAAACGTAACCCGACTACTCGAGCCCCTGTGCGTATTCGAATGGATTGGAGACTGGGTGTCCGACACTTGGTCACGTGACTCATTTCGCGCACGGGCGATATGTTGCAAACATGGCGAAACATGCGCTTATTTCGCATTGACAGCTGCGCAACGAAGTGAATGAATGTCAACTTTACAGCGTCTAAAACTTCTTTTAAAAAATGTCACTCGACAAGGCGAAGGCTTGTGACATCTTGGGTGTTCCCAGAGGTATGTGACACGTTGAGAATTTGTGGTTTTGTCGTTGTTTTTTGGTGGTCAAAACTCGACATGCTCGACATGCCCGACCACGCATGTCATTTTTCATCATGTGTGACAATGACAATGTACGCTCTTGATCTTGATTGATTTCATTTTGTAACTTTTCACAATTGCAAGTCGCAGTATGTGCAAAATATAATTAGAAATGCAGTTGCATTACTAATCATGGAGGAAGGTAAGGTATTCCTTGGACCAACATGACCAATAAAGGGAGATATTTGTCATTTTGTGAATGTGGGGCCTTTTCCAAATCTTGTTCTTTTAAGTTTTATTTGGTGTTTGTGTTATTTTTCATTTGACGATATGTCTCTGCGTGGGGAATTTCATTGATGAGAAACTATGAACACTAACAGGCCCTAATTTGTTTGCTTTAATCTGATCAATATTATTGGTATATGCGCCATCTTGCTTACGCGGCAAAATTTACATGTGTTGCTGTCATGGCTGTGTATACGCAATATTTATCCCCATAAATCCTGTAAATGTGGCTAAAAATCAAATACTTGACTTCCTCCGTATTGTGAGCCACACACTAGGGATAGCTCTGGGCACAATTGCAGAATACCCCGCCACTCGATCTATCCACCTCGTAGCCGGCTACGAGGTCACGGCTGATTGACCTCAATAAACATTCTCAGCGCTACTTGTATGTACTATGCGTCATGCTCCATTGCACTCCTACTTTGTGACCGCGTAGCCGCCAACAGGGTGGTTGGTTTGGACTTAGAATTTTTTCAGCAACTCCCATTCCTTTTGTGTTGCTTCGTTCTCAAGCATATTCAAGGGGACTCCCACTCCGTAGCCTCGTAGCCGCCAACAGGGTGGTTGGTTTGGACTTAGAATTTTTTCAGCAACTCCCATTCCTTTTGTGTTGCTTCGTTCTCAAGCATATTCAAGGGGACTCCCACTCCGTAGCCTCGTAGCCGCCAACAGGGTGGTTGGTTTGGACTTAGACTTTTTTTTCAGCAACTCCCATTCATTTTGTGTTGCTTCGTTCTCAAATAATGGACCCCCACTCAGTATCCGCGTAGGTGGCAATGGACTTGAATTGTTTCTTTTGCAGTGATTCCAACCTCGTAGCCAGTGATTTTAGGGGTGTATTTCCGAGTGGCGGGGTATTCTGCAATTACTCCTAGCTCTGTGTCGGGAAAAGTTTTGTTTCAGGAAATCAAAATCACTGTTTTTTTCCATTTGATATCCACTATGGAACTAGTCCGAGTAACTTGGACCCAACTTATCGCCTTTTTAACATTCGGGCATGGTCTGGCGATAGTACAGTCCAAGCTAATCCTTATGTCAAGCAACACAATTCTGTCATTGACCAGCCTTTGTTAAAAGTATAGCAGGGGAGGTGGGAGTGAATTTTGACTGTCCATGACTGCTTTACAAACGAACATCTCGAAACTGCCAAAAAAATTTGAACTCAGTTTTATTTTACATTCATGCATCATCGGTTAAAATGCTTGCCAACTCAGTAACTGGTGTTAGTTCCAGTATGCCGTTTAGGTGGGGTATTGTTTTGCCATCATTGTTTACTCACTGATTGTTTACATTTGTTTATTTACTGATGTGTTGACAGGTGCCAGTGAGGCTGACATCCGAGCAGCCTACAAACGTCTGGCGCTGAAATGGCACCCGGATAAACATGCCAACGATGACATCGCCACCGAGGTGAGTAAACGCAATCACAGATCTTCCTGTCCAGTTCCACAAGGTGACCAATAACAGCAGTGCAGTATTGTGTGTGGCCATATCAAATGGAGTAGTTGTTTATCATCCCTGCTCACATTCACCTTTGTCCAATTTTAAGCAGTGGGATTTGATTTTTTTTTTCAATAAACAGAAATGTTATCTTGGCATGTGTTAATCCAGTCAAGACAGTTGAATACCAAGCTGGTTCTCAGTTTTAAAAAGGCAAGAATTAGCTTTTCGCTGTTAACACATAGAGTACCACCCCCCCCCCCTCAAAAAAAATGCCCCCGCAAGTGCCCCCCTCACTACAAGTTCGCTCCCAGCTCCCGCATTGCTTATTAGACATATGTACAGTCCGAAATTTGTCAGCGCTACATCTGTGTTTGATAGGACATTCTCACCCCAATGCATGTTGATGTCGAATATTAATAGATGAATTATGGATTTTGTTTTCCATGTAATTGTAAAACAAATACCGTAAAACAATTGCAAATATAATTTGTAAAGCAAATGCCAGGTGTGAATATTGTGTGAATATGATAATTAATATAATGTATTTCATAACTGGGTATTTCCCCTGCACCAAACGAAGTGTCGCATTCTTTGTGTACATGTATTATAATCAGCTGTGCAGTGTAGCTGCAGTCCAGAATGGATTCCGGTCGTGTTCCTAAATTTCTAACTCTTGGCTCTAGGAAATTATTTAATTTTTATTTTCTGGTTTGGCCTTCTTCAACAACCCCCCTCCCCCCCCCCCAAAAAAAGAAGGACATGTATGATTCTAAATTTTAAATAAGAGCAATTATTATTTATTTAATATTAATATAAAGTTATTTCACCTAAGGATAATCAATATAAGCTCTCATAAAAATAATTCTTGTTAAAAAAATTGCTTTAAAAATATTCAGTTGAACTACATGTACACCAACTGAACATGAAATTTTCTTATCTTTTGTTATTTCTCGGTCTATTTATAACTACAAATATCATTGACATGGCGATAAGAACAGTCTGGTTTTCTGTATATTTTCATAAACAACACAAGAAAGTCTCTAACCAGACATAAACAACACAAACACGTAGACATGTAAGAAGGTAAAGTAGGATACTGAGGCCAAAACTGGTCGACTTTAGAATACATATTTTGTTAAAATAAAATTGGTTGGTTTACCCATATCTCACCATGAAAGTTGACAATCAACATTTTAGTGAACTTTTAGCATTAGAACCCAAACTTCTTCAAGGCCTTTTTGCTACGATGCACCCTCAATCCTGCAAAATCCTTCAACTGCCTCCATGTCAAAATGTGGATACAGCCTCAATCCTCCAAAATCATCCGTTATTTCTTGATTTTTTTTCATTGGAGGGGTGACCACTGCCTCAATCCTGCAAAATCCTCCAACAATCACTGTTGATATGTTGAGACAGTGCTGATACCCAGAAGCAGTGCGGGTGATTTCAAGTATTTTCTAATGTAGGCCTAAATTTATGCATGGCCAAGCATAAATAACACAAGCTACAGCCTCTAGACCTTGACAAAATGTATCCTTCAAAATCGCCTGACACATTTTTGCCATACAGCCTCATTCCTTCAAAATCTTCCACTTGTGTGAAGAAGATTTTGGAGGATCTGGGAAGATAAGGGTTAGCCCTAACCCTCCTCAATCCTCCAAAATAATCCTGGTGAATTTGAAGGATTTTGGAGGATTGAGGATGAATGCTGTTTGAGAAACATGAGGATTTTGGAGGATTGAGGATGAATGGTGTTGAAGCACATGAGGATTTTGGAGGATTGAGGATGGTGTTTGAAGAAAAGGAGGATTTTAGACGATTGAGGATGAATGCATTTTGAGTGGCAGGAATGTCTGAAATTTTGAAGGATTGAGGTGCTGGGTATCCTTCATTTGAACATAAACTTGTGCAAAAGTTTTGAGGATTTTGGAGGATTCGTGGCAAAGAAGGGCCTAGGGGCCATTGTTTTACTTCAAACAAACACAATAAATAGTTGATGGTTTTTATCATACAACTGAAGTAAAGAGCCTGTTACATGTGTAACATAGATACCAGTTTAAATTTTGTTTTGTATAAAATATTTCCACTTGAACATGTTGGAAAAAAAACACAAAAAACACAAAATTCTTCTCATGCAGGAAATGATATGAAGCATGAAGTATATTTTTTTCAGAAGAAATCAACAAATACATACACACTGCACAGCACGATACCATGATAAAAAAATATAAGACAGCTGACACTGTTTGTGATAGCCAATAAAATCAATTCCATATTGGCCTTTTTCTCCCATTGGGATCCCATTACACATGTATGTAATATAAACTGAGTACTGCTTTGTATCCGTGTTGTGATATCCTTTTTAAAACTAAATGCAGGAACAAATAACTTTAAAGCAGTGTCCTTTCAAACATTAACCATATTTTCCGGAAGCCTGGTAGTTCTGATTGCAGTGATAATATTCATACCAAGTAAAAATTGTTGACAATACATTTTTTGTGTGAAAATAAATAGGACTGCTGCAAACTGCTCACTGACAGGATTGACCTAAAATGTACAAGTCTGAAAAATTAATGCGGCCTGATGTTACGAACTTGACAAGGCCCTCTTCAGAGGCAATATTTGTTTGTGTACAAATTGTGATGTGAACGTTCCAATTGTTTTATCTCGGCAGAAATTCCAAGAGATCTCTGCGGCATACAAATGTCTGACGGCAGAAGACAAAACCGAATATGTTCTCACTATGGTAAGTTCCAGATAATATGAGGTCAGTGTTCCAGCTGTGTAAACCAATCCCTGTCGATTGTGGTGTAATTACGTACATGTTAAGAGCTCGCCCACTCCCTAAAATGTATTAATCACGAAAAAAAAAGCACACTCAGCAAAGATATAGGTTACCAGCTAAAGTGCTGTGCAACAAATATTACTTATCACTGGTTCACAGCTATTGTTTGCAGTATACCTTCCATATTGCTTGGCAACAGTTTCTGGTTTTGGGAAAAAAGAAAAACATCTGTACTTAGGAAATATCACATGTCATCTGATGGTTATAGTTGTAGTACATGCAGCTTACATATGGGCCTTACATTGTAAGCATGAGTCAGCCATATTGAATTGAAAGTGGGGTCAAATCTTAATTTTTGGAACTTGCAAAGAGAAATGCAAGCAAGTTGATTACTTATTTGTTCCAGTCTGCTTCAGTGAATGATTTATAATTTGTAATTAAACATTCCCTAATGTTTAAAGCCAGATTAAAAATTAAAAAAAGACAGTAAAATAAGGCTGCATTATGCCTGCATAAACAGTCTGTCGCCATCCCATTCAACAGTTAACAATTAATGAAAAACATTCAGGGACTGAATAAGATTTGATTTTGTATTTAGTATTTGGTCCTTCCGCTGTGTTGTACATATATGTTCATGTTATTCATTTTCTGTGGTTGTTAATCTTTGTTTATCATTATTTATGTACTATGATTTTTTTTCTGATTGTGTGTCTTGGGTTGTATTTGGGCCCAATCTCAGCCCTAACTCCCTAGGGGTGTGCAAAATCATATTAAAATTGGAGGATTCATGTTAAGGATATCCTTAACAGTCCTGAATCCTCCAATTTTAATATGATTTTCCACACCCCTAGGGAGTTAGTGTGTTTGGGTTTATCCGTAAAAAAAAACAAAAAAAATGAAATCAAGGACTGTTCATTTTCAAATAATTTAGTAGTCGATTACTCGAAACTGAGTTTGACCGAATATTCGGATTTTCGAAACTGCCAGCTGCAACTTGGGTGATGCGCCTGTAAAATGTTACATGAAGAGCGTGCCGGTTAAAATTTACATGCAGAAATCAATATGGGGAGCATGAGTATGTTGCAGGAAGTACATGTATTTTTAAACTGTAAAACGGATGTAACCTAAAAGGATGTGAACCCTGAACCTCCGTCGACAACAAAAGTGGCACCTGACAATAAACATCCCAAGTTTACCACAAAATAATATCGCAATCATGTGTGTACGTACTCAATATTTCTCTTTTCGAATATTCAAACTGGCAGAAAGCTATTACAATATGCGGTTAATCGAATATTTCAAGGACAGCCCTATTATGGTGATAGTAAATACATATAGCTTACATAGTGCTTTGTCCTAAAGCCAGCCATTGGAGCTGTGAAATTATGTGTGGGAATCATGTTTGGGGGAATTCCCCTCAGGAAGTGATCGGAATTTTTCCGTTGACGATGGTTTGTTTTGAATTTCATGCTGGTTCCTTTGTTGCATTCCACAGGAGGACATGTTCGAGTTGTTTGCTCAGATCTTCTTTGGTTCCAGAGGTAGGATAAATTCTACTTTCTTAAAAACCAATAATGTACAAGTACGGTACAGCCATAAAATTTCCCAGTTAGTACAAATGGACAAATGGGATTGCTGTATGCAATTATAATGTTTAGAATTTGGCCCCATTTATTTGGAGCGTCCACCTTAACGTTGTTAAATCATTAAGTGCGAACATCACCGAGGGAAAACAAAGGACTACATGTACAAGACTTAATTCATGACAAGGCACTGTGTTTATTTACTGTTGTTGAGCAAAGAAGCCACTGAAGTCAACTACAAAAAGGTTCCTTACAAAAAAAATGTGTGTTTGTGATTTAAAACTAGCTTAATCGGAAAAGTCTCGGAAGCAGCGGCTAACGGATTTGTGTTCATGCATAAGTCACGTGATTGTGCCATGTAATTTCTGGAAGGAGTAGTGTTTTGAGTAAAAAAAAAAAAATCAGCTTTTTGACCCCAGTGACCTCACGATGACCTTTGACCCCAGTTTTGTCATGTGACATGCTTGGTCTGGGCTACTGATACTTTTGACCAAGTTTGGTTGAAATCGGTCCAAATATGTAGGAGCAATAAACAAAACGTTTGTTACTTACTAACTAACTAACTAACAATGAGACTTAATGTTTTGTTGAGCTGCTATTCCACAGCTAAAAAAACTTACCAATCTGTAACAGGACAGAAGTGCATCTTACATTTTTTTATTTACAAAATGCCTTTCTTTCCCCCAGCTTCCTATAACGGTTACATCGACACCAGTGATGACGATTATGACGATGACAGTGACGAGGATTTCTGGGAATCGGTGGAGTCCAAACGAAGAACCTTTCACAGAAAAACAACAGGTGAAATATTGGTATTCGCTGTGAGACCACAACCAGCAAATGTTCAATGGCTTAAGACTTTCTGATTGTTTTTCAGCAGCAGAGTGTGATGAAATTTAAGCTGTTAGCTGTAGAGTCTTAAATTTCACAGCCAAAGTAAAATGTAATTCCCAAGCAAAGTTTGACTGAGCACATCCGTTCTTTGTTCTACCCTTAGACAAACTTTGACCTTTAATTAAACAAGATTTTAAACAGAATCCCTTGGCATTCAAATCAGGTATCAGCTTAAAATGTTAAACATCCCCACGGTAACAACTTTGCTGTAACCCCTTTTTCTTGTACATGTATTTGTTCTCAGAATATTCCTACACAGCAAACAGACCAACTGAGAGTGTGAGTACAAAAAAAATTGACAATTCCTTAAAAGAAAATTTCCTTCTAATTATTCAGTTCAGTTCAGTCCGATATCAAGAGAATCCTTATTCTTTAAATTGTATGTTTCATCTCTTTCATGACATGAATTTTGTTCAGCGGCTTTTGAACTTGAGATGTACACATTTCATTTAAGAAAAGGGAAAACATTATGAAGAGCAGTTATGTTTTTTTTTTTAAAGCTGTCCAAATCTGGTCATTGAGTCATAGTGATAACAACTGCGCCTGTCTTTTTTTAAAGCCAACTTTTTAAAAATTTGGTCAATGAAAATCTTGAAACTGTACAAAGTTGATGAAAACACACTTCATTTTTATCTTGCATCAGGAGGCGAGCAAGAATGCCGAGGAGTTGATGCAAGAGGAGGAGCGGCAGAAGAAATCTCGGGAGAAGCGGAAATCCAAGAAGAAGCGGCAGCGGGAGAAAAAGCGCGAGGAGAAAGTCAAGCAGGAAGAGGAGGAGGCCAAGAAGGCGGAGGAGAAACGACGGAAGGCGGAGTTTTTACAAAAAGCCAAAGAGTCGGCTGAGAAGGCCAGACGAGAAGCAGAGAAAAAGCAGCAGATGTCCCAGTCTACCAACTCGCAGATTCCTCACCAGGTACTTTGGGGCTGAATCTATCAAATTCTTCCAGATTCATTGAAAACCAATCAAAATCCATCCCAGTCTACCAACTCCCAGATTTCTCCCCAGGCACATTGTAGTTTTATATATTTGGGACTGAATCTGTGAAATTCTTCTTCCAGATTCATTGAAAACCAATCAAAATTTATTCCAGTTGACCAACTCGCAGATTCCTCGCCAGGTACATTGTAATTTTATGTTTTTGGGAATGAATCTATCAAATTCTTCCAGATTCATTGAAAACCAATCAAATTCCATCCCAGTCTATCAACTCACAGAAATCGATCAAAGTGTTCCATTTTAACTCTATTCCAGTCTACCAACTCCAATCTACACCAGATTGCTTTTCTATATCTGACCTGAAGACCATTGTATAATTTAAAATTATTCAAATTTTTTCTAGATTGATATAATCTGTCGGAATCCATTAAAAACCACTCAAAACAATTATCTGTGACAAATTATATCAAATTCTTCCAGATTCTTAGAAGTGATCAGAATCTTTTTGTCCAGTTACTGTTAAAGTTATGTACAGCTACGGTATATTTGTAATACTTTTATTTTGTCTGACACATACAAATTATGACACAATCACAATCAATTCCATCAAAGTCCGCCAAAAATCGTTGAAGTTTAAACTGCAATATTCTATGCTAATCTTAAAAAAGTATTTTGTCTCTGTTTCGTTCATGTTTGTCCACGCAGGGTACAACAAAGTCCACGTCTACCAGTAAAGTTAACCACGACACTATTTCCAACAATTTCAATTCTACAAAAAGTAGAACCAGAGCTCCCAATGATGTCAAAGTCAAAACTGGGACGACGGGCAGTAGGTAAGTGGATCAAAAGATGTTTTTTGTGTTTTTCACCCCGAAAAATAGATTTTATTTATAAAATTGCTACTTTTTTTTTCTAGCAAAAGAAAAGTGGTTCATTTTTGAATGAGACATCGGCCAAAGAAATCGGCCCATATTTGGTTTTGGAATAAATACTTGACAAATTCCAAATTATTACAACCCGACAAATAATCAGTTCTCGACTGGGTCCCAACCTACTTTCATAATTGATAATGTAGGAACCGGGAACCAGTCTACTCGCTGGTTAGAGCTGTCTGTGCGCAAAAGCAACCCAAAATAAAACGTATTTAAAAAAAAATATTTTTAAGTCTCTTTTTTTTATAAAACAAAACACTCATTGGTCAAAAATAAAAATTCATTCGGTGGGGCGAAAAAAAAAAATCAAAATTGATGACGAACACAGTAGGACTGTGCATCAGAACCGAGCACCGGACCGTTGATGTCAAAAACCGGTTCCAGTAACCAACTTTACAAGTTAATTAGTAACTTCTAAGACAATGAAATGATAGGTTATGAATGTCATTTGTGGGGAATTTTCAAAATGAAAACCAGGCTACATGGGAAAACAAAACATATTCCACGTTTATGACTCTCAGGAAAGCTGCAGTTTACACCATACTGCTATAGAGCTCACTGTACACACTTTAATCTTGCTTCATTGACGCACCGATGTAGTAGTATTGTCGTGCCGACCTTTATGAACAATCTGAACAGGGGCATCCGGGATTTGAAGTTTAGGGTTGGGTTTCTTTAACGGGTACCCAGGTACCCGTGTTTGTTTCAAACGGGTATCCGGTTCCCGTACTACTCGTGAATGCACACCCCTATAATACGGACATTTTATTTTGAATCATTGACAGGGTGCGAGTACCCTCGGACTCCGTTGCAGATGACGACATCTTAGGGTGGGACCAACACAGCGCTTTCTTCGCTGGGGCGGCGGCCACCGTCAAGAGGTCAACGACCTCGGCCCCCACGGCTGCCAAGCCCGAGAAGAACAAGAAGAAGGGCGGGGCTAAGGGCCAGAATGAGGAGGCGGAATCGGTGAGTGGAGTCATTGCAGTGAGTGAAATTGCAGGCAGAAAAAAAAAATTCAAATCATAATTAATAAATAAATATATTCAAAAATATTTTTGATATTTTTCTTTAATTCAAATCCTGTCATTGTCTGTTTGCAGATCGACAACATGGATCCTATTGTTTTACAAAGCAGACAAACTGCAGGTAAGCTCGCTGAATTTCAAAAAAAAAATATATCCTGGGAAGTTGGACTAATTATGAATTGTCTTGATCTTGTCAAAACGCAATCGCTGATCTTTTATGATTTCTGGAGGACAAATTTGAAGAGATCATTTCCAAAACGTGATATATCCATTTGAAAAAGGTGAATAATTGACAAGGTAATGAGCTTCAAAGAATTAAACAGTATATCGTCTGTTTCTATCCTCCATTTTTTTGCTATAGACGTATTCATTGTGTTTAATTTACGTCAAGGTCAAACTGCTGGCCCTCTATCAGAAATTAATTGTCCTGCATCCAACAAAGTCCAACAAATTTTACGACTATCAAATTCTGAATAGTCGACTTGTCGTTATGCCATGACTTGTCATTTGGCTATGCCGCGACTAGCGGTTGCACCGCAAGTACCGATCTTTGCCCCTCAACTTAACAATAGTAGTCGACCGTGTGGCACTGTAAGTCCGAAGTGACTACAGGGTCCATGAATAGTGCTTGCGTAATGCAACACAGGCTGACACTGTGACTGCCCCACCACACTGGCTGCCCTGTTGCACATGTAATAATGGTACACGTGTAGCAAGCGATGTGGTGAGACACACAAAGACGTAGGCCTACCTGTACAGAAGCAGTCTTCAAATTTCTAAAGAAAAAAACGACAAATCCTCGAGAAATTGAGAGAAAATGACCAGAATGTTTGTACCCCTTACATTTTCAGCGGACCGCTTTCGCTTCTTACCGCCAGGCCCATTTATACGCATGGGCACATAAATTTGAATTTATTAGTAAAAAGGTCCATTGACCAGAGTTATTACATGTGCACTGGATAATTAAATAATGTGTTACTAGTCGACTTGTCACGACTTTTTATGGCAACTAGTCGCGACTATTAAAATTCACTAGTTGCCCAGGCCTAGGATGTACTGGAGGCCATCACAATTCCCTGCAAGTCCATCACAAGTCCTCCAGTCCCAGTTCAAATCACAAGCTATTCAAATGAGCTTTGGCCAAGGCATTCCCTTCTTGTTGGTTATCAACTGTTTCTTGTGACTGGACTTGTGACTGGACTTGTGACTGGACTTGTGATAGGACTTGTGATAGGACTTGTGACTGGACTTGTGATGAACTGAACTACATCCCTGCAGATTGTATTCAAAATCCAACTCTGGAGAAATTTAAAAACTAACAGAATTCATATCTTTTTGTTTTTCCACAGTTAAAGGGAATGAAATGGCTAATTTGGGACACTACAGTGCAGCTATAGAGCTATTTACTCAAGCGATTGAATTGGATCCAAGGGATTTTAGGTAAGAAGTTCACCGACTCAAGCATCTTACATAAGAAAAGTGTCCAATGATGGTTTACTAAATATCTTTTGGTAGAATGCTGTGTTGGTTTGTTGATTGCTAGATTTTAATGTTTCTTTCTTTCTCGGCAGATTTTTTGGTAACCGTTCTTTTTGCTATGACCGACTAGAACAGTATGAAAGGTAAGATCAACAGAATTTCAAATCAATTATTTTGCACCAAAATAATGATATCAAGTGAACTTGATTTTTTTTTATTAATGAAAAGGTTTTTTTTTCAGACATGAAAAGTCATGTTTATCATAAATTATTTTTTTTTACGTGAGACATGATAGCACTATTTTAATGATGTAGAGCGCCATGTATCTAGATAAAATGGCGCTATGAAAATCCTGTTTAACCCTCCTATGCAAACATGCATTCTTTTCCAAGTTGTCCTTTCAGTCAAAATCAATCAAGTGACTGTTTTCTTAACTGTTAAGAGCTCCCGGCCTACATTAAGCAGGATTGACTGGCTGTATTGTTTCTGTAACTTGATACAGCTATGCTTTGACTGTAGGTGATTGATAAGCCAGTGTGCCACCAGGTTCCTGCTTTTGTCTGTTGACTGAATTTGACTAGTCAGAGTGCTTGCCAGAAATATGATCTGACCATTGGTGACTGGCCTGTGTAAAAAGCATGGCAGGGGAAGAGGATGGAATTTTTGACTGTCTGTGACTGTTAAAACAGTAGGAGGGTTAATAATATTGTAAAATGTGTAGATTTTGTCATGAATAGGTTTTTTTAATGTTTTCTTTACAGTGCTATAAAAGATGCAAATCGAGCTATTACTTTAGCCAAGGATTGGCCAAAGGGATATTTTAGAAAAGGTCGTGCATTGGCTGGCCTTAAGGTAAGCAAGTGAGTTAAATTATAATTTAAAAAAAAAAGTTTGGGGAAACTTTATACGAAAAACCTGAAAGATTCTAGATGAAGCCGTAAAAGTGGAAGACGAGGTATAATATTTCGTCAACCATTCCAGTGATAATAAGCAAAAGGAATTTAGTTCTATACTTCCTTCCCCCCCCCCCCCCCCTTTTCAAGATTTTGAAAGGAGACCGTGGTTGGAATGGAATATGAAGTGTCTATGTTTGTAATTTCTTTCTGATTTTTTTTTTGTATAAAAAGAAAAAATTTGCAATTTTTTTTTTTTTTTTTAGCGTTTCGGTGAAGCTGAAACTGCATTTGAGCACGTCCTAAAATTGGATAAAAATTGTGAGGACGCAGTGGAGGAGTTGCACAAGGTCCGAGTCTATCGACTTATGGTAAGATTCTTCTTATTGATGTCTTTTTTATCAATGTCTTAATCACAAGTGCAAGGCCTGTTCTCAGTTGCAAAACCACGATGTTAATGATAGAACCATAACATATCGACACCTATGGCTTGGGCAACGCTGTCATTTCTGTTTCTGTCCAAGAGTCATAGTTCTGGTTAAATTATCCTCAAATTTGATCAGCCCCCAAAAAGGGGAAAACATAATTAGGCAATGAACTGTGGTAGTGATTAGGATGGCCCTCTGAAACATGTACGACCTAGTAGAATTCATTCCCGAGTCCCTGTTTTTCACTGATTAAACTGATCAACTTTCTCTATGACTCGACATGCTGTTCAAAAGCTCTACTCTTTAAAATGTGGTGTTCTTTTCCCCTTGCCTGACTTGTTGAACTTGTCGTTAGAATACCTTTAGCATTAAGAGTGACTTAATCTTAACCGAACTCAACCCATCAAAGTTCAACAGCAGGTTTTGTTTAAATCTGTTGGGATAGGTACAGTTCCCCTAAACTGATGGTCTTTTACACTGGGGTTGGCATATCTCCAGAAACTAAGTCCAACAGTCTGTGTGTACAATTTCCCATGTGGGTGTTGGAATTTGCCAGAATGGGTATGGTTCCTAGTAAATTAGGCTGGGGATTTAGGGTTAAGGCACTCTTTGGGAACTAGAATTGTTTTTTTTACCCCTTAGCCGAGAGGCTCGAGGGGTATTGTATGGGGATGTAAGTCCTCATGCAATAGCCTGATTTTTTGGCCTTTTTTTTTGCAATTGTAAATAACATATTGGCACCATACATTGTATATATGCTTTTCCTTTATACCTCAAAACTCAGGCAAAATTGTCAGATGCCACGTACATCCTTTTTTTTGGTATTAACCCTAACTCCCCAGCCAAATTTACTAGGAACCATACCCATTCTGGCAAATTCCAACACCCACATTGTACACACACACTGTTGGACTTAGTTTCTGGAGGTATGCCAACCCCAGTGTAAAAGACCATCAGTTTAGGGGTACTGTATCTATCCCAACAGATTTAAACAAAACCTGCTGTAGAACTTTGATGGGTGGAGTTCAATTAGGGTTAAAGAGTTGATTCCTCAAATTCTTCACAAATTCCTCACAATTTTCTGAGGTGGGAATCAATTCTGGTGCAGAGCCTAGTTAGTGACTTTTGTTGCAATCTGATCTGGCCTACAGGAGATGGGCTTCAATCGGCCCCAGAGCGACGCCGCCATCCGTCAATACGGCTCGGTCCAGGCCGCCCTCGACGCCCTGCTCACCAACGGCGTAGAGGGCGTCATCAACTCCTTCCCTGACGATGTGTACATCTCGGACGAGGAGGATTACATTACAGAAACCATTGAACGCAGTAAACTCGAGTAAGTCAAGAGTTTGGGATTTTTACCTGATTTTTTTTTTTTTTTCAGTCTCTGTCTCAACATGGTGTTTAAACTGAAATCTTGAAAACTTAATCCTTTGAAAAAGAAGTTTGTGACTATTTCTTTGTTTACTTGCTGTGGTCTGATGCTGTGAGTTTGTAGATTTTGGCTGTGAAATTTTCTTTATTTGGAACTCACTCTGTATTAACATTTGTGTGAAGTATAAACTCGCTAATAATGTAAAACTTTGAAGTTTTATGTTAAAGGCGTGATTTTTTTAAGCCTCTCGAGAATTGATATGCTTGTTAAAAAACAACTGACCTTATTTCAGTATTCTGCACTTTCATTCACAAATATTGGACATGTTTTGTTTTATTGAGGATTTACCCCTTTTTCCCATAGTTCTTGCAATCCATTGAATCTACGCTCCCTATGGGTCGGCAATCTCCATTCTACCATATCCGAGAAACAACTGAGAGATCTTTTTGGGCCGTAAGTGATTTTGTTTTTGAAAAGTATTCATTCTATTATACAAATTAAAATCATTAATTATCCCCCAAATTCAATCCCTGATTACTGTCTGTTTCTAGAAGGATTGATTCCGAGAATTTGATTTGTAGTTATGTCATAGACAATCAGCTGTCTGTTAGTTCATTTAAGCCTTCTTGACTGAATCGGACGAAATCCTGCCGTACGTACTTGGTGCGTTTTCAAGAAGTTAGTCCTACTGAAGAGAGTGCACCCATTGATCTCCCAGAAATTTGCTACCACAGGTTAATTGGACTTTTGGAATTTCGCCTTGAGAAATGTAGTTTTTGTATTCTGTTTCACCATTGACCGATATCATTTTGGTTAACATATTACCACATATGCTTGAACTAGAACTTCTTAACCAAAAATGCCCAGTGAGTAAGGATTTAATGGAAATGTTGACTGTGGAAATGATCATTCTCTTCGCGTTTCTTTTTGGCGTGTTCAGTTTTGGTGAAATAGAGAGCCTTCGTCGCCTTCCGGACCGGTTTTGTGCCTTTATTAACTACAAACGTCCAGAGGAGGCGGCCAGAGCTCTGGAACAACTTCAGGTACGCTGTCTACCCCCTCTGCCTCCCCCTCCCCCCCCCCTCCCATCACAACTTCTGATAATTTTCTGTGAAACACATTTTTTTTAAAGTCGTCTTCATCACAAGATCACGTTACATCTAGTCTGTCAAACACATTATGAACTACATACATGCCATACAAGGCTACACTTGGTAGTCAGCATGTCAGTGTTACACTGTATTTAAACTTGTGGTGATTATCAGTATGGACTCCGTCGTAGAACACGCTTTCTACGACCACTATAAAAAATCCCCAATGGAAGAGACACACTGCATGCGTGAACCCATGGTGAAGGCACCCAAGTTTTCTGCACATTCAGAGGAAAATGGTTTGGTCTTTTTAGATTTTTAGAGATATGGTGGGCACTATAGTCTTTAAACTCGTTGCTATTTACCCAGACTTGCCCACTCCAAACACGCCCTCCTGTTCTGTCCGTCATATCTCAAAAAGGCACTGTGCAGGAGTGAATCAGTGCATGTATATACCGTGTCCCTCAAACATCTACTCTCGTGAATGCTCACATACCGCCATCTACGGTACTTTTCCAGCACGGGGTCTAAAGTTGATCCCTTTTTTCCCCTTCTTTGAATCGCACAGGGCGTGGAGGTAGGCGGGCGCTATCTTTTGATAAAATTCCCGGACAACCCAATTGTGGAAGGCCAGCCACGCACCACGGTGTTGAAGAAAACCAACGTCGCCGCCGCCGCGGGCAAACAGCCGCAGCCCAAAATTGCTCAGCCGGTCAGCCAAACACAGAACGATGCAAGGTAAGCCGCAGTGCTCACGTCAAGGGGAGAACTCAAAATGAAACATGTAGTAACTTGCGGTTACCCCTGTAAAACATGGTAAAACCTTGTTGAACCTCGAGGTAAACATCAAGGTAAACCTCAAGTTTCTGCCTCAAAATGAAACATGTAGTAACTTGTGGTTACCCCTGTAAAACATGGTAAAACCTTGTCGAGCCTCGAGGTAAACATCAAGGTAAACCTCAAGTTCCTACCTCAAAATGAAACATGTAGAAACTCACAGTTAACCCTGTAAAACATGGCAAAACCTTGTCAAGCCTCGAGGTAAACATCGAGGTGAACCTCAAGTTTCTGCCTCAAAATGAAACATGTAGTAACTTGCAGTTACCCCTGTAAAACATGGTAAAACCTGGTGAAACCTTGAGGTAAACATTGAGGTAAACGTGAAGTTCCTGCCTCAAAATTAAACAAGTACATGTAGTAACTCGCGGTTACCTCAATAAAACATGGTAAAACCTTGTCAAACCTAGCGGTAAACATCAAGGTAATCCTCAAGCTCCTGCCTGTTAAATTTGCAATCTGCCCTAATCAGTATCCGTCAAAACCCACCGTGAGACTTTTGTGTTACAGTTGAGTCCATGTTAGTGCTGTCATATGAAAAGTCAGACTTCAATCTCAACCAAACTTGGTGACAATAATCTTTGGGTAGGGGGACTTCAGATGACTTGAGGTCAAAGGTCATCTAGGGGTCAAATGAGGTCAATGTTGATTTTGGTTAGGTCAACTGAAAAGTGTGCTTACTAACTGACTGTATAAAAACTACCAGCATGCCAGGGGGATCGCGCAAGTTTAACTTGCAGTATTTTTGCTTTGTAAGTATTTCCAAAAGAAAACCAAGTATTTGAAGTTTGTGTGAATATTTATTTTTGTTTGGTGGCTCGGCAGTGGCAACAAGGTGACAGGTCCCGTCAACGGCAATGAGTGTTACTTCTGGCGGACCACTGGCTGCGTCTTCGGCGACCGTTGCAAGTACAAACACCTGAAACAGTCCAAAGGAGCCGATCTCAAGCCCTGGCAGAAAGTAGTTTACGATAACTGACCCGATTCCTACCAAATTCGACATCAGGAAGGATCCAGTTGATTCAAGTTGAAAGTAAAAGAAAATTTCATCGTCTGCTTTTCGTGATTAAAAAAAAATATTTAAAATTCAAAACATAATGCAAAAAAACCAAATGCTCATTTTCATGTTACCAATTGTTGGATTTGATTTTTTTCGGTGTTCTTCCTGCTTGACGTCACGTGTGTGGAATTCGGTAAAAACTTGTTGGTCAGAACAAAGAAATATGTTTTTATGCAAGAAACTTGCCTCCGAAGCAGAGTTTTGTTTATATTTGCAAAAATATAAATGAGCGGCAGTGATGGCAATGTAAAGAACTGAAGGGCATTTATTGGGCTACCGGCCGAGTAGCTTTGCATTTTTGAAAACTGATTATTTTATAGAGGATTCAAACTTGGGTCTTGTGTTTCAGAAAAGGTGATCGAACCATCCAAAGTTACCGGCAACTGAAACAGAAATGTACAAGTTTAAAAAAAAAAGATTTTTGGAAAAAAAATTGGTTCAGATTTTTTGGTAAAAGTGTTGTTAAAAAAATTTAAAAATCTCACTGTACGTGAGAAACCTATTCTATTTACACTTGTCGTGGACAATTACAGTAAATAATAACAAATTTCGCCTTCGATATTTCAGAAAAGAATATGCCAAAGTTAATGTCAAACGTGGACCAGGAGATTTTGAAATCCTTGCTCCTGTCTGGAAATGCCGTTTTTCTTACTTTTGAAAGAAAAAAGGTCTTCATTTTTATTAACATTAAAATGCAAGGACATGTCGAAATGCTTGTTTCTTTCTTTGGCAAGCTTAAAAGGTGTTATATTTTGCTAATTTTACCAGACCAAGTGTTTGTTGTTCGTTTCGTCGTTAACAAATCTGTAAGCTATTTCTTTGACGGTCTTTTCCGTGAATGCAGTAGTTACTGATAAGAAATGCTAATTTTCAGTGACCACTTGAGCAAAATTGTGGGAAAGACCCATTTTACTTTCTTTAGTTCTTGTGGATTTTCTTTCCTTTATTAGAGAAAGTACTCAGTCTTGATGTTGTCTTTGCATGAATATTACATGTTTAACTTATTAACGCTCTGCACAAGTACCCCCTCAACGGTTAGAAGGAGAAAGTTGGGTGGGCCACTGGAAGCAATTGTTGAACGCGCATTGCCGAGTTTTTCAGAGTTTTAACAAGTCACTGAATTTTGTGACTCGAGTCAAGTCGAGTCATTTCAAGAAAGTGACTCGAGTCGAGTCAAGTCATTAGGTGAAGATGGTCGAGAGTTGAATTTACAGAGATGAAACTTTTCCGATTTTAATCGGAAAACCGACTTTTTGAATTTTCCAACGAAATTTCCGATTTTTTTACAGTGTGTCCCACAAAATTTGATTTTCTGATGATTTTTTCACAAAATGTCATTTTATTTCAATCATAATTTCGAAGAAAAGTCGATGTAAATGGCGTGCTAAAATCATCGCGAACGTAGTTTTAATCTCTTTCACCAGTCGTTATTGGAGAGTTTCAACGGTAGAAACACAGGGCATAACACTGATCGGAGCCTTCTCCGGCTGGACAAAAGGTTAACCATTGACAGGCGACATGGAAAAATCACTGTGTCGCACGTACGTGCGAATATGCAATGGTACCAGCGTGCGTACGTACCGCACCACCGTACCGTCCGCGCTAGCACATGGCCGGTCGGGACGGGTAGCCTTGTGAAGGATCCTGTGGATAAAATCGTTATGTTGTGCGATTTTCAGAGGTTTCAGATTCTGTTGTACAAAATGCAATGCTTTAAAAATCATGATGATTATCTCGAGGATAGCGAAGAGAGCATTAGCGAAACATTTCACTGGCATTTGTTGGAAGAGAAAGACGGTAATGCCTGATTTTTTCCCATGTGTGAATGCAAGTGGTTGAATGGCCACATACTAGTTTCATCTCTGAATTTATGCTCGAGTCCATTTGAGTCCTTGACATTTGAACACCATCTAATAAATTTCAGGGAAAAAAAGAAGAAAATCAAAAACCGAAACCGATGGTAAAACCAAGAATTTGGAAATGCATTTAAGGTCGGGGATGCAGGATAGCAGTTTCTGTGCTACATTCTAAAACCACGAGGTGGGACTCTAGAGTCCGTGATGAGATGTATATATGTATGCGATGAGCGGCCACAACTTGACGGTTACGCGAAGTACGCGTGCCAACATGAATACCCTTGGATCGTAAGTCACCGCAAATTTTCGCACAGTTTTGGGACTCGAGTGTTGTTAGCCTTCGACTCGAATCGAGTCAAGTCTTTCGATGAGGGACTCGAGTCAAGTCGAGTCATTTGTTTTCAGTGACTCGAGCCTAATCAAGTCAATTACCCGTTGGGACTTGAGTCGAGTCACCAAAAATTGTGACTCGAGTCATTACAACTCTGGGGTTTTCAGATTGTGTTGTGCGTATTTTACGCTGTACACCCGCAAGCCAGTGCGTGTGGGCAGTTTGTCAAACTGGAGCTCAAGTTTGTGTTGACAAAGCGCCCTCTACTGTTCAAGCACGGAGTCTATAATGTTGCGCTCAGAAAAATTTAAAGCATGCCAACTGAAAAATGACTTTCAAAGTATTAATAAATTTTTATTTTGTTCAGCTTTGGGATTTTTGGCCAGCATTTTCTGCATTGAAGTTTACATCAATTCATTCAGTCCATGTGACGGCAGAAACGTTTAAGAAAAATCCTTTCTAATATTTGTATTTTTCATGTAGTACTAGTAACTAATTCATATCCATGTCTGTTGTGGTTTTTTTTCTGATTCGTGTTTACTTTATCGTTTCTTTTTTCCTTTTCCAGTTTATGTTACATGATTATAAGTTATACCCATGCTGTAAGTAAATTGTAGATAACATAATTATATATACGTTGTATATTCAACGCCTGTGATTTTTAAAAAAGAAAGCAAATGACCGCTACAAGCAGAAGCCAAGCGTGGACACAAAAAATCAACAGCCATAAGTAGATTAAAAGCAGATGTGAAGTCACTGTTTGTTATATATTAACAGCCAAAAATGTGTTCAAGCGATTTGATGGTCCCCGTTTTGTCCAAACAATTTTACGAACCTATTATTTTGATGTACTTTGGTTAATTTTGTTTCTTCCGTTGATGGTAAATTTAGTTTAGGTTTTCTCCCCTTCAGTTTCCTGAAATGTTCATGCACTTCTGAAAATCGATAATTTGTCTGAATTTGAATGCAGTCTTTATTCCCATTTCAATTCAATGAAATTTCAATTGTTTTCATTGTCCGTGCATTCGGTTTTGAGAAACAGACGGCCTATTACGATACCTGTACATTCATTTATGCAAGCATGCCTTTCCCCGCAGAGTTCTGGAATACAATTTCATGAATCTGTAATCAAAAGTATGTCTTTCTCATTCAAAACAGCAGATTACATCACAGTACATTAAACTAAAAGTGAAATAGAATGGTCAATATTTGAAATTGCCCTCTCAAAGTGAAAAAGAAGTCATGTATAAAACAAAGCTGAATAAACATAGACGAAAGGTGCTGCTCAATCACTTAAATGACTGAAACTGAAATGGAATCGAATACTCTGGTAGCGAAAATGAAACGCCTGTTCAAAGTGATTCTCAACTTCAGACGAAAATTAATGACCGAAGTGACCGATTCAGAAGTGAATGAACATTTTCGGAAATTGGCCGGGGAAACCTATATTTTCCTTTATAGCCGCTTTCCATATATGGTACTCCATGCTTTCATATGTACGAATATTTATTGCTCATTTATAAAAGATTACTTTGTGAGCCTTAACAGCTTCAAGAAGATATTCTTTGACTGAGATAATGGACAAATTTTACTTTTTAAATAATCACAGTTTGTAGAAGGCGATGGTTGAAAATGAACCTTTCACATAGAAAATTGGTTAGACTTTTCCACTCAGTCCTGACAGCACAAATGTTCGATTTTGGAATAGCTTATCACTGTAATAATGTGTTGGCCAAAATCTTTTTCCTGCGCTTTGTTGGACTTTTTTTTTAAACTAATATTTATTACCCTCTTCAATGATCATTATCTTTTTGTTTGAAATTTCATCTTATTCAGTTTTTCAGTTTATTTTCATTGACACAACTTGGTAAAAAAAAAAAATTAATGCATTCTTGAGTGTCCCATGTGGGTGTAAAATAGCAAAAACAATGTACTTATCTGTTCAATAAAAAAAAAATACATGCAGAAAACGGAAAGTAATTTTTGTTTAAGTGATTTTTGAGCTGTACACATAACATGCATCGCTTTTCCCCGAAGATTTCATTAAAATAAGGTATTGTTTTGTACAAATCTGCCTTTTTGTTCAATTTTTTTCATTGGTTTGTCGAGTTTAGTGAACTATTCAATTCAGCTGTGAAATTCTAATGAATGCAGTTCCACAGACCATTTTCTTTTATAGTGGTGCGGCATAGGGACAGAATTGTGCATGTGAGGTCTTCATACCATGACCAAAAATTCAGTTATGGAGGCATTTCATATCTGACCCCTGGTGACCTTTGAGGGGTGAATGACCTTTGAATACGCTATTTATACCTATTGTTGTTGAAAACGTCACTTTCATATGACCTCAGTCTATGAATAGTCTTCAGAGTTCATACAATGTAAATAACGACCAAATGCCGAGAAATTTCACAAGTGACCTTTGATGACCTTCCATAGGTCAATGACCTTTGTATAAACTGCACTCAATTTAAAGATTTTTATACAATTAACCCTTTAAACCCCAACTTTTTGAAAGACCCAATTCATAATGTTAAATGGCTCATGGTATGAAAAGAATTTCATATGAAGGGAATTTCATATTTGACCTCTGATGACCTTTGCGAGGTGGATGAACTTTGTATACACTGATTGCTGTTATATATCATGTTCAATCTTCCCAATGCCACTTTTTCATGATCAAAGAAAAAAAAAGGAGATTATTATTAATGCTACAGCATGTCATAAAGTCACCCCCATAAAAATGCAAGGCTAACCCTCAAATTTGTTAATTTCCATAAAAAAGTCAAATTTTTTGAGGAAAAACAATGCAAGGCTAGCCTCTTACATTTTGTAATTTCCAGAAAAAAAAATCAAATTTTGACGAATTTGAGTAAAATGCAAGACTAAGCACTTAAATTTTAGATTTTCCGGAATATCGAAATTTTTTCAAATTTTGATGAAAAATGCAAGGCACTTTACATTTGTTATTTTCCAGAAAAAGTCAAATTTTTCCTAATTTTTATAAAAATACAAGGCTAACCCCTTCCATTTGTGATTTTCCAGAAAAATCCAAATTTTGCCCAATTTTGATAAAATACAAGGCTAACCCCTTACATTTGATAATTTCAAGAAAAAGTCAAATTTTGCTCAATTTTGATAAAAATGCAAGGCTAACCCCTTACATTTGATAATTTCAAGAAAAAGTCAAATTTTGCTCAAGTTTGATAAAAATGCAAGGCTAACCCCTTACATTTCATAATTTCCAGAAAAAGTCAAATTTTGCTCAATTTTGATAAAAATGCAAGGCTAACCCCTTACATTTCTAAATTTCCAGGAAAAATCAAATTTTGCTCAATTTTGATAAAATTGCAAGGCTAACCCCTTACATTTGATAATTTCAAGAAAAATTTAAATTTTGCTCAAGTTTGATAAAAATGCAAGGCTAACCCCTTACATTTTTAAATTTCCAGGAAAATTCAAATTTTGCTCAATTTTGATAAAATTGCAAGGCTAACCCCTTACATTTGTAAATTTCAAGAAAAATTCAAATTTTGCTCAATTTTGATAAAATTGCAAGGCTAACCCCTTACATTTGTAAATTTCCAGAAAAAGTGAAATTTTGCTCAATTTTGATGAAAATGCAAGGCTAACCCCTTACATTTGATAATTTCAAGAAAAAGTCAAATTTTGCTCAATTTTGATAAAAATGCAAGGCTAACCCCTTACATTTGATAATTTCAAGAAAAAGTCAAATTTTGCTCAATTTTGATGAAAATGCAAGGCTAACCCCTTATATTTGTAAATTTCCAGGAAAAATCAAATTTTGCTCAATTTTGATAAAATTGCAAGGCTAACCCCTTACATTTGATAATTTCCAGAAAAAGTCAAATTTTGCTCAATTTTGATAAAAATGCAAGGCTAACCCCTTACATTTGATAATTTCAAGAAAAAGTCAAATTTTGC